CCCACTTGGGCTAACGTACACCCGTACCAGCCCCATGTTCTCCACCACCTCCCTTTATGTACTCGCCGACCTTTTCAAAAGTACTAACCCACTGTCTCCAAAGTACTCGCCCACTAGCCCAAAGGGCTCCACGTACAGCCCCACGTCGCCCGGATACAGCCCCACCTCGCCCACCTACAGCCCGGCCATCAGCCCCGACGACAGCGAGGAGGAGAACATATAGTAGTCGGGTATACTATTTCTTAATACAAAAGTGTTGAAGCCCCCCTAAGGAGAACGCTCGTATCCCTGCGGAAAGTGGCTATTCTTCGAGTGGGTTCGTGAGATGTATATCTCGATCTTTACCTACGAGCCCCCCTGTTCCCCTGTTTACCACGAGAGATCTGCTAATACTCTTGTATGAGACCTAGCTGCTTGAAAGAGGAAAAAAAAGAGCCCTCTCTTGAAAGAGCAACCGGAAGACAAAACCACCAGCAGATGAAGTGCGAGAGCGTGAGTTCCCACGAGGGACAGAAGCAGGAGAGCGCCGTTCTGGTGACACATCATAGCGCGAGGGGGGAGAGGTCTCTTTTTTTATCTTAACAGGTGTGCGGCTATCCAGTCTCTCTCTTCTCTCTCCGGGTGTGGGGGTGTTGGGTGTGGGACAGCGTCCATATTCCCAAAAGCTTTTGGAGAGAGGGTGTGTTTTTTTCTTTAAGGCATAAGCCTCAAAGAGAAACAGAGGGGCGTGCGGGTGGACTCTTTTGTTGACGGGGTCTTTTCTCCGAGGTGAACCAAGTTCACCCCCGGATCTTTTTCACGGGGGAGCCGGTTTGGTCACAGGAGAGAATGCGCTGGCCCAGCCGACAGAATGGGAGAGGGAGGAGGAAATGGGTTTATCTCATTAGGTGACGGTGACTTTGTTGTCCCCCCCCCCCCCCCCCCCCCCCCACCCTCACTCTCCAAAGACAAAACCTGAAAGATGTCGTTATACGCCCACCAGCATCTTGTTGTCCTGTGCCGTTTGGAGACTTGTGCATCAAAGGCAAAAAAAAGAAAAAAAACTTTTCCAGATAAAATTCTTTCCTTGACGCTGGGAAGTTAAAAGATTTATATGAAAAAAAAGAAATGATTATTCTAAGTTTTTTGTTTCTATGAGGAAACGGGGTAAAAGCGGACGAGGGACACTAGTTCGGTGTTGCTGCTTTTGTCTTTGTTTGCATGAGTAGCACATGTTAATACATTTTAATCGAGCCTTAGGTTTAAATTCTTTTGCTTTTTTCTTTCCAAATCCCTACCAAGTCTCAGTAATCTCGGCCACGTTTCTGATCGCTTTGGACTACTCGAGTTATTTAAGGAAGTGAAATATTATTCCGTGTGAATATGAATAGAGAAACTACAATTTTTCCTTTTGTTTTTTTGGCTTTTCTCTTGTTTTCTTTTGGCGACTGTAGACCTGTTTGCAGGCTCATGCTTGTATTCTGTGGATGAAGGGGGAGGGGACACGGAGGGGGGGGGGGTGGCTGCTTTTAAAAGAAATTCTCCCCATTTCTTTTTTTCTACTCGCTGTCCCAGGTCGTGATGACGCTTCACTTAAAGACAGTTCAGGGTTCTGTTTTTCTTCTTCTTCACTTCTCTGGACGCCAGAGGGCAACATTTGTCCTCCCGCCGGCCTTTTTCCTTTCAGCGGCATTGAGCAGTTTTATTCCATTTGAGCAGAGATCGTCTGAAGAAACACTTTTGGACTCTTTAAAAAAAAAAAGCCACAGAAAACATCCTTACCCACTACATTAGTGCGAAACTTCTGTTGAATATGGGGGCTTTTCTCACGTGGCTCCACCGGGTATGAATGTGTTAAGGAACCCGTCTGTACGCCTGATGATGATGATGATGGAGGAACCCTTTTTTTTTCATTCCCTCCTCGTTCCATTTGAGCGGTTTCTGAATTGACCGGACCAGCTGGGTCTCCTCTTCCTCTCTCCTTCCTCTTCATCCACAAGTGATCCTCATTTCTGAAATCAGTGTTTTCGTTTTTTGTTTTTTTTTCTACCAGTGTATTTACCAGTGACGAGGGGAATCGGGGGGGGGCGTCGTATTGGATCTGACTGGGAGTCCTGAGGAGATGAAACACGGCCAGTGATCTTTTTGGGGGTTTTGTTGAGTTTAAGTGATTTGTCCACGAGAGGGACGCATCTCCTGGATGCGATGCTTTTGTCTGCCATGTCTGCATCTAATCCCGCGCTGTCCGGTCAATTCGGGACATCGGGACTCCCAGGTTGTGTGAATGTTTGTGTGCTTGTGCAGTTGTTGTGCGTCTGAGGGCGAGACAGGGTTTCAAACTGAGGGAAAGACCTCACGCGTCCGGGCAAAGGAAGATTTAACTTGAAATTGCCAGTGTATAGAAATCGATTTCATTATTTCTCTCTCTGTATCTTTGTTTTGTTTGTTTTTTGACTTGGAAAAACATGAATAAAAGTTTTACTACACGTCTGTCTCGACTTTATTTTCACTACAGTTAGTCACAGAATATGTTAATGTTGGTGTTTATGCAACAAAGATTTTACAGCATTTGGGGAAAAGAAAAGGTGGATTTTGGAAGGAATTGAGATCGATATTGTTATATTTGTACCTTATATTGGCGGCCTGAAGTAGTTCTGTATACATGTCTTATCTGTATAAGACATATAACTTACACTATAATTGGTGATTGAACCCATTTTAAATCCACACCCATTTCACTGACTGCTATACAACTATTCAGATTTAATATAAATAGTCAAATTAGGTATAAAATGAGCCAGTTATGTTTATAATGCATAATATAGCTCACATCTATATATCAAACTAGTAAACACAGAAAGAACTTATTCACATGTAGAGACTTTTACTAATTGGTGTGCTGAGAACTCTTATGGTGGACAATTTACTGAGGCGGCAGATCTTCACCTGCTGGAAAAAAAGGCGCGTGTCGAGTGAAGATGATGCAGACAAAGCTGCGCCCTCGCCGTGATGCGTCTGTCTCACCAGAAGAGGTCACCAAAGGTCATTTCATTTAACCCCAAAGTCAGAGCGCAACCTCCCCTCTTCAGGGTCAATAATCTTTACCGGTGCACATGATGAATCACAGGTGTCCCTGGTCTTTCTACATGGGCGTGCCTGCCGGGGGGGGGGGGGGACACGTACGACTATCAGGTGCGTTGAAATCGGTTGCCGTGGCGATCTTTACCAACTGTGAAGCTCGTCATTGATCATCAGTCATCAATGAGGCGGCAGCTTTTTAGAAGGAGAGTCTTGAAACCTCATCTGAAACCTTAGAGATGAGGAAGAAAGTTAGTGGCACTTGAAAACTAGAAAAAGATCTGGAGGCCGTATTTTACAGTTAGTGGTTTTGTATATCACCTAAATCTTTGTATTTCTTTGAAGAAAGTACTGACATTCCTGCACTAAAGTGCATGTTTAGATTCGTCGAGTCGGCCCGGTTTCCTTTCTCCACTTTTAAGACCTGATTAAATCAGGTCATTTTGCTTCTTTTGTGGTTGAGTCAGAGGGCCGGGCTACGACTAGCAGCCTGAGGCAGGAAACGTGTGAGAGAGCGAGAGAGAGAGAGAGAGATTTGTGTGTTCAGCGACGTGTTCCTCTTCGCATCACTGCTTTTCTCTCTGCTCTCTGTCCAGACGTGTCCTGTGCCACCAACTCGCTCTCCAAGGTACGTTTTCAACATTAACCTCATTTTGCTCTACAGTTGCATTTGTTTTTCCCCCCTCAAGCTTTTTTCATTCCTCGACTTCGACACTCTTCTGCCCCTGTTTGTTCAGCACATTCCTTCTGTTGAAGTCAGCCGAGGAATCTCGGCGGGACAACGAGTCTTTAGTTTAACCTCAGCGGGACTCACGCTGGACATCCGTCTTTCCCCTCTTTGCTTTTGGGTCCGCTCCATCTTTTGCTGTCGTCAGTTGGGGAACCCCGACCCCCGACCTCCCCAGCGTGTCCACACAGCGGCTTCCTCAAAGTGAGGGTGGGGTATCGATGGAGGAAGCCCGGTGGAAATTGTGCAAAGGCACATGTGGCATCCTTTAACATCCATGTTATGCTTGGTCTCCTTCCTGTTTGTTCGCTGATCCAGTCTGCAACACCCTGATGCATTTCAGTCTCCTAATCTCATTAATATACCGTGTGTGCACACACACACACACACACATTGACAGATTGCTCTCCCGTCTCTCTACGCCTGTTGCTCCGTCCGCCTACATATTGTCTGCTCTCATATTTCTCTCTGCTTATCAATGCATGAATGACTGCTTGAGTCAGTGACCCCTGCAGCCCACCGGTGACCTCTGACTACCATCTAAACCCTCCTGATGTCCATGTCTCCTCCACCCAACCAGATCCGCACAAACCACTGCAGTCGACGAGGTCATACGGGCCGGCTTTTGTCCTTTTTTTAAAGCGCCACCTCGCCCACCTGTCGGGCTGCCTTGTCTTCTCTTTGGGGACATGGTAAACAAATACTCATTGACTTAATCCCTGTCAATATCTATTGTGTCATTCCCTTTGATGAGAACCAGATTGGACAAAAGCAAATGACAATCGTGTCGTTGAAAGATGAGATCTTTGAGCCCTCCTGGTCAAAATGTCAATAATTAGCTCGACGGCACCGAATAATAACACAGGAAAACGAGCCAACCTCCCATTCCAGACATTATACTTACTGATCATTGTAGTAGGTCTACTCATTAAAAAAGTGTGTGTGCATGTTGAGGGCCTAAAGTTAGCTAGCTGGCTCTACCTGTGGCCCCTTTGCATGGAGCGAGGAATGAGGAAAGAGGATGGAGGAGTGGAAACATGGAGCAGCCAGCAGGTTGCTCTCCCACTAATTATCCACATGGTGTTTTAGCTTTAGCCAGGAACTAGGAACCTGACTCCACACACACACACACGCACACAGAGAGCGCGTCCTATCCTCAACCCTCGGGTAGGCTTTCATCACACCAGGCTCCGGTTACCTCCCTCATATAAGCTGACCAGGGCCCGGTGAGCGCTGACGCTCCTCCTCGCCAAACCGCTCGATCCCTCACGACCACGCACTCTTACTCGGGGCGGGGGGTCACAGACGAACACCGGGGTCACGCACGCACACACGCCAAGTGGACGCGCAGAATGGAGCCGGAGTCAGACAGCATGCTGGAGGTGCCTCAGCAGGTCATACAGTTAAGTGTGTCGGGCCTTTTCATCTCCTCCTCGTGGGCTCTCAGAGCGGCTGTAACCTAAACTCGGGGCCTTGTGCTTCCTCGGGCCCTTTCCTCGCTCCCTTGCCACCTCAACCGATTCGTGTGTTCCGATATTTGCCCCGCTGCGTCGTCGTCATCCTTGTTTTGGTCTGCAAGCAGCACCTGTTGTGTAGAGGGTGATGTTTCCTACGTAATAAGTAGCGAGAGTGTTCACTGACATCGCGTGGCGGGAGGCGAGTGAGACGGAAAGGGGCGTTGCTGCTGCTGCGGCGCCGGCGGCCGCGGCATCCTGTGTGGCGGAGCACAGTGTTCACAAACCGCCTCGACAGTTTCAACTTTTTCTGCAGACTTCTGAGCAATTTGAACAGACCCGCGTCCTTGACTTTAATCGCCTTAATCGCGGTGGCCTCGACTTTAATCGCTTTAATCGCGGTGGCTGTTTTCCCTTCTCAAACCCGCCATTCGTTGTTGCTGCCTAGCGTCGGCCTGACGGGAAACCTCAGCCTCTACTTGAGTTTGAAAAGGTTTCAAACGCTTGTGTATCATCATCCAGGAAGTCTCCTTAATCCTTTGATTGCGTGTGGATGCACCAAACTGCACATATGAAACACTCTTATCGACTCGGATAACCCGAACCGCTTGAAATGTGTCTTTTGATCCTAAAACTGTACCCTGTCAAAGGACGGCCCACTTTGTTCTTCATAGCTTCCAACCACACCCAAGCACACCTCATGGTTCTTCCCCGTCTGAATCCATGCCTGGCTGTCTTCCACCATGTGACCCGGTCTTGCTCACATAGAGCCACGCCCAGCTTTGTTGTGTCCGTTGGGCTCGCTCGGTCTTGTGTTGCACAGGAGTGATGTAATGGGGCCTGTGGTTGGTCAGGCGTGCGCTGTCATGCTCACCGCTCCCCGCCACTCCTCCTCCTCCTCCTCCTCCTTCTCCTTCTGTAAAACTTAAAGTAACGATGTGATTGTCTCAATTTGAATCTGGGGGACTGACTTCTGCTTTTGACGACTCCCATGTGGAAACGGGGCCAGGACTCTTGCTCACACTTACACTTCCTGTGTGCGTCAGCCGCTTCCTCTTCTGTGGGAGGAGATTTGCTGAGAATAACCAAATCAGACATCCACGAGACTGTTATTCACCTTAAGATATTATATTTGTCCATCCGCTGGGACATTTCTCTGGCAAAGCGCTTCCCCTTTTTCGATTTGTCTCACCGTCTTCTTCTTCTTCTCTCCTCGCAGCATGCTCCCGTTCAAAGCGGCACCTGGTCAGTTCGGCCCAGAGATCCGCGAGCCGGGCCTGCGGGTCTGGAGGGTGGAGAAGATGAAGGCCGTGCCCCTGGATCCTTCCGAGGTGGGGGCCTTTTTTTAACGGGGACTCCTACCTGGTGCTGGACAACCGCGGGCAGCTGGGAGCCGACCTCCACATGTGGGATAGGTGAGAGAGAGAAACATCTGGATTAAAAGTTAAAAGACACATGTGAGCAGAGAGGCTGGATGGGGAGGGGATGATGAGAGAGGGAGGGGAAACTGGGAGGGGGTTTTGGAGCAGGGTGGGGGGGGGAGGAGGGGGAAATTAAAAATGCAGGAGTGCCACAGTGCTCAAATGTGTCTGTTGTTGCCAGCATGTATCCGGTGCTTAGGTAACACTAAGCTGATTGTCACAGCAGAGAGGGCTCGGCCTGGCATGTGTATCCATGAAGCCTCCCCCCCCCCCTCCCTCCCTCCCTCCACTTGTTTACAAGGGACTGCGCGGTCACCGTTGGCCTTCTCGTCTCTGTTGTCTCCGCGACCCTTCACCTCTGTGTCGGCGGATCTTTGTTTCTTTTGTTAACCTTTCTGGCTTCATTTCCTAACGCCCTTGTCTCCTTTCCTTTCTCTTGCCATGTCGCCACTCTGTCCTCCGGCTCTGCTTTTCTTCTTCACTTTCGGGTTTAAACTGAACTCAAGGTCCACTTGCCATTTTGGAAAGACTTCCTGACACACAAACTCAAATGCGATGTTATCCAACGCTCTTTTGAAAGAGCAAAGGAAGGTATTGGCCAAAAGTGAATGAACGAAAGAAGGAACCTGACGTTTAATCCGTCGCACCTTTTGGGGCTCAACAATTGGTTCTTTGCTCTCTGTTGCAGGCGAGAAGTCGTCCAGGGACGAGCAGGTGGCGTGCGCCATGCTGGCCACCCAGCTGGACAACTTCCTGAGCGGCGACCCCATCCAGCACAGGCAGATCCAGGGCTACGAGTCCCCGGAGTTCATGGCTCTCTTCCCCAGAGGGGTCAGCTACAAGGTCAGGGAGGAACAGTTTGGGAGGGTTCGGATGGTTCATTTCAAATGTGTGTACACGCTTTTTTTTCAACATCGGCTGGATTTTATGGATTAGTCATTTCTTAAAAATGTTTCTATGAAAGGATACAATTTTGTATTAACTTTAGGAAAAAAGGATAATATGAATTTCCCTAAAATATTAATGACATTTTCGTGTTTAATGTTTTCGATTTAAGACATAAAGGGTCATTATGACAGATACAAAAGAAATGCATGCATTGCATGTTTAAATAAACAAATACTCAAAATAGAAATTTTAAAAAGTTTCAATGTTCAATGCCGAACTTAATTCAATTGCAGTTTCATTTAAACTGTAAAAAGAAAGAAAAAAAATTCAAAATTAATATTTGTTTAGTCAATTGTAAAACGTAACATACCTCTCATTTTACCCGCCATTTCTTTATTATTTTTTTTTTTATTGCCGGCTCTTATCATTTTACAGCACTGTGGCTATCAGGGCCTTTATGCCAGAGTTCATTGACCCCACTGGGTTTAATTAGAAGAGCCCATGTGACGGCTTTCAGTTCCCAGCAGGGCAAACTAAATCAAAACAAAACCCAAAGCCCACGAAGCCTCTGTGTGACCCGCCTCGCTTATCCCCCCCCCCCCAGGCGGGTGGAGTGGAATCGGGCTTCAGGAAGACTCAGGGCTCCGGGGCGGTGCAGAGGTTGTACCAGATCAAAGGGAAACGCAACATCCGCGCCAAGGAGGTGGCTATGTCCTGGAGTAGCTTCAACAAAGGAGACTGCTTCATCCTGGACCTCGGAGAGGTGAGGAACCAAACGCCCCGAGACATATGTCCCCTTCTCACATTATATATATATATATATATAATGTGTTTCAAGGGCGGCACGGTGGCGCGGTGGTTAGCACTGTCGCCTCACAGCAAGAAGGTCCTGGGTTCGATTCCGCCCAGTGGCCTTTCTGTGTGGAGTCTGCATGTTCTCCCCGTGTCTGCGTGGGTTCTCTCCGGGTTCTCTGGCTTCCTCCCACAGTCCAAAGACATGCTCTGGGGATCAGGTTGATTGGGGACTCTAAAATTGCCCGTAGATGTGTGAATGTGAGTGTGAATGGTTGTATGTCTCTGTGTTGCCCTGCGATTGGCTGGCGACCAATCCAGGGTGTACCCTGTCTATCGCCCGAAGTTGGCTGGGATGGACTCCAGCCCCCCCGCGACCCTGTGTGCAGGATAAGCGGTCTGACAATGGATGGATGGATGGATAATGTGTTTCACTCTTGTGATCTACGATGGCGTCGTTGCCTTCCAGACCATCGTGTCGTGGATCGGGTCGCAGGCCAACATCTTCGAGAAGCAGAAGGTGCGCGAGATCGCCTCGCTGATCCGTGACACGGACCGACACGGCAAAGCTCGGATTGTGGACAGCAGCGAGGGGGACGAGCCCGAGGAGATGTTGAAGGTGAGAACAAAAGGACGCTTTTAAAGTAAATGCGTGTTTTTATTTGTATTGCCTGTATTTGACAATGAAGAAGAACCAGACTGGACCAGACCCTCATGTCTGCATGCTAACCGTGAGCATCAGAAGGCCCCGTATGGCCCTGGGGCAGAACATCTGCTTCCCTTTTGCTTCAGCTAAACGTCGGCTGGGTTTGACATCTGGCGGACGGGACAAAACAGCTGGAAGCAGACGGGAAACTTCCTCAAGCAGCCTTTCACACAATCTTTTTCTTGTCCCATTCTTGCTGATCCTCGGGCCTCGTTGCTGAGAGCAGGTCCTGGGTCAGATGCCCCAGCTGGCCGAGAGCACACCAGAAGACGACAAGGAAGCAGACGTTTCCAACTCCGCGTCCCTCTACAAGGTATGACGTCACCGGTCACCCTCATTGAACGCCGCCCTTTGCGCCCTTTTTCCCGTCCTGAGGGCACGCGTACGTTGTGCTGCACAGGTGTCCAACGCCACGGGCTCCATGACGATGACCAAAGTGTCGGACAAGAGCCCGTTCGCACAGGACCTGCTGGCTCGTGACGACTGCTTCATTCTGGACAACGGCGCCAACGGGAAGATCTTCGTCTGGAAAGGTGAGGAAATGCTACTGGACCTGAAATGAGTACCGAGGAAGGTGACAGTTGTTACATGCCGGTGATATTCGGTATCTAATTGGATCAAATTTTAATGAGCATGACCGTAACAAAAAAAAAGGCCGACAGTTTTTCACAGGGAGAAGAGTGAAAGATGAACCAGCATCCAAAAAGGATATAGAAGTAGTATAGAAGTAAGAAGGACATAGAGGGCTCATGTCCTCTTATTAACTGTATTTCACTTTTATTCAGTTTCAGAATAATACATGTGTGTACATGCGTGTTCTGTCATTTCAAACCTAACCGCTTCTCCTACGGACACAAGAAGGATTAACAGCCACTGAGAACGTGCAGTATGATGAATATAAACTTAGCTGCCGGTGCTAACGTGAGACCTTGATTGTGAAGGAAACGGAGCGAACGCTGAGGAGAAGCAGGTGGCCCTTCAGATGGCCGATAACTTCATTGAACAAATGAAGTACCCGAGGATGAAAACACAGGTACCGTTTTTTTTAAACTGTCACTGTCTAACTAGCTGCCGCTCGTTGCAGGTCAGCAGCTCGGTTCCCTGCAACCTTTTTACAGCAGCTCGTACTTTATTCTCAGATGTAGTTCTTCAGTAGGTGTAAAGGGGTCTGTGCTTTGTGCTGCAGGTGGAGATTCTTCCTCAGGGGAAGGAGACCATCATCTTCAAGCAGTTCTTTAAGAACTGGAACTGAAACCAAACATGTTACAAAGTCCTGCAAGCGAGGAAAAGCTGAATATCTGAAATCCGACAGCATCTGATGTGCTTTTTTTTTTTTAAATATGCATTGACTTGTATGTACATATTTGTAAGGTACCGTGCTGACGGAGCACACTTTATCTTGTTTTCAAACTGGTAGAATAAGAAATGTGATGCCACTTTTATAAATGCAAACAAGTTCCCTCTGTTGAGACAAGGATTATAAATAAAAAAAAGTTGGATTCTTTTTGGCCTTTTTTTTTTTTTTTTTTTTTACATTTGTTCTAGTGTCACAGATTTACCTGCATTGGACAATAAATCTGAAACTGCTTGATAAAGGACCTCGTTTCTTCCTTTCAGAAAGTTTTCTTTGTGACTCATTAAACCACAGCAACGCCCCTGAAAAGCTTTTTTTTTTTTGCACAGCGCTGTTGAAACCACGCCCTCCGTTGCCATGGCTGCGTGAATATGGCTTCCCATAAACCACGTTGACGTCACATCCCGCTGTAATCAGTGCAGGAATTGTGTCAAGGTTTGAGGAACTCTAACAAGGTTGTTACGTTATCCCTTTATAGAATGACTCATTATGAAATGAGATAAATGCGGATATTGATTTCAGGTTAAAAGGACATTTTACATCAGTACTCGATTTGTTTTTAACCAGTATTTGAAATGACACACCAGGGTTAAATATGTTAAAATATATCAAACGCCTCATCCTAACTTAAAATCGGTTTTACAGTCTCTATTTTTGTATCACATAAATATTTAGAACACAATACATCACTTTGTATCCTCACCCATGAACTCTGAACATCTGTATAAATAAAACAAATGATTGTACAAAGGGATAAAAAAAAAAAAAAAAATACAATTATGGAAATAATAAAACATATTACAGAAATACCAGCCATCATTTAGTATTATAAATTTGTCTTTCTCTTTTTGTTCTGTTGTTCAAAGTTGATCGATAAATATACAACTGCACACACTCATGTTACAGATGCTTTAATGGTAAATTAAAGCTAAAATGAATACAGTCGTGTTGAGTGTGATGTATTTATTGCCTATTAGGCAGGTTTACTTTTAGACATTTCAACATGTTATTTGAAGCTGTGTCTCAACGGACAGTTCTGTGTGCGTCAAAGAGGCATCGTGTTTTATGTTGTGACCTTAATTGAGCCTCTCATCATGAAATATCTTGATTATGACAGAAATACGAGGGGAAAAGTTAAAAAGTTAAAAATGAAAGGCATGGCATTAAAACCCCATTCCATTGAAAAATGTAAAAAAAGAAAGGGTTAACAATTTTTCAAACAGTATTTTTGATTCAACGGTATGAGGTTTCCCTAGAAATGTGAAAGTGGACAAACTCCAAATCCATCCACAGGCCTACGTGCCCTGCAGGCAATACTGCAGCGTCCGGAAAGCCCGTCACACTCGGTGTCAAAGACCTCTGCATGTCGTTTCAATCGCCGCCCTACGGGCCATAAAAAGGTGCAAAGATCAGAACCACGTGGAGAGCAACTACAAGGCTGATAGTAGAGCAGCGGCGCTGCAGTCCTCTCCACCAGCAGCTGCAGAGCCGCACCACCTCCGACCACAGGTAGGAAACAATGAGCTCCAGCCTCGGGTTTCCATTTCTCACTTATTATACGATTTCCTAAAAGTAAAAACAAATTATTTAAAATAATAAAAAAAATTTTTAAAAAATTCTCTATCGCTGTTATATATTTAAAGCTAGTTACAACTACACATTCATACATCAGTGAAAAGGGATTCAACACAAAGAACAATGATATATGCAATTTCCAGGACCGTCCTGCTTTTGATACATAAAGTGCATTTTGATATTTTTACTTACAGTATTAATGCTGGACTTTATATTCCTCTATTGCTGCTTTCACTTCTTTAACATTTTTCCACATATTTTCTGCTTCACAGCTGTGAGGACGCCACCATGGAGGTCAAGCGCATCAAGAGTATCCTGAAAACCACTAAAAGTATTTAATTTTAATTTCTATATATTTATTCAATCACTGCCACATATTTTGATAACTTACAAACCATCCCTGAACTGGATGAATAATATAATATTATAATAATAATAATAATAATGTTGCATGCAGCTTCACATCCAATCCGATGCTCATAAATAGTCACAGTAAATCATTTGGCTTTTAAAGACTTAGACTTGTAAGTAATTGTCACCATTCTTCTAGCATTGTAAAAAGCTAATAATTACCTTCCCTGTCGTTGCTATTGGAATATCAACACGCCTGCGTGTCCGTTCACTTCCTTTGTTGGAAAAGCAATCCTTCCTCTTGCCCTCATCCTTCTGGATGTCTGTTTCTCCCCCTTGAAATCGCTGCGCCTGCAGGAGTGGACGCGCTGAAGCTGGGTGAGAACGCCACCCGCAGCAGCTCCATCGGCGCCGTACGCTGGACGCTGCCCGAGGAGGACGTCCAGATTCACAGCTCGGCCCCCAGCAGGGCCACCAACAACCTCGCCAAGCGCTCGCAGGTACGGTTGAGAGCCCTCTGCCTCGTTGCCCGTCCGGGTTGGTGACAACAAACGTGACCTGTGGCGTTTTCCTGCAGCAGCATCCTCGTCAGGTCGGCCTGAAGGATCTGCGCAGCCTGCAGGAGTGCGTGCAGTTCATCCATCACTGGAAGAAGCAAGTGGATCAAGTCTGCAAGGTAGGAGATGAGGGAGCGAGGGAGGAAACGGGAGTCAGGGGCTGAGCAGGCTCGCGTTAAGGTCACAAGTGTATTTATTCAGAGTAAATTCCTCCTTTTCATACAAACATGGAAAAAAGACGATATAGAGTTCGATATTAAACCAAAATAAAATGTTCTCTGATCATCATTTTAAAAAGTTTGTCATTCTAATCTGAGGTGTAAGAACCGAAGGCATCGCACTGGTACTTTTATGGGACATGTGAGCGGCTCATTAAGGAAAAGAAGTGGAAGACCTGTGCGATCTGCCTGGAACAGAAAACAAAGTCTCCGATGCAGCTTTATAGAAAAACTTTAAACTCACTTGTAAAACGATACCAGAGTCTTGTGCTTTGGGGAAATCCTCGCTTGTTTTAGTTCAGACTGCGGCCTTCTGAACAAGTGGTTTTCTAATTGACTTGAAATCTGTAACTTTAGAGGGCAAAGATCAAACATGGAAAGGTTTGAGGGAATACCTTGGAAGGCCTGTGATGATTCTGTCAGGGAGATCAAAAGACATCACAGGCCCTTGGTTGATCATTTCAAGTCTGTTAAAAGTTCACGGCTGGAGATAAAGGATTACAAATGTGCCACGTTTCTTCCTTTTAGTGCTTTGCTTATGACAGGTCAGGGGAACCGCTGCCTCCCACAACACGCAGTGGATAAGCGTTGCTACGGGAAACGATTACTTTGCTCCGTCGTGCAGAATGCCGGCTTGGTCATTTGTCGGGTGTGTCGTCCCGATAGCATAGAAGTTTACTGACTGATACGCCTGATGACGCGGTAACGTCACCCGTTACGTTTGTTGTTGTTGTTGCGTAGAGCGGCGACGACCCGGATGAGGGGCCCAGCGGCAAAGAACCCCAGAGATCAGACAGCCGCTCCGAGCGCAGTCTGGAGGAGAGCCGGATCTTGATCCTGGAGTGGGCCGACGAGCTCCACCACGTCGACGAGGTCAGTACACACACACACTTTCACATCTGTGTGTGTGTGTGTGTGTGTAAAAATATTCTGAAATAACACATCTGAACTTCACCTCAGTTCCTGAGGGAGAAGCCGCGATCATCAGAGAGTAAAGAGAAGGAAAATAAAGAGGACGACGACAACGAGGAGGCCGAGCAGAGGATCATGGATTGGGCAAAGGAGCTGCAAAAGGCCACGGAGGTGAGGGGTCCTGAGATGGAAGTTGGGACGTCTTCTAGTAATCGTTTGCTGTGCTGTAACCGTTGGGTTTCTCCCCCCAGAGCTGCGGCGTGGAGAGCGACGAGCTGGGAAAAGTGCTGCGTCAGCTCGGCCTGAAGAAGAAACGGCTGGTGAACCTGCTGCCTCTGCTGGAGTTCATCACCTGGTCGCTGCTCGAAGAAGACAGCACGGTGAGGAACCAGCGAGACCTAGTTAAAAAAAAAAAAGACGAGATAAACTGAAGACACAAAAAGATCCCCAAAAACAAGCAGTTGTTATTTGTTACGTTAAAGCAACTTTATTTGATGCGTAATACATTGAACATGCGTGCAAAGAACCAATAAATGACCCTGTTGATTCTGTCTTTACGAGGCCGATCTGCCTCTGCTGTTATAACTTGCCACAATAAACATCCTTGATAACGGATTTATTGTCAAACTCACCACTATCGAGATCACACACACACGCACGCCAGTGCGGTGTTTGCAGCAAAGTCCTACGTTGACTTTTTAGGGGAGATTTTTGGGAGTCTGAGCCGGTTTAACTTTATTCCAGCTACAGTTCAGACGGTGCTGCAACACGCCGGCCTTTTCCGTCTCTGTGCATGATTGTGACCGCCGGGACTTTTATTTAGGGAAGAACCGTTGCGTTTTGCATCATTGCTTTCATAAGGCCGGTGGTTTCACCACAGCCAGGCAAAGGTTATTTACATGATACACAGAACATTTACATGATATTTGAAACTGCAATGTCGTAACGAGGCTGGGTGCTTCGAATCATTTGGGCTATTTCCTTTTCAGAAAATGGTTCCACAGTTGTGGCTGCTGGCGAAGCAAAGGACCTGGACAGCAGGAACCCCAAGATACATCCCCAACTCAGGTGCACATCTTGAGTCATTTTAATTTGGCTTGTGATCTATTAATAGAAAAGCAAATTCTCCGCCCTCATCCTCCTGCTTAGACGATTGCCAAAAAAATACCAGATAATGTTTAGTAGTGAATTGTCTTTCCTAATCCCCCCCACCCCCCACATCCCACACACACACTTTAAATCGACCCCGTGGCCCAATCACTGGTCTAGACAAACATCTCCCCTGCTCATCCATTACGACCTCAACGTAACGTCCGTGTCTCTGTTTCAGTGTGGAGTTGGATTCGCAGTGCAGCGGGTAAGATCAGCCCCCCCTCATCACCTCAGAGAGATAAAGCCGACATGTCAATCAACTCTCTCTCTCTCTTTGCCCCAACAGCTGACGTGGTTCTGGACCCGCTGACTAACCACCCCTGGCTCCAGCTGTCGGAGGACCAGCGCGGGGTCCAGGAGGGCCCCTCGAAGGCGGAACTGCCCCCGGGCCCGCAGCGCTTCGACGGCTGGCCCTGCGCGCTGGGCTGGGAGGGCTACGGCGGCGGGCGCCACTTCTGGGAGGTGGACGTCGCCAAAAACGGCTACTGGCGCGTGGGTCTGACCACCGCCGGCTCCAAGCGCCACGGCCGCTTCCCCATGACCCCCGAGCAGGGCTACTGGGTCTTGTGGCGCAGCGCCAACCATTTTTACGCGTGCGCCAAGCCGGAGGCGCAGCTGCCCGTCGCCATGGCGCCTCGGCGCATGGGCATCTACTTGGACTACGCAGAGGGGCAGATCTCCTTCTACAACGCGGAGACAAAGTCCCACATCTACACCTTCACCGGGAACTTCAGGGGGAAGCTGTACCCGGTCTTCGCCCCGCTGGACGGTCGCACGCGGCTGGTCATCCAGAAGATGGACAATGGCGAGGATTGACAATTCTTACGGGACGCTTTTTTTTTTGTTTTTATTTATTAAAGCAGTGGCATTAGAAAAAAAAGCCAATGCGTTTCACATTAATTTTTCTTGCCTAAATATTATTGTAAATATGTCGGTTTCTGTGTTTTGTGTTTCAGATGAAGATCTGACAGTTAACTAATTTTTTTTTTGAAAGAGCACTTTTTCTACAACATTCATATTTATGTGTAGACGTGACATTCTGCCTGTATTTATGGACGCACTTTATAATGCCCTTTCAGATATGAACATTATGTGTTTTATTTTGTTATCAGTTTCATTTATTTTACACCGAGCATCTGGATGAGAATGAATGGATCTTCTCCTACTCACCAAATATTACCAAACACAAAATGCTATATCATAACCAGTATTGTTGCCGTAGCAACCGCCACTCAAATAGTCAGCTGACAGGTTCCACAGCATCTTGCATCCGTGGAAATAGTTTGAAAAAGTGATTTTTGAAATTAGGATTTCTTTATCAACGGTTCACGTACGCGGTTTCACCTTTGGTCCTCTGACAACCATCAAGATAAAACAGCGACACTTAAACACGTGACGGACAACTCAGACTTTGAAACCAACAAAAACCTCGGCAGCTCGGCTTGTTATTGTTGGGCCCGTATGCGACATGTCGAGCTACACGCAGAGGATGCAACGCAAACGAGGCCGTGCTTTCCGCTTACTTTGCTGATGAGTCTTTTTGTAAAGCTCCGTCTTTGGATTTCACTCAAACGCTTTGTGTAAAACTCAAACCTGAAGCTCAACAGCTTTGTCGCTGTGTTCATCCGTTTCTTTAAATAAACTTTCTGCTGCTTATCTACCGATTAACTCATTATCAAACGAAGCTTTTGGGTTGTATTGGAAAAGGGAGGGAAGGACATTCGGTTTCCCATGATTTGAAAATGCTATTTTTCAGCTCAACCTCACTTTGTGAACTTTTATTCATATTTGGTCATTAACTAAAGTTGAACATAAGTATTTGGGGAAAATGTAGTGAACCTTAAGAACGTTGCTATTAGTGTGAAAGTATTCTATAAATCGATTCAATGAAAACTTTAAATAACATTTGTGAGATCAGGCAGAAATCTTTATTGAACACATGTAGGACCTTTGATTAGTTGTTAAAATTGTCAAGGAAGAAATAAGACTATCAGGAAGTTTACAGTCAAACGTGATAAAAAACAAATTCTCATGATGATTTTACATTGAATTGTAAAAGTACGATAGGTCGCTATTGGTGCAAAGATAACATTACAGATACATAGAGAAAGGACAAAAGTCAGCTCAATAAAGTTGTAAATAGATTAAAATTGAATCTTGTTTTTTTACTAAATATGACAAGGCATAATATTTCATTTCCTGAGCGGCCGTACAGTGCAAACCAGTTAAAATACCTTCACCAATTGCAATTAATCAAGAATAACATTCATAAAAAATGACTATTGTGTTGCTTTCAGTTTTCCTGCTTCACAAGTTTCCAGACAACGCTGTCCCCCAACAGCTCCCTGAAGTGTGTGTTCAACTGCAACAAAACACAAGCGGTTTAAACGCACTTCCAAAGTGTATTCATAAAACACAAATCCGAGCCGGATCGATATCACACACACACACACACACACACACACACACACAGCGAGGAGTATTTTGGGGCAACTTTTGCTTCTGAAGTTGACCTCTATGCGGCGACCGACGTACCTCATTGAACACAGAATCCCTGGTGCTTTGCTTATCGCAGAGGAGAGACTGAGCCGAGGAGCACATCATAGACAGGCTGATCTCCTTCTTCACCGCAACTGTGGGAACAAAGCGCGACACGTGTGAAGAGGGCGCCGACATAACGCCGAACTAAATCAGAACCGGCTGCAAGTCAGTTTTTTTCCCCACACCAAAACAGAAACTCACAACAGAACAATGTTGTGGTATGCTGAGGAAACACTGTTAGCTGCTAACAGGCTAAAGTGCGCCGGCCAACCTGAGGTCCCGAGAGACTCACCCGTGTAATTTGAAGCAACCGCCGGGTCACTTTCAGCCCCATTCGCCACGGTTCGCACCTCAAAGCCGTAGTTCGTCCCCGATTTCAAGCCGTCAAACGTGTGGAAGGTTTCGTTCTCCGCGTGGGACCAGTCCTGGCCCCAGAAGGTGGAGTAGAGCCTGACGGTGTAATTCACTTTCGCTATGTTTTCAGGGGCGCTCCACTCGAAGGTGATTTGGTGTTTATCGGCGGACCGGAGCCTGGCGTCAGTCGGCGGCAGCAGCTCTGCGGGGAAAACAGGAAGTGAGGCAGCGACAAAGTGCTTTTGATCATAGATCGTATAGTGACGGGATTTGAACCCAGACATTCGCTGCAGGGTTCAAATGGCCTAAACGGCCAAAACTCCGCCGCAAGTCCTCCACGTTTATCGCCACAAAACCCGAATGCGGAGAAAAACCCGACGCCGACTCACTGGTGAACGCGGAGGCCTCCTTCGGCAGGCTGCGCAGGTGTCCAGTGACGGCGCTGACCCTCACCGCGTAGTTGGCCGCCGCCTTCAGTCCGACAAAGGGCTTCTCGGCCGTGGAGACGCTGTAGATCGGGCCAACGAGTTCGCCATCCAGCCACAGCTCCACGTCGAAAGTATCCCCGTTGGCTGAATTCCAGCTGGCGTTGAGGGTGTTGGATGTGGTTCTCAAAACCAGGTCCGAAACCGGCGTGGGAGCTGCGCGGGAGTCACAATTAGTCAGATCAGTGGGAGTCTTTGCGGTGGTTCTGAAAGCGCGATGGTGCAACGGGAAAAAGGGGCTAAACCAGAAGCCCGGAGTTACTGGTGTAGCTGACAACGGTCACGGTTTCTCCCTCCAGTTTGCCGCCGGCCGTCAGGGCCGTCACGTTGAGGGTTATCTTGGTGCCGGGCGGCAGCGACGTCACATTCACCTTCTCTTGCGTCACGGTTTCATTAAACAACACGCTGGTAGTGTAGTAAAGAGGAGACAGTAAAAAAGACAATTTTACCCCACCTCAGGTCTAGTTTTTGTAGTTTGTAGGGTACATTGTGGACGGCATGCGGATACATACCGATCACTGTCCGTCGCGGCCGTCACCCCGAAACCCGTGGTGTGTCCGGCGGGCCGCTCCCACGCCAGCAGCAGCGAGCTGTGCGTGTTCTGCGTCACATTCAGGTGGGACACCTTGCCGGGCCCTGAAAGCCGGATGAATAGACAACGACATCGTCACCGCTCTGGTCAGATGGCTCTTCAGAAAAATTTGCCTGTGGGCCTGATTTGAATTTTATTCCCCTGGCGCCGGGTTGAAACTCACTGGTGTATGTTGTGACATTGGACTCGTCGCTCCAGATGGAGTTGTCCTCGACCCCCGAGAGGACGAAGAAAGTGTACGGGCTCCCGGGGGTCAAGTTGCAGACCTCACTGCCCTCAGTTTTGTTTCGAATCGACGCGCCGCCGAATTTGACGTGATAGATATCCACGTTTCCAGCCGGTTTGCTCCAATTCAGTTTGACGCAGGCTTCCGTCACGTCGGCGACGACGAGGTCCACCACTTTGTTGGGTTCTGAGAAGAGATCGCCGGTCAGTTCCCTGAAGAACGAACAAACAACGAAAAGGTCGACGTACGAGGGGAAGGGGGCGAACTCACTGGTGTAGAAGGCGGTCTGCTGCGGGTGCATGTCTCTCCCGCACTTAACCGGGAAGACCTGCACCGTGTGGAGGGAGCCCGCCGTCAGGCCGACCAGGTCAAGGGTCAACAGGTTGGTCACATTTTGGGTGACGTTTCCGTGGACTTTGACTTCAACCCGGGAGTGGCTGATGTTGGGAACGGGGAGCCACGTCAGAACGGCGCTCTCCGACGTGACCTCGGTCACTTCCACTCGGCCGGGGAAACGATCTGCGGTTGGCAGAGAAGTTCACAAAAAAGGTACACACACACACACACACACACACACACACACACACTCAGATACGCATCAAGTCCCACCTTCATAACACACGAACGAAAGCCGCTCAGAGCAGCTCCTTTCGACCCAGGCCCCGAAACTCAGCATGGCCACGCACGAGTCCTCCACGTAGTTCCCCGCAGGGTCCGGCGACAGCACGCACTCGGTTCCCCCCGGCAGCGCCGGTTCGCCAAAGCTCGTCATAGTTGGCCCCACCACGGTCGGGAATTCGGCCGAGCCAGTCGCGTTCGGGAATTCGGCAAAGCTCGTCGCGTTCGGGAATTCGGCAAAGCTCGTGGCGTTCGGGAATTCGGCCGAGCCAGTCGCGTTCGGGAATTCGGCAAAGCTCGTCGCGTTCGGGAATTCGGCAGAGTTCGTCATGTTCGGGAATTCGGCCGAGCTCGGCGCGTTCAGGCTCGTGAACTGCGTGAACGGGGTGAAGCGCGTCGTGGTCGCGGTGGTCGGACAGTTACAGTAGCAGACGTTCTTCTGGAAGACAGGCCAGCCGGGATACCAGTTCTGGAAGAGGAGGCGTTCCCCGTCGGCCCAGCGGGACCAGGACGCGCTGGAGCTGCCGGCGTCTGAGAAGTTCCTGCGTAGGCCGATCCAGCTGACGGCGGTGAGGTTCTGAGCGATGGTTTTGATGTTTGCGGGGGTCACCGTCGCCAGATCTTTGTAACAGACCTGACGTAGACATTGTAATGTAGAAGTAAATGACGCGTTGCGCATTAGAGGGTCGAGGTGAGTGCTTGTGTACCTGGCAGTAGCTCCTGGCCTTGTCCCACGTCCGGCCCCCCGAGTCATGAACGAAGTAGTCTTGCTCTGCAGCGCCGCAGATCAGCACCAGAGCTGAAACACACCGACGGTACGTTTGTGTTGAGCATCGATCGACGTTGCGTTAAGAGCTCGAGGGGACAGCTTCAGAGTTAAGATTCAAAAGCTATTCAGTTTAAATGGGACAGAAACAATGGTTGCGTCGGAGGCCCGAAAATTTACATTTTGAAAAAAACTCATGAATTGAAAAAAAAAAAAAAGGCTGAAAATCTTTTTTTTCTAACTTAACTTTAGCAAATTTGATTAAACTTTAGCGTCACTTTGAGAAGCAAATTCTGGTTTTAAAATAAGTGTTCTCAAACATGCAGCATTCAGCTGTGTAAATTGGCCTCCCTTCAATACTTGCCATCTTTAAAAAAAATAATAATAATACTCACAGGAAACAAAAAGGAACATTCCTTCCTTGAGACAGAACTCTCCCATGATGAGTCCAGTAGATTCCAGATGCAGGACTGCTGCTGTGAAAAAAATAAAACTTAAAAACAAACCCAAAATCCCATTTAAACGTGTCACACTAACGACGAACACCTCACTACTCACCGGTGTATCAGAAGCAGATGAGTCCGTTTCGCTCGTCAAAAGGAAATAATACCTCAGAACAAAGAACAGGAGGAAATATAAATGCAGCTTCACGTGATCAACACCGGGAGAAAAATATGCCCCCGTGTTTGCATCTTCCAAACATGCAAAGTACTTATATGGAAAGTGAGTGTGGTGTAATTAAGGGAAGTGCAATAAAGGGTTGAGCGAGCAAAGACGCAGAAAACAAACATTGAGTGACAAATACAAAGAGTTTACATTAGGAATTTATTTTTTACTCAAAGATTTGTATAACAAAATGCAAAAATGGTACAAAAAAAGTCATGGAAAACAAAATGACAATGAAAAATATAGAAAGATCTCCTACAAAACTAAGTATTAAACAAATAAGAAAACATTAAATCTACTAGGTTTCTTTACTTGTTTTGGCAGTTTAAATATGTGGTTAAATGGATGAACAGTGTTTGGTCACATTAAACTCAAGTGGTAGACGGGAAGAATTGCATCGTCTGGAAATTTAAAAAATAAAATCACATTACATGCATCTCTGTCTATTCCTCAATTCCCAATTCAGTTTTTTTTCTCTGGTGTACAAAAAACAAAAAGCTACAAATAGTAAAAGGGGTGAACCAGCCAGCCCGACATCCATCAACCCAACCCGATTATCCCGTTTAATGCAAAAGCCTGAAATAAACCCGACGGCGAGGCGAGGACGTTTATTTGAAGACTGCGAGCTCGGTGGCGAGGCGAGGACGTTTGTTTGAAGACGGCTCCTTATTCGCTGTCGCTCCTCAGCAGTCTCTTCCCGCCGGAAGGCGCCGCCGCCTCGTGTTTCACGGACACCGTGGGCTTGGACAGCCTGCGACAGAGAGCGGGACAAATCCGCCCGGCGTCAGGAAGGAAGATGCAACAGATTTGGCGCAATTTAAAACCGTTTCAAGGACACGATGACCTCAGTCAGGGGTCAGATTTAAACATTGCACAGTGACCTCTAGTGGCAGGTAATCTCTACAACCGTACAGATGAAGCTAAAATCCAGGGTGTGACTTTGTGGATTATCCTGTGGAAGAGTAGCAGCCTCAACGTGTCGACCATGCGGAGACATATTCAGGCAGGATGCGGTTCTTACCTTTCTCTGTCCAGCAGCTCCAGACCATCGTGGATCTTCTTCAACCACTCATAACGCTCGCGACCTCGAACCTGCAGAAGAAATCGAAGCAGATTTATCAAAAAACACGGAAGGATTTTGTAAAGCTCCCCGGCGTTATAAGGGCGGATATCTCGACTTACACGCAGGACAAACACATCCTTGTCCTCCTCCTCGGCACTGGAGGCCGACTTGGCCTTTTTCTCAGACGTGTTGGGGGTCGGAGCAGGGTTCTCTAAAAACAAAAAGTCAAGGTTAGAAGAGGAGGAAATGGAAAGCAAGAGACCGATACCTCAAGAAACGCAATAAAAACTTGCTTCGTTTAGTTGTTTGTTTAGTGCCGATCTGAGTCTTTGATTTGATTTCCTCAGATTTGCGGTCCCTGCCTGGACACGCACAGACACGCACCTCAAAGCACCGCCGGCCCAAAACCAGTCCCCTGAGAAGAAAACACAAATGTTCACCAAGCAATGCTGACAACTCATGTATACCCTACAAAACAGCCACATTGCCATTTGTTGCGAGGAGCAGCGCTTACTCTGGAGTCTCCAGGGTCAGGATGGTGAGGATGGGTCTGCGGTTCATGCCCCCCATGCAGGAACTGTTGCACATGAAGCTCAGCAGGATCGTTGTCATCTCGGTGCCCAACTGAGAAAGGAAGAGAAAACGCCCCACGTCAGCGGGCAGCTCGCGTTGTTGTGTACAATCGGGGGCAGCTGACAGCTTTACTCGATTTGAGTCCCAATAGAATCCGTAGGGAGACAAAAATGCAGCCTTTTTTTTTTGTGAAACACATCTGTGTACATTGACTTTTAAGGCCAGAATGTGAAAGACTGTTGTTGGATCGTATACTCACGTAGAAAACATTTGAGGTTCACATATTAGGAATGTAAAAATAACTGCTATAGAAGACAAGCTCCCCCTCGGACAAATCGAGCGGGGCGGTCGCACCTGTGGGAGCTCGTAAGGGACAGTCACACTCTGCCTCTTAGTGTTGGGATCCTCAAAATATTGAGCCCTCTGGCTGCCCTCCACCCTGATCAGATGGCTGCTGTGGTCTGCAGCTGAATAGAAAAAAAAAAAAAGTCAGTCCGCTCAGATGTTAAACGCTCACAATTGTAGAAAAGACAAACATCCTTCCGCACTATATATAAAGCAACGTGTCACCAAAAGTGATTTCCATACCGTCCTCCTTCTGATGATGCGGACATCTGCGGACCACTTCGGCCACATGATCCGACTTCTTGTACACGGCCGTGGCCCTCAGGAGAGCCCCCGTAGGAAGCTCCTTGGTTACCAGCACTTCAATGAGGCTGGTTTTCGCCAGCTGGCAGTACAGCTTATTGAGGATCTCAGAATACTGAGAGAAAGCACAGAGAGAAACGTGTTATTAAAGTGTTATTGTCACTGAGGATGTACGTGACGACTCCAATGCCAAGCACTTCCAAAAAAACTACTAAAGCACACTACTATAACGTTTAAATATCCAATACTGTTATAAAAGTACATCTGAAACTTAAGAATAGAGTAGATAAAATGACAAAGCAGACATTATCAAAATGTCTATTATACCTTTTATCTGGCTTTTGGCCATTTTAACACGTTGCGCGCTGGAGGAAGACAACGCAGGAACATGTCCCGTCATGTCAGAGCTGGGCTTTAAAACCAGATAGCAACTCTCACACAGACCGGGGCACAAGCAGCAGGGGGCGGGAAATTCGGGGCGGATCACCCGAACCTCAACCAACCCAGCCAACCGCAGCGTGAGTCACCGCTCAGACTGAACCACCATTGGCTCTTCGAATGCGGGAACCGGGTCTACAATCGGGCTAATAGTCAGAATGAATGAGATGCCGTATGAATGCCACGATGACGTGTAAAAAAAAAAAAAGAACGGATTTTAAACTTATTTTGAGGTAAGATATTAACGCGGTTTAATCAAAATGGTTTCTGTGTTTGACATTTTTTTGTATTTGATAAAGCCTTAGAGAGACGGGTGAGTGAGTCAACTGTAAGTGAATCCTTTCAACTTACAGAACTCTGGAGTTTGAAATTTCTTTGTATTTCATTTGGATTTGATGGGAGTTAAATCGATACACAAGAGAAGAGTTTATGAAACATTCCTTTAACCACGTATGGACAGTTTAGTAAACGCTATCACCGAGGAGCTGTAGAAAATCTTTTGTCTCTTTCAAGTGGCTCAAACCGCTGCTACTTGCCCTGTTCGGTTGCAGAATAATTATTTCCGAGTCCTGTTGGACTGGATATTTCATTTGCACTAAACACAGGTGTCTGTTGTGGAAGTTGGTGGTAATTATTGAAACAATTATAATAACAGATTTGAGACATGTTACCTGGTCTATACACACACACACTTGAAATCAACTGCAACAGATACTAGTCTGTTTGAAATACATGTAATCAGATGGTCCAATATTTAACAAGTATTATTCTTAAGCTGAGGTTTACTTACAGTAGAAGTGACCGACTTGGCTGTGCCGGACTTCTGAAAGCGCAGCTGGAATCCGAACTCGCCCGGGTGGTCGCTGGTCACCGGCACGGTGGAGGCGGGGGGAGTCACACCGTCCGCAGTGGACACCTCGGGGGGGAACTCGAATAGCTTCTCATCGAAACCCTCCGGCAGCTGTTGTACCAGTGGAGAAAAAGATTCAGTCAGTCTGCATAAAAAAAAATATCTATGTTAATTCGTGAAGTTTTCTGCGACAGGTATCTTCTATTTTTTTAAGAAGCGCGAGCTGGTGACGCTTACCAGCGCCTCCATGTTCCCATCTTGCCACACGTTATGATGCGCCAAGGGAAGGTTGAGGAGCGGGGGGGAAACACTGCTAAAGACAAAACTAGTTTACTCTTTTTATTTGGTGGTAAATTGACACAAGATGAAATAGTAAGATAAAAAAAGAACACAACTCACACATTTCCCCACAGCTCTGCGAAGGAGTCCTGGCTGTCAGGCAGGTCCTGGCCCAAGGCTAATCCCTCGAAGCCGGTGCCTTCCATCATCGTTTGGCCTCCCTGCTGAGAGACCATTAGGAAAAGGCAAATTACAGTAGCAAAGGAAGCGAGAATCGGACCGATCAAACTCTCCATTTAACGAGTTTCCTGTTTAGCTGCCAAGGGCCCTTGTATTTAGACTGATAAACATTCACAAATGTTAGATCTAGAACTAAATAATTTACAAAAATCCCCACTTTTGAGAAGAAGACAGGGCCTGTTTTACTGGAAGTTGTTGTCATCTGCCTTCGCCGGTTCTGTCAGTTCGCACGTTGACGTTCAGTCTTGTAAATAAAAATAATATGATGCAATGCTGTATACTTCCAAAAGAGGAAATCCTCAATTAAAAATATGAAAGTTGGGCCTTGTGGTCTGCGAGCGGCTCTCTGACGTTGGTGTCGATCAGCAGTTTAATACATCAAAATCAGTACAAACGGATAGCACACATTCTTTAGCACATTCTGAGACGAGAACTGGCTCTAAAATCAGCGCCGCTCAGAACAAACAAACACGGTACAACGTTACCGTCGCGGCGGCTAACGACGGCTAACGTTATCTTTAGGCAGGAGGCCCACACACACCGGGGTCAATGAGTTGGCAATTGACGTTACAAAGTCACTCGGAGTAATAAACGTCAATGACTTAAATGCCTAAATGAGCTGGAAAAGCAAATCACGTCGACTGCACAACGGGGCTCGCAAAATAAACATCACTCCCATAGCTGTCCGCTTGCTAGCGAGCTTAGCGTTAGCCTACGTTGCTAATTACGTTAGCACTACGTTTTGGAATTCGACGGACGGCCGCTAGCTAAACTGTCGTAAAACTTTTTTCATCGGACAAATGAAGTGGCTTGCGGGTGTTTTTTGTAAAGAATAAGATGAGTGCGACTACACGGGTACCTGCTACGTACCGCTAGCGCTGTCCGAGAGAGATGTGTCAGAGGTGGGTGTAGAGGAGGCGAACTGAAATAGCAGATAAAAGTCCAAAATATTTTGAGTTTTAGCGGAGCACGTTGTTGTCGGGGAATCCCACAAAGAGCAAGGGGAGGGTTTAAATCTGGCCATTGACCAATCACAGAGCGTCCTGGCCTCCAACGTCATTCAATTCAACATCGCGGAAACGCTAGTTGCGTTCATGTTTCTCGGAAACATTACAATTTTCAAAAGTAATGTTTTAAATCAAAGGGATAGCTGCAACGACATGGTTTTGTATCTGAATCGGGTATTGTAACTGTCTACATCTCACCCAAACTACACGTTGACGCAGTTTGAATCTCTTTATTTCCCCTTTCTCTCCAATATTAACGCACAAAACAACGACAATCTTTTTTGAGTTTAAACGCAGCCAAGAGACGTCATGACGTATGGAAATGAAAAACGTAACGCCGCAATTTATCGTAACATATTTAGTGGGTGCCACTTGGTTTTCTAAAAACCAAAACGATTGCTTCGTTCACACCAATGGTTGCTGACCAAGTGAAAATCAAGTGATAATTTGTAAATACAGGATTTTGATATAACCATTGTGGAAATTCCCAATTTAAAAACTATAATAACTTCATTGTTACTATTGTAATCCTTTGGTTGTCTTTGGCCCAAACTACACAATAACCAAGTAATTACTTCTAGCACCTTGCAGTTTTAGCTGCTTTTATCTAAACCTGTGAGTGGTGACACAAGACACTTTCTTCTCTTTAAAGCAACATCCCTGGAGTTCACTTGGTGCTAAAACAAGTGGATCACTTTGTCACACTTTGATTAAAACAATCAATAATTATCAATAATTGGGTAATCCGCTTTGACGTGCTGGAAGGCGTGGTCTTTCCTCATGCTTCAAAGGCCCATCATCTGCATAGATAAGTTTCCCCACCACTGGTTTCCAGAGCTGCACAGAAACTCATTCGGGCGTTTGCGGCTGCGGTCACGCTGACCTGCTTACGTCTCGTCCTGAATCCGGCCACATCCTAAAAGAGGACTGAAAGTTGATGCGCATTTATCCCCCTCTGGGTGCACAGCCGTCATCGGTGCCACTCTGCGGCCAGGTGGCGGTTTGACCTTTGAGTGAATGTGACGGTGCCAGCGAGTCCGCATTGAACTCGCTCCAAGGGGCCTGGATACAATGGTGGGATTTGACAGGACGGGATCGAGGCGGGGAGAGAAAGAAGGGCTAGCATAATGTGGCAGCCGAATGCTGTAAGCAAATTGTTATTTGTTCAAGGTTTTCACATTGTGAGGCAGGAAAACCACCCACATGACTGTGAGTGTGTGGTGTGTGTGTGTGTGTGTGTGTTTTGAATCGTGTCCAGAGGTTACCAAGGGATACGGTCCAGAACCGCTTCACACATACAGCAGAGATCGCCATACAATTAATCGTTTAAATTGAATTTTAGCTTTAGACAATGGCTGCTCTTTTTTAAAATCATTTTGTGACATTATGGTTGGTAATCTGAACACGAGTGTCATTTTGTACAGCTCTTTAATGCATTACATGGCACCCGTAAGATAAAACATCAATGATGTTTGTCTCTGAAGTTTTGAAACATAATCATTCAGTTCATTTTTCCTGCCAACAAATGACGGAGATGCAATTTGGTGTGAGTGTTACTTACGGACGTTGACCACATCGTGCAACACCTGCCATCCATCACGAGACTTTACTGTAACATGATTTTCAACCAGCTGATCCCAGAAACCACACACACACACACATACACACACACACGTAATAAAAGGCAAGCACATGATGTGTGTGCGTGTTTCTGCCCATGTTATGGTGTGACTTTTTTCACAACACTCAATGGCTGCCAATGAACAGTTTTGGCGGACAACTTAGTTGACTTTTTGCATTTTGAAATAGTGCTGAACGTGTGCTTTTGGGTGAAAAACAAGTACTGCAGGGTGTGAGGTTTCACAGTTATTCGTGCCGTTTTCTCAGTCAGTACTTCTAGTTCCATCATTGTTCTTGGCTCCCTCTGTATGAAGTCATGTAATACTTTTTGGAAAGCTATCATCTGTCCGCCCCCTGATGGCGCAAATGAACTCGTAAAGTATGTTGGGTAGGCGCTACGCCACTCTTCTGACGGTGTAAAGTTACTCTACATTTAGTCAGAGTCACACACAGACACATGACTGTGCTTGGGGCCCCTGGCTCCACACGGGAGGGTGTCGGGTTCCCCCTCTCGTTGCTCGTATGAGGGCAGGAAAAGGCAAAGGCGGCAAAGGCCGAGGAAAGAGTGGCGCGACGTGGAGGTGTGTCCGCAAAGGGGTTGGGCCTGAATCCTTTGATTGAGAGATTTGGAGACAATATTTCTCCACCGTGAGCGCCCAATGCGGCCCTCTCACAACACAACCCTCCGACACCCCCCCATCCACAAACCGGCCCTAAGCACAACTGCACAGTTGACTCTGGAGGCGCAGCCCAAATTTAGGGTCCACCTGTTGCCTGTGAGAGAAAGCTTGAGCTTTGTTGTGCGGGGGGAGGTTCAGTGGAACGAGGGGGGGCCTGTGGTGTGTGACCCCATTGGCATGTGATCTTAAATAGAAACGGATTGGTGGCTCTGGGGAAGACAGACAATGGCAGCCAGGGCGTCAAAGACGAGCCCCTCTCTGCTGTGCATGAGAAATGTCGAGTCACAGCGGCGTGTTTGACTCCGACTCGGGTTCCTCTGAGGTTCCCCCCCCCCCCGGACGCTGCATTATTTTAACGTTGGTAGATGATGCTTAACACATCAGTGGGTATAAAAAGCCTCATCCGTTGCCACCTTATGAACAAAGTATGATGCACCACTTGGTTGTGTATTCTCTTTATGTTTATTTTAACACCGCAGAGCATATTATTATGTTAAAAAAAAAGGCCGGCCAGCTTTATGTAACCAGGAATACAAACAGGGAGACGCGATACCAAATTTGGCCCTCAGCAAATCTCTGGCTTATGATACCAGAGATATGATTGTTGATTTTAACAGGAATTTAGCAATGTAATCACAGCTCTCTCTCTCTTTTGTCAGCTCTTGGCATAATGCAAACCAGACCTCCTCCTCTGTAATACTGTTCTGCCACTCCCTTCGGCCAATCGCCTTTAAGGTCAGAAAAGCTTCCTGCTTGCGTCTCGACCTCTGTCAGAGGACCTTAAGATCAGCCCACTGCCCCCACCTCCCCTCCCCTCCTTCCCTGCCTCCACCCCCCCCCCCAAACCCCTCACCCTCTCAATACGAGCGCAGGAGCGCATGTGGGTGTGCGCCTGTCACTCCGTTGCCAGCTGGACGGACGCAAAGTTGAAAGAAGAGAGGACACCTTGCAGCGCAAGACTGCTCCCTTTGGGCTCCTCTTCGGGATTTTACATTTTGGTCTCCTTTTTGCTGTGGTTAAAGTGCCCGAGGTCTAAATCGGGGCTTGTTGTCCTTTTCGGAGAGTCTCACGTGTCTCCTTTTGGCTCCAGACGCATCTGTCGTCAACCGTTACCGAGCGCCTGGAGTTGCCAAAAGTCATGCCGGCCGGGTTTCAGCAACTCGGAGGGGAGGTATTTATTCCGATTTCATTTTAGTTTTCTCTATTTCAAATGTAGCAGGGCGTGTTGCTTAATCAAAAAGGCGAGGAAAAGCTGTGCGCATTTCGCTGTTGCGTGCGTATTTGAATGAGGAGAGGTTTTACGCACGGCTCTGTCTACGGCATACAAGTCGTAATACACATATAACAATTGTTTTATTGGTCAGAGAAAAAGTAAACACAGTGAGGAAAATAATTTACAACTGATTGTATTATCACCAATGAACGTTGTTACTTCTAAGTGCTAAAGAATCAACAGGAGCCCTGATCTGAATGAGCGTGGCCCTTGTTTAGTCCCGAGCAGTGACCTTGACCAGCAAGATCTCGGAGTTTGCAGGTCAGAAATGAGTCCCGTGAATTAGTTGTAGGCCACCTCGTTGGGCTCGCTCCTTTTTCAACACCCCCACCAGCAGTGGCTGTGCTGTGAGACCCCTGGTTTCTTGTTCAAGCGTGCAGCAGTTTAAAAAAAAAGTTTTAAACCTGTGATTCTGGAGAGCTCAATCTCTCTCTTGACAACAACAGAAGGTTGACTGTAATCTGTAATGCCATGAAGAAGAAAAAAAACAAAACACCTGGAGCTGCTTCATCATAAACATCTGTGACTGCCGGAGTTTGAGTTCCGAGGAGTCCGATTTCTAAATAGTGAGGGAAAAGTAAACGGCTTACTGAGAATGTTCCAGGCAGTTTTAAAGAAATGCATGCAGTGTAATAAAGCATACCTGACTGCTTCTGATCCCCCTCCCAACCCCCCCTTTGCTGTTGCAAGGACACGTGCACACACACAAGCACGCACTGCCTTTTGTTTTGGTTTGTGAATGCCAAGCAGCACTTATCTGGAGACTCAACAGAGCGAGGACGAGTCACAGGCCAACGCTCACCGACTAGAAACAAACGCAAACTTTGCCAAATGATTTATAAATAAATAGTCGTAGTCATGTTCTGCCCAAATTCGGCTTTAAAGTCACATCGCGTCGACGTCAGGAGGCCCCGCATCCCCACAATGTCAACTTCTCAGGAAGCGCTGACGGGTGTGTGGTTTCGCAGCAGCTCTCGTGTGAGCATCCAGCGTGTTTCTGTCGAATACGTCTTAACCAGGAAGCTTCTAAAAGTCAACTAATCCCCCGTCGGTCACCATGGAGACAGGTGCCTGTACCCTGATGGGAAAGTGCCGGGAAGATGAAGGGCCGAGGCGATTTCCTCAGGATCACTGCTACATATAGTTGCAGGGAGCACCGCTTCAGCTCTTATGCGCTCTTATATTTGCCATTATTATCTTAACGCCGACCGCTCCGAAGAAAAGTTGTTGGTTTTTTTTCACCTCCATGTGTTTCTTTGTGTGTGTTTGAACTCCAGACACTGACTGGAACCTTTGTGCTCTCTGTCTTCACTGCTGTGCTGGGATCTCTAGAGTTTGGATACAATATCGGAGTCATCAATGCGCCCCAGAAGGTAAAAATGCAATGCAAGCCGCATTTAAGAATGGAGGCGTGTTAAAAGAAGAACGCCGTGACGCCGAACCAGACGTTGTTTCTCATATTTTCCTGACACGACCGCGAGCTTGTTGATGCCACAACATCGGCCTCAAGCGCTGTTTAGATGGTGTTTAGACAATAAACTTGACACTCGACATTTAAGAGGGCCGACAGGAGAGCACAGAGAAGTTTGTTGAAGCATCGTCTGCGTACTGAAACGCAGCGACGCCAAACCCTGCGTAACACTCGCGAGCGAACAAATCTCCGGTGCCACAAACTCAGAACTTCCTCCCGTGTTGTTAGAACATGTCGCCGGACCCGTCTCATGCTTTCTCCTGTGCAGATCATCGAGCAGGAGTACAATGCCACGTGGGTGCACCGGTACGGCGAGCCCATCCCCGCCGGGACGCTCACCTCCCTCTGGTCGCTGTCTGTGGCCATCTTCTCCATCGGGGGCATGCTGTCCTCCTCCTGCGTGGGCTTCGTGTCCGAGTGGCTGGGCAGGTATACGCGGGCCGGACGCACGGGAACGCTGTTTCCTACGAGGGGGGAGGGAGGGGCTGTGACCTCTGAGGTCAAACTTCAGTCTAGTACACAAATAGAAGGTGGGGGAGGAAGCTGACAGATTTCTGTTAGTATCCTCTAGTCTGTATATTAAGAAAGTCATTTACTCGTAAAACCTACATGGAATTTAAACCCATTACTTATGATGAACCTGGTCTAAAATAGCTTTCCATTAACTGTTACAATGCAAAGGGTGCCGAAGGTAAATGTGTCACATTTCATATTTCTGATATTATTTAAGAATAACCACACATTTAGGCCATAGATTGAGCCGCTAACTGTTTTTGTAAGACACTGCCCTCTGCAGGGTTTAAGGGGTCTGCCTTCCTCGCGCGACACAATCGCACTGCGTAAACGTGTGCATCAAACAGCACACACAGTCTGTAGAGAAATTCACCGTGTGATGTGCCATCATTTCGTGCTCAAGAGTGTCCCTTTTGGGAATATAATCTGAAGTTAAGACTTGAAGTTCCAAGTGTATCAGGCTTTGCTGAGACTCTCTGATGTCAAATTAAGATGTAAAGTCTGCTGAATTAGTGCAAAGCCCCTTGTCTGTGTTTTGGGTTTTCCAGGAGGAAAGCCATGCTCATAAACAACATGTTTGCCTTCATTGGTGGAAGTCTGATGGGGTTGTCCAAGCTCTGCCGCTCCTTTGAAATGATGATCCTTGGACGCTTTATCATTGGTGCCTACTGCGGTGAGCTGTATTCTGTCCTTTCTCAGGGTTTTATGTCTGTCTTATAGCAGGGAATTCACATTCATACGACGACAAGGAGACAAAAACAAACCAACAAATGCAAAAACGACCAAGAAAGAATACACAAGACGCTGATCAAAAAAAGATACGAATCGACTTAAAAACACACGTGTTTCGGAATCGGTGGCTCTGGCTGGGGGGCCCCTGCACCTGTCTGAATGATTCTGACACCTTTTCACCTCTGCAGGATTGGCATCGGGCTTGACGCCGATGTATGTGGGCGAGATTGCTCCGACAAGCCTGCGAGGGGCCCTGGGCACGCTGCATCAGCTGGCCATAGTCACTGGCATCCTCATCGCACAGGTGCGTGTGCGCCGTGTTTTGACGCAACGACGTTGCCGAGATGTTTCCGTGGATATTTCGTAACAGCCTCTCTCTCGTTTGCGTCTTACGACCGTCACACTTGACCCCCCCCCCCCCCCCCCCTCCTTCCGCGCAGATCCTCGGCCTGGAGTCGTTACTTGGCGTTGAGGAGTTGTGGCCAATCCTGCTGGGTTTGGCGATTGTGCCGGCCGTACTTCAGATGGCGCTTCTGCCTTTCTGCCCCGAGAGCCCTCGCTTCCTCTACATCATCCGCTGCCAGGAGCACCAGGCCAAGAGAGGTGAGCGGGGCTGGAAAGAGCCCCACGCGGCTTTTAGGACGCCGTCGCTTTCAGGACTTTTTATCTGTTTAAAGGGCGCGATCAATCCTAACCCCAGGGATTTTCTTGGGGTGGCATCACAAAATCCTTATTTTGGGCTGAACAAGGATGGTTTAACCCTGAAGCTGATGACTTACACCTCAGTATCTGGAATAAGTACTCTGGGGTCAGCTTATGTGACATTGAATGTTCTAATTAAACGTACGCACCTCTCACTCCTTCAACGCAGGCCTGAGGAGGTTGACGGGCCGTCAGGATGTGAGCGTCATGCTGGCGGAGATGAAGGAGGAGAAGAGGAAGATGGACATGGAGAGGAAGGTTTCCATCCTGGAGCTGTTCCGCTCTCCGCTCTATCGTCAGCCCATCATCATCTCCATCCTGCTGCAGCTCTCCCAGCAGCTGTCCGGGGTCAACGCAGTGAGTCATAAAGTCCCAAAAAGAAAAGTGAATCCGTGCAGTGTAACGGACGGATTCGTAAATCTGTGCTCCCCTGTGTTCAGATCTTCTACTACTCCACCAGTATCTTCATGAAGGCGGGAGTCCAGAGTCCGGTCTACGCCACCATAGGAGCAGGCGTGGTTAACTGTGCCTTCACCGTGGTCTCGGTAAGAACGCACCTTTGCTCAGACACATCGGCGGCGTCTTTATGGACTAAAGTAGAACACGGCGTTTCCTCGTTGCCCACAGCTCTTCCTGATAGAGAGGATGGGTCGACGGACGCTCCACATGGTGGGACTCGGGGGAATGTGCGCCTGCGCCGTCGTCATGACCACGGCTCTCGCTTTGTTGGTCAGTCCACCTTTTAAAGTGCCCCGGTAACGTCACGCCCGCTTCCTCCGCGATTCGCCTGACGCCGTTTTTATCCCCTCCTCCTCCTCACCCGACAGGACAGCGTTCCGTGGATGAGCTACATCAGCATGCTGGCCATCTTCGGCTTCGTGGCGTTCTTCGAGATCGGCCCCGGCCCCATCCCCTGGTTCTTCGTGGCCGAGCTGTTCTCTCAGGGTCCGAGGCCGGCGGCCATGGCCGTGGCCGGCTTCTCCAACTGGACCGCCAACTTCATCATCGGCATGTGCTTCCAATACGTTGCCGTGAGTATTTGTTACCTGGAGCAGATGTTGCGGGTGTCCCAAGCAAATGCCCATTGAGGCATTTGTTTTTTAAAAACCTGGATGTAACCCCATCCTTCTCCAGGAGCTATGCGGGCCCTACGTCTTCCTGATCTTCGCGGCACTGCTGCTCTTCTTCCTCATCTTTACGTTCTTCCGGGTGCCGGAGACGCGGGGGAAAACCTTCGACCAGATCGCGGCGAACTTCCACCAGGACTCTGTAGGAGGGATGATGGACATGGATCTGGATCTGGACAAGGCCAGCACCGAGCTGGACTTTTTGGGGGAGGAAAGCATCAACTGAAAAAGCTCCTGCCTGAAAGGGAGAAGGGACCGAGTAGAGCTTGGAATGAACTTTTTGGGGCCCTGACTCCAAACTTTTACTTTGACACGTTGTATTGTATGTTGAGGTCGACTGTTTAATTCATATAGATTGCGGTGCCAAAGCAGTGATAGCAGTGTGACAATTTGGGGTGTTTTGGAATTGTCCTTTTCAGGTACCACTGCGAATTGAGCCTCGACGGAGGCTTAAACCTTTGGATTCATAGTTGACTACTGTATTTGAGGAACAGAACACGAGGGTCTGTTGAGGCATCGGCTGCCCCTGTGGTACGACTTTATTCCCGATGGCAACACCGACCGACGGAGGTGGAGAGACTGCACTTTATGATGACATCCAAAGTTTTCAGTTTGGATGTATGACCCCTCCCCACACACACAAACACACAGCCATAGTCACGTATACTTGCATTAAAGTATAGGAACAGGACTGGTGGGTTTGAAGGAACATTGCTTCTTTTAATCACGTATATCAAATGTAGGTATCAAACAAGTACAATTTTGGCATCAAGTCAGCTATTGGGATGTGTAGAAACATTTAAGTCTTCATCGGCTAACTGGGCTTGTAGTTCGTTCTGATCTTTAGGCAAAGTGCCATCACAACGCACATTTCTGGTCATGAGAAACAGCTCAACCTCCTGAAAAGCTACTTTGTACACACACACACGTTTATTTTTTGATATTCAGGTACGAGGTTCTAAGCGTAGCAGGTAGCCAGGAACAGTACGACGGTTACTTTTTCTAAATCACACCGCATCATACGTTTCTCTTCTGTGGCGTGTGTGCAGATTGCCGTATATCCTTTATCGGGGTGTATCACTACCTTCTGGAGATTTGTATTGAGGTTTTTCAGAGTGTATCTAATTTGTGAATTAAGATTCTGTGGTCATGTTGGGACTAAAATGAGGCAAATACTGTATATTAATGTTACTGTAAACACCTGAGAAGGACTCAGTTATGTATACCTAGTTCTGGAAAGTGAGTTTATGGTTTAATAATAAAATTTAAGAAATCTAAAGCAGCCAAAAGCAACATCTAACAGGCATGAAATTGGGTCACGGGTGAAAAAGATGAGGATATTACCCTTCTAGGGGTTTCAACTGGTTGTCCCAGGGATCTTTTTGAGTACCGACGAGAGGGGGATGGGAATTGACAATAGGGGACAAGTCATTAAATACTCGTCATGCATTATATTGCATATAATGTGTGCTGGTCGAGAAGTCTAAAATTAATTTGACAAATTTTTGCGTAGTTTAGAGTGACAAATCGTACCAGCGTACTTTGTAAGTCAGAATGCGTATCGGGTTGGCAGATCTGCTTATTGATAGAACACTTTACCTTCTGCCTCGTCAGTCTCCTCACCTCAAAATCTACCTCCTCAAAAACGGTCGCGTTAGCTAATCATTTTCCACCGGAGCTTTAGCTAGCTGGCCAACGCCGCGTTCCCTCCTGCTGTGTTTAACGACTCAATTCATCAAGCTGTAGCTAACGTTAGCTAAGTCGATGCTAGCTAAGTCTATGTCAACAAAGCTCCTGGGTAACTTGGCTTATACCAGAAAATATTAAAATTATTGAAACAGTCCCTCACCCTGTTCGCAATTCACTAAATACCCCCCAAAAAAACTCATCGAATCTACACGATTCACGTAGGTCACCTATTGGTTTCAAAACTGCGAATTCCGACAAAAGGTGTGATTTTCATGCCCGTTCTAATCTGCACTTCGCAAAATAAGCAAAAAAAGGACTTTATCCGGAGATTTGCAAACAGGATTTATTCATTTGCCTTTTTACTACCGACATTGCACATAATCCCCTCGGAAGAAAAAAAACAAAAAACAAACACAAATAATTAAAACAGAAAAATAAAGTTTCTTTTCAAACATTCCTCAACTGAGGAGATGAAGGGAGTAGTACGTCTCAAGAATCGATTGAGGTGGTAAAAGAACTAAACTGACTCCCATAATGCACCACCAACCTCACACCTGCTTGGTTCCCCCCCTTCAACCAAATTTTAAAAAGTTAAATAAAAATCAAGGCTGGTTCCTCTATAAATTACTTGATGTGTCCCATCCAGGATATTAAAGAAAATATTGTTTCAAAGGGGGGCTGGAATGACCCGGCTGCCAAGCAGATTGTCCATTCTGTCCCTTTTGTCTTTTTAAAGATGTACTTTCAATTTCTAAATATGCGGCCACATGCATCCCCCTTCTTCCCTTACTCCGCCCTCTCCGAGTCTAGAGGGGAGGAGGCCAGAGGGGAGAGACTGGGAGGGGGCCGGAGAAGTGCAGAGGGGAGAGCAGTGCATGCCTTCTGAAACGGGTCCAGTCCTCCAACCCTCGAAACTAGGAAAAAAAAAGGCAAATCAAAATTTAAAAACACAGGAGGAACAGTGAGCTCGCCATTCCTTTAATGCCCCTCAATACATTTACAGGAATGGAAACAGCTCGTTAATGATGCAAGTCAGTGTCACAAGAAGTGCAACCAAACACCCTGGCACCCCCCCGCCCCCCTCTCACCAAGGGTCACGAGACTGTCCTCTCGCCGGAGTCACTCCGTTGGTGCTGCGACTGTCGTGTCAGCGGGCTGCTGTGGGGAAGGAGGCAGTTTAAATTGTTGTGCAGTCAACTAAAAATAAATAAATGCAGTTTGGCTACGTACCTCAGGGGTTTTCTGTGTTTCGGGGGAGGTTTTGGGAGAGCCCTTTGGAGATTTTGATGTGGAATTAAAGTCGCCTGGTTTGGAGCTCTGAGGGGGGGTACCAGGCTCTGATGCAGACTTCTCTGCATCGTTCTGCAAAGCGGGAAAGTAAAACCATTGTGTCAAAGACAAAGACCCCAAAAGACTCCCTTACAAAATGTGATCCACATCCAGATTCTGAATCACACACACAGGGGACCTGTAACCTGAACCAGCAACGACGATCTCACGTACTTTTGATGTTGAGGACTCAGAGTTCCTTTGCCTGCGCCGTCTGGACTGGCGGCGCTGTTGTTTCTGGCCCTCTGGTGCTTCCCCGTTGGTCTGGGGGCCCTCGGAGGCCTCCGACTGCCTCACATCCCCTTGCTCCTGGACCTCTTCCGGAACGGCCCGCTCGCCGCCGCCGGTCGTCGTCGTTGTCTGCTGCTTGCTGTCGGCATCCTGATGGGCGGCAGCGGGGGCCTGCTCGCTGTTGGCCGCTTGCAGGCCTCCTGCAGGCTGCAGGCCGTCCGCAGCCGGATCGGGAGGCGGGCGCGGACGGAAAGGTCTGAATCCCAGGACACAAAAAAAATAAAATAATCAGTGAGCTTTGCTGGTCTGCCATGCAGAAGAAAAAAAAAAAAAAAAACGCCGGCGTTGCCTGGTCCTCACCTGCGGTACGGCCGCCAGAACCTGTGCTGCGGCGGTCGCTGCGTCTGGTCGCCCTCCGCCGCGCCGTCATTCGGCTCTCCGGCCTCCCCCTGACGTAGCAAGCAAACAAAAACTTTAGACTTGCAAATTTCTAAATATTTAAGAGCTGGCTTTAAAACCACCAATCCCTCGGCTTACATCTTGTGCGTCCTGCCGTGGTCTCCGGGGCCTGCGGCGGCGCTGCGGTTGCTGCTGCTGAGGTCTCACGGCGTCGTTCTCTCCCGATCCCTCGCCCTCAGCCGCGGACGACTGGCCGTCGGCCGGCTTGCCCTCCTCGCCGGGCCTTGGGCTGCGCGGGAAAAATCGCCGACGGAAGCGGCGTTTGTTGGGCGCGTAGCGGCTGCCTTTGACCGGAACGCCGCCCGGACCAGTTACGTTGGCTGCTTCGGAGCCCTGTGGGACACCAGAGAGAGGAGGGGGGCAGTGAGGTAAAACAAATAAATAAATAAATAAATAAAACATTAACGGCAATCAACTAAATGGATTCCGTGGATTCTCACCTTGGCGGCTTCAATCACATCGAACTCTACCACCTCCCCGTCGCCAACGCTGCGAAGGAACTTCCTCGGATTGTTCTTTTTGATTGCGGTCTGAGGAGACAGATTTAACATCTGAGGATGGTTCCACATAAAGTCCCAAAAGACTAAAGAAAACCCATTGCCTCACCTGATGAACAAACACGTCTTCTTTGGTATCATTTCTGAGAAGAATAAAACTCACTTAGCAAAACATGGCTCATGGGAAAAGTCAACTGTAAATTCTAAATCAAGTTTAAAAGTTCAGTAGAGGAAGGTACCTGTTTATGAAGCCATATCCATTACGCACATTGAACCACTTCACTGTGCCTTGGACCAAGGTGGCTAAAAACATAAAAATAAAACAAATAACAGCAGCACATGATTGCACATCATAAACTGATCATGCTTACATCAACAGAAGCCCCGCCTCCAACCAGAAACATCTACCCGGCGTGTCAATCATTGACCAGAAGACTTTGAGACCGGCTCCGTGCGAGGACAGGGGTGCCGCTCACCTGGACCCAGAAACCAAAGCTCCTCGTGCCCAGATAAGACGAGCTTAATTGGTGGCGTGAGTGAAACGAGTCGCACCTGCGTGACCCCGCGCACACCTAGCCAAGTCACGTGCTCACACCGTTTAAAAAAGGCCTTTGGACCCAAATAATGCGGATTATTTTGGATTTTAAAGCGCCGAATGGAAAATGGGAAGCTGCTAAATTCATGTGACGAAATATTCCGCCGACCTATTTAAGTGGAAATTTTAAAATAAAACATTTCTGCTGGTAAAAGAAGTTAATATTTGGTTTCACATCAGGGGTTTCATACGAATAAAACCCAAACGAAAGAAAAACGACTCACACCAAAGGGTTTTTAGAAAAAATATATCTAAATATTTAATTGCAGCTACACCCACCTATGACTTTCCTCTCCGGCTTCTCCTCCTCCTGCTCCTCCTCCCGGGGGGCCGCTGCTGGGGCGCTCTGCGCCTCGGCGTCCGTCATGCTCGCTGTCGGAATTGCTTCACTTTCACTCTTTTTTTTTTTTTTGCTCCCCCACCTGCTGTGGGCGAAACTTTTCATCTTCTCCTTCTTCTTCTCGGTGGAGGTCGGGCGGCAGTCGGCGTCCTCGGAGTCGCATTACTGCCCCCCGCTGGATGAGCGTCCTCCTGCGGGGTCCTAGTCAACATAGATCAGCGATTCCCAAAGTGTGGGCCGCGAAGGTACTGCAGGTGGGCCGCGAGAGGTCATTTACAGTAAATAAATAATTAAAAAAATTATTTTCAATTTTGAAAAGTTTGAAATTAATATAAAAATATTTATAATTTAAATGACGTGTTATTCTTTTATCTGACCTATTTTTGATCCCTATCCTTTGCGTCTAAGACCTGGTCGTAACATTAGGGTTGCAAATGTCTATATTTTTTTAACGATTGATAATTGATAAGATACAAAACGCACATCTTTTTCTCAGTTTAAGTAATATTTGAACAATTCCAGCGGCACATTGAGCGCCCTCTTGTAGTATTAAAGTAAATATATATGAGCTCCGGAGAAAATGGTATACAAAACATACATTGTCAGTTAATACATTTTTAATCGGTTAAACTCTTAAGGTCATTTAATCATCTCTAGTTTATGTTTTGATCAAAGGTTGGAGTTGTGATTAAAGGTTTGGGTGGGCCGCAAAAGATTTTCAGATTTCAAATTGGGCCGTGGCATTCTTGAGTTTGGGAACCGCTGACATAGATGATTCAAAGTATAGCAATTAGCTCCCTGGGACTGTGATACATTATTATGCTAAGAATATGCGCACATTGTAGCATATTGTTGTAGTTTTAACGATTTATACAAGTTATTAGAGGAATAATGGAGTGGGAATAAAATAATAATAAAAAATAGAACACGGCAACAGGTGGTATTTTGACTGGTAAATGTTTATGCTACAGGCTGCTTTTTTGGTTTGGTGCTTTAAAAGATGTTGTAATTTAGGAAACCATGAGTGATTTTGTCCTTTAAGCCGAGCAGGTGCCGTGTTTCTGTTGCTTTATTTAGCTCTTCCCGGTCCTAAGCATTGAATAAAAGGGTCACTTCTTCCGCGCCCCCATGATTGATTTGGTAACAACTCAACGTCCATGTTATTCTGCTGAGGCCACATCGATCCTAAACATCAGTTTCTACAGTGTAAAGTCAAAGAAAATATGACATTTGTGTGGATGTTTAATCCGTGTTAATCTAAATATTGTAGTATAGTGTAAAGCTGTCAAGTTCCAGAAAATCCACTTTTCTGTTGTGTCGAGGCTTGTTCCAGTTTGAGTACCAGGTTCAATCATTTTTATTTTGAAGACGAAAGACGGACTGAACATGATCCTCTCTTTGTGTCAGCAAATCTCAACTGTGAGTGATGTAAAACAATAAAGACGGCACAAAGTGTGGAGCTTGGCATTTGCTTTTATTTAGCAACATAAGAGGTTAAAGAACAGAAGGGAGAAACAAAAAAAGAAATGGTCCTCTTAATTTCGTACGTGGTAAAACAGTGTTCATCAGTGTGCGTGTTATTTTATGGGAAAACATGTAGACTTAATCTACAAAGTGTAAATTCAGCAGCTAAGTATTGCTGAATAATTTTCCTCCATTTTAATTGTTTTCTTGCAGAGACTCTGAACCCTCGGCGGGTGTTGTAACTATGGATGTCAATAAACAAAGAATCATTTCTGGTTCATGCTGTTTGCTTTATACAAATGATTGACATTTTAGTGCACGTTGTCCTCCAGAACAGCTATACAGTGGAAGTACAATAACAATCTGTAGACAAAGGTGAAAGATAATGTCGTTTTGAGTTTAGGACTTATTAAAGTTAAAAAGTACAACATGTTCGTCCTCAGGGAATAGCTTGAATGAGTTCAAAAGCAAAAAAGGGGGGCACCTTGTATTCGCACCTGGAACTTCTTCTTTTTTACTTCTGCACAAATAATCATCCATTTCTAAAAATGAACTTGAATTCAATTCATTTAAAAATCAAAGTTAGATGTTTATGAAAAAACACATGTATGAGAACCAAGAAGCAATCATAAACAATGCCAAAAAGAAACGTAAATGTACATGAAATAAAACGTAAATGAAAAAAAGGCATAGTCCAGCCAAACGGCTTTCACTGCGGAGGAGTCGACCAACTCGTCCAAAAATGTTCTCCGGGAACGGCGAGTGAAGCTCGGGGGCGATGAAGACGGGCTACTTGCCGTGGTGGTAGAACCTCTGGCCGCTCTGGCTGTGTGGGAGGAAGCTGTGTCGAGGAGCGCTCTGGGGAGACGTCTGAAACGGGGCCTGCGGGAGGGAAACACGGAACCACGATGCGAGTGAACATCGAGGAGCAGAAGCACAGGAAACACGTCAAGAGGAAAGTCAGTGGGTTGGAGGAACAATATCGCAGCCCCGTCGGGCTGCAACGCTCACTGCACAACGCAACACACACCTGCTGGAGGAGGCCTGGCGGGGGGGCGCGAGAAGATAAGCCTCTGAGATACACCGCATTCATCGGCAAAGAATATGCTTTCCCTTGCCCAGTATTAGGAAGGAGTGATGAAGGTATCACCAGGAAGGGTTTAGTGGAAAGTGTGCAAGTGTTTGAGGCTACTAATAGGTGTTGTTTTTAAAGCGGTTCTGGCCGTCACCTTTGCAGTAGAAATCTGGACTGCCAGCGACGGTGTGGGCAGCAGTCCCGGATTGGAAGGGTGCATGGACGGTGGATGCATGGGCCTCAAAGCTCCCTGTGAGAACATCAATGAGACGGAATTGAAGCTCCACTAGCCGGTTCCATCATGTAGACAGTGGAAAGTTTTGGGCCAAAGTTCTCATAACCTTTATACTATGTCCGATAAGAACGTAAGAATTTGTAGGATATTTCTTTAACAATCCCGCCGATACATAATCCCCAACTTTTCTATGAAGTGTGTCGCAATCATCTGCTTTGTGAACCTTTAGTGATGAAGCTTTTGTATATCAGCAAAAGGCTGGAACTTCATTTCTTACTGCGTCGGTGAAGCCGGACTGTTGGTTGGCATGTTCCAGCTGTTTCTGAAGGGGAATCCCTGCGCCAGGAATGTACCCTGCACGAGACACAGAAGATGCGATCAGTCATATACATCAAATACAACACACCCAATTGGGTTATTTTACAATTTGCTTTTCATTCTAGACTACTGTTCACGGTTTCTGCCATAAACACTCATTGGCAATAAAAGAGTAAAGGAACTGACCAGGCTGGGAGGTGAAGGGACTGTGGACGGGGTAGCCAGGCTGCTGGTGGGGGAGGTACTGCATGGTCTGAAACGCAGACGCGCCTGTGGGAGAACAAAAGCCGCTTTGTATGTGAACCACTGCAGCCACTTTGGTTCAAATGACTGATCTTAGCAGGACATTCAGCTATCCTTACTGACCTGAGGAATTTATTTTCTAATGACAAAACCTGAGACTCTGTGTACTTCACTTCAGAAATGAAGTTGTTTCGATGTACCCATTTCTTTACATTAGATCCACCGAAACAAACATGTGTCCTTTACCTCTGATCTGAGAACTGCTTGCGAAACTGACAGGTACCGAGGGTCCGGCAGCGTAGGTGGAGGGATGCTGGGCCTGAGCCACCCCATAGGCCTCATGGACCCCCTGGCTACCGCTGAACTGCCCGTGCTCCGCCGGCGCAGAGCTAAACCCGGGGGTTTGATAGTGACGTGTCTAAACAGAGGAGGAGGAGGAGGGTCAAAAGGCGTCAGATACCGGTGACAAAATGAGCATCTCCCAAAGACCACGGTTGGGTAAAACTGAATACATCAGCGGCGAGATGAGAAATGCCACGTTACTCACTGGAATCACAGAAGTTGGGAACAGCTGTTTACTACGTTCTCCAAGTAGCGCACCCGGTCGACTGTGGTTGACTGGATTGCCTTAGAAAGGCAAAGAGAGGGACCAGTGTTCGGACACAGACTAATGCAAATGATGCCTGACAACGTTCCAGAGAAGCCAGATGAGGTTTGGCCTGTTACTACGTGTTCCTGACCTTGAATGCTGAGGAGGTGCTGCCCTGCGTGCATGGGCAGGCTGGGCTGGTAGCTGGCTGATGTCAATGTTGTGATGTCACTAGAAAGAACAAAAATGCAACTGAATACCAAAAGATACAAAAATAAATAGCTGGGTTTAATAAAAAAATGATATCATACTTTTATGTTATGAAAGTAATGAAAACGCTGCGTCATCCTTACTACCTCTGCTCCTTTCTGCGCCTCTTCTCCTCTTCGTGAAGTACCTTCTTGAGTTGCAAGAAAAGCTGGTGCTTCTCTTCTTGGAGCCCTTGAAGTTTTTCCCCCATCTTCATTACCTGAAGTTTAGTTGGGGTTGTGAATCATAGCACGAGACGAACAAATTGCTGTACAATTTGCAGCGTATCATTTGTTCCAACACAAGGTAAGAAGTCAAAGCCACATTGAGGTGAAAACATCTATTGCGGTTGCAATGTATTAAATTGGACGAACCTGTTCTTTGGTTTCCTCCAAAGACATCCTCTCCTCTATTTCTTTGGTCCGCTTCCTCTCTTCCTCTTCTTTCATCTTCTGCTCCATCATTTTGTCCACCTCTTCCTCCTCTGAAATATGATATCCATGTTGTTTAGTGGTGGTGGCGACATTCAAATCTCCTACTTAAGCCTCATTAGCTATAAAATGTACCTATAACTACAGCACCGTATGACATGGTACTCAGTTGGCCAAGGCTTTTTACTCTCAAAGAGCAGGTATATTAGGGGGGTACACGTACAGTACAATTGATGAGTTGATAATGCTTTCAAATTGTATTTAATAGATTTAGTAATAACATGTAATAAGCTGCTTGCTCTTATAGATTTTAAATATGAAAAGTCAATATTCTGGTTTGTGAAGTTGTCTGCGGAATTCCATAGACACACGCTAGACACACGCAAAGAGCATAACATATTACATAATTATAGTATATAAAATAGATATAGAATGAAGATGAATATTTAGGACAATGACCAGCAGGTTCAGTCCTTGATGTAGAATGCAAATAGGCTAAATAACAAGGTGGGCATTCATTTCAGGTTATAGAGAAAGGTAAAGAGTTTGGTGTCAGTTTTATACACCTTTACCTCTGGAATTTTAACCGCACAGACAGACAGTAACCGCGCACCTTGTCTCTTGCGCTCCCTCTCCCTCATGATGTGCTTGTGGAGGGCTCTGGCCATGGCGTTGGACAGCTTGGGTCTCTCCAACAGGGCGGGCATGGTGACAGGCAGCGGCGGGGCCAGCTGGTGTGGGTTAGGGTTCAGTTCAACAATTGTTGAGCTTACAAGAAGCTCGCGGGTTAAGGGTGAAGACGGTGTTCTGTATACTCACTGCTCGTAAAAGCAGAAACGTTGGAAACGACACGGATGTAACTTACCGGTTAAAGGCCTATCGTTAGGTTAGCTGCCATTTGGCTAATAGTTAGCATTGTCAGCTTTAGCTGCCGTTAACCGACAGTATACTTAGTTAAATAGCATTGAATCCCCGGGTGCGATATTATTTTAAGGGTGGATAAGTGGGGCTTAAATATGCAAATGAGTAGTAAAAGCTTTATTTTTCTTATAAATGACTAGCATAGCAAACGTTAACAGTAGTTTGCTAGCTAACGTTAGCTCCTTAGCACAAACGTTACCCATTTCCTATTGTGGCATAGAGACAAAGTGCAAATAAAACTCACTTTTGTTGTATTATAGGTCCTTCTCTAATAACCAAACCGTCTCGTGGTTTTCAATCTGAGGCGACGTTACTGTATCTGCAGATAGCTTCAAAACTTCTAATCAAAATATAAACAGACGGAGAGCTTTACAGCCCGGATGTGATGTTGCTCTTCCGGGGCAAAGGACGACTGCGTTCTCTCACTGAATTGCATTCTGGGATTTAGAGTATCTTCTGTATTTTGGCGGAAATATTGCATTTCTCAGTCTAAATAAACAAATTAAACTTCTCGTTATATTGTACATCGATGTGTGGTCATCTTGTTGAATACGTTTTAGACGTATGCTTCATTTCCGCCATTAACATATCGTGACTTGGGATTTTTATGGTCTATATCGTGGCATTACTTAATGTTAACTTAACTGTTTTAACACATCCTCAAGAACGAACATTAACATCTCTTGGATTTGGCTGTGAAATTGTTCGCGATATGCATAATGAGATTATAAATAAAACCAGGTCCGTGTACGTTTTGTTTGAAATCCCAATGAATTCTCTATCACAATTTTCCTTGAACCAACGACGTTTTGCAGTAAGCTCAAAGAAAAAATACAACTGCAGCAAATGAGAGTGTGATTTTTCAGAGCGTAACATGCAAAGCAGCTGACGTTGGTTAAGAAGAAAAAAGATGCGCCGTCCCTGGGTGGGCTCGAACCACCAACCTTTCGGTTAACAGCCGAACGCGCTAACCAATTGCGCCACAGAGACATGCTCCTCGTCGAGGTAAGATAAGGTTTTAGCTGGTCTGTTTGTCGTGGTGTTTAATCAGCTATAACCTCTTAAGAGATACCGAAATGTATTTATTGTTTATATCATAAATAAATGCATTTCCTAAGTTTCATATTCAACCCGTAACTTAAAATTGGTTACGAATTAAGAAACAAGGACACATAACGTGGCCTTTATACTTTTGCTCCTGATTGGTGTAACATTTACTGGTGAACACCAGCTCATAAGACACACAGTATTTGAGCAGGCACACAATCTGAAATGATAAGGTTCCCCATGCAAATACCGGAAGAAAAGCTGAACTATATTAAAGATCCAGGGGGGGTTTAATGTTGCGCCCCAAGACAAATTTGATTATCCGGGCAGTGTTTACACAGTACCAATCAAAAGTCATTCAAATATTCAATAACGACAGGAAACAGAGCTTTTAGTCACATTTTATCATGTATGGTCATAAGTGGAGAGAAAGAGCCAGCAACGCAGCTGTATACAGAGTTCAAATCTTTAAGACAAACTTAAAAAAAAAGAAAATTACTCAGCTTTACAATACCTTTTAGAAAATAAGCCATCTAAAATTAACAACATCAACAATCATAGTAGCAGTCAACATAAGTCTCACCACTGAAAGCGGAGAATGATTGTTAGTCTGAATTCTATTCTACTCCTCACTTAGGTCACACAATTCTCATTCACATACTTCAGTGATTGGGGAGTTCTATAGAAACAGCCAGACACTTTCTTTTTTTCTTTCTAGGAAAAGAACTGCTGCAAAACAGTTATCCTTTTACTCCGTTGGGAACCTTCAGCTGGAATAAACTAAACTCTAGGTACACTTTAAACCCCTACAAGCGGACTAAACAATAAATCGATCTTCTCAATAAGAGAGCGGATTTGAACTTGCATACCTTTCTTCCCTTAAAATAGCAATCCTTTATAGGTCCCGCAGCGGGGAAATGACCAGGATTATAACTCTGGGGTGATTATATTTTATAGCCCAATTCAAACATTTTTTTCTTTTATTTTTTTTTAATTGGTTCTCAGTTTTTTCAGTAAAGTAGGATGTACAAATACTACACTAGAAAAAGAACTGGCCACAAGGGCACTTAACCCAAGACACTACTGAAAAAAAGAAGAGGAGGCAAATACAATTCAGACTGCAGAATAATGAGAACATAAATGGAAGGGAGAGGGGTAATGTATAGGTGGCGAAAGTGCATCTGACATTTCCACTCCGATAACTCTAGGCTGCTTAGCTGGATTTAATATTTAAATGAATGGTGGAGGTCTCAGAAAGGTGGGTAGTGGTTGGAGGGGGATGGTAGCGGGGTCAGATTTCCCTTTGGCTGCTCCCGTACACGCTCTCATCACTGTAGGCAATGTAGAGGAAAAAGTCCTCTTCGTGATGCTCCTGAGTCACAGAGTAAGAAGAAGGGATGTTAGCATGACGGCAAAAGTTGTACAGGGGGCACACATGCATCTGCGACGAGAGCGGGTCACGGAGGTAGAAAAAGACTCTTGCCTGGTACAACAGTCCCATGGTTGCTGAGGTGGGTGGAATGACGTTGTTTACAAAGAAGAAGAGAGCATCCTCCGCTCGCAAGTGGATTCTTTTCCGGATGAGAAAGTAAAACTGTCCCACTGATGAATGACAATGGACAAAAAACTTCAGTTGTTACTGCACTCTGTATGTTTGTACTTGGTCTCGGGAACTTGGCAGGTCATCAAATATTTACCTGTCAGGTCGGAGGGGACGAGATATTTCTTCTTGTCCAGATCGCCTATTCTGGCTTTGGGGGCTTTCTCCACAATTACCTGAAGAAAGAGGAAAAAAACATTAACAAAAAATCCGTAGCCGTGTAATCTAGTAAACGATAGACTGAACAAAAAGTGAGAAGTATCTCAGTAGATTGTGTGACCTTTCTAAGAAAAGGGATCCGAGAATACGCCAACTTCCTCATTCAAGCGAGAACTGAAATATTTTTAAACCAGATGCTTTTTTTTTTAAAACACCTGGGAAACTTTGTAATTATTCGGTTGGAAGGACTTTGGTATATTGAAAAGTAATTCACACCTAGAGAGTAGCAACAGAGGACTGACCATAGGCTCCTGGTTTATTCTCTTGGGTCTAATAATAGGACCACTACATGAAGGCTACCTGCCACCTCAACAGCAGCATCACGTAATTACAGCACTGAAAACGGTTACTCAACAACAAGCAACAACATATACTTACGAGTACACTTCATTTCATTCACAGCGTCTTATCTTATATCCTCTGGTTTCCATCGTGTCCCAAAACAGCTTAATGAATACATGTGGGCTTCGGACTATTGGTTTGTACACCATAGATCCGACACATTAAGACTCAAGGAATTTGGGAAAAGCTCATTTATTTATTTTTTACTATTGGATGAAATAACTGGATAACTCAACGACTGAGATGAATCGGAGCGATGAGTCACGATGTTTTTCAGGTGACCGTTTTAGTTTCCCTTCCGTGTAAAAGCGACACATCACGAAACGTCCGCTGCGCATTAACCGGACAGCGGGCTCCACTCGGCCGGGCTATTTTTATTTTATTTATTTTTTAGAATGCGAATAGATGCGACGCATCCTTTGAGGCGAGGTTAAAGTAAAACAGGTGTCTCGTTTAACAGGTACTATATTTTTTTAAGGTGCGGTGCCGTTTGGAGTTTCAACACACACAGCCGGAAAAAAAACCCAAATCCCCTCCGTAAACACAGCGCGGACTCCCACTAACCCCCCCACGGTCATTACACCCCGCGTGGCGTTTTATTACCCGATGTCATCTTTAATTCTAAGCAGCGTATTTGTAGAATATGTCGGAAGGATAACGGGCAGCGATCCCCTGATGGCCTTCTCGGGGGGCGGCGGCGGCCGTCGTTCTTTCTGGTTAACCTCCGGCGTTAGCTCTGTCGGCTAGCTGCCGAACCGTTTAACCAACGTGGCGGTCAAACAGAAACGCTCGAAAGAACATTCGAGTGCGGCTACGACGAAGCCACACGGACGAAAGGCCAAGTGTCCAACGCGGGGACGCTGCGTGCCACGGGCTACTCGCTAAACGGCGCTAGCGTTCCAACATAGCTCGCGCTACCAAGCTAACGTTAGCTACTTACGGGTACCCTGTCCGGATACTTCTTCCTTATTTTCTCGCCCTCGGACCGCCTTTTCTCAAAAGGGTGCTCTTCTTTGTACTGGAACTTCATCTTTAAACGAGATGACAGACAGCGAGTCGGTCTCTCCGAGGTTGGGCGATTGCGATCTTGTCGGAGGAACTGCTCAGAAATCGCTGTCACACACGACAAAAACAAACGATGCTAACTAGCTTTCTAGCACGCCACAGCTGTTTTCCTAGTGCGACTGCGGCGGAGGGATACAATAACAACATGACGTTGCAGAGAGTCTAGTTAGCGATGTGGGTTCCGCCCTATCCCAGACAACGTTATCCCCAAGTTCTGATATTGTATGTTTACTCAAATTCAATGTAACGCTTTGACATTTCACGTTTCCAGGTGCTTTCAATCATATGATGCAATCGCTTTTGTGGAACTACTTTTATTTTGATCAAGTGCTGCGCATAAAGACGTAGGGCAGGGGAGTGAAGCGGCAGCTGTCCTTGTCATATGACCGCGGCCCAGCAGTTAGCACAGAGACAAGAAACTAACACAACACGCGATAATAAACTGGAATTTGGACCGAATAGAAAACGGTGGTCTAAAAAAATTGGAGTCCAAAGACTTTCATCAGGTTCTCTGCAAAGTGGCCAACGTTGAGAATGAGTGTCACTCGTTATTTAAGCTCAGTTATAACTACATTGTTTCGAAGTTTCGCTATTTCGGCTGTTGCCGCAACATGAGGGCAGACTCATCAGAACAGGTGAGACCGCATTGGTCGGGCCTTTCAGCCGATTTAAGGAGGGAAATCCCACGACGAGTCAATGCGGATTCTCCTCTCTGGGTTTATTTTAATCAAAAACACAATACAATACCTGTCACACAAAAGTCGCTAACCAGCATATTGTGCTCGTGACTCTTTCCTCCCCAATCCCCTATGAGCTTTGATATGCAGACTTCCTAAAAAGAAAGCTCCTTACTGTGACCAACTTCTCTTAAAATGATCACCTCTGATAAAGAAAACGACCCCTTTCTTTCAAACCAGAATGGTAACTTATGTGATCATGGTGGAGTTGTGTCTTTGGAAGTTCATATACAAGCTGAATACATTACTTGTGAGTACGGATGGTCACTCACGGCAGCTTCGGGTTACCGTGCATCCTTTAGTTATACTATGGGGGCAAATGTGAGAGTTTAAGGTATGACGGGTCTACGTCATGAATGGCGGGTGTCAATTCTTGATGATGCAGCAACCCATGACATAAAGAAGCACCAATTTAAGTCGTGCCTTTTTCGTCTCTTCCTCGTATCACAGGATCACCGAGGCCTCAACAAGAGATCATCCCGAAGTAAACGCAACCACTGAGCAGCTACACGGCTCCTGATCCAAGTTCTAGACATCTCCACTGACAGTTACCTACCTTCCTGACAGCCATGTAGCAGGTTGTGCTGTGGAACACTGCATTACATTGACTTACTATAAAAAGGATAAGCTAGACCAGCAGCATTGATTTAAAATGGGAAGATAAGACAAACTTCAGTAGAAAAAACTCAAAAGCACCAAAGGCTTCCACCACCCAAAAATAAAAACAGCTCAACTATTTATAACCTTGAACCATGAAGGTACTATTTATTACATGTTGTATTTTTGTCTGAGCCAGCTGTACCAAATACACAGACAGCTGAGCTGTCAATCCACATACAAGCCATTCAGCGCCATATATGACACAATCGGTCTTAAACAAGCACGTGAGTTGTCAGTTGCCTTTATCTGAAGGCCGAGGATCAGCTTCCTTCTGGACGGGAGACAAACATCTTCCACATTATGGTTTGATGACGAGTAGCTTTTTTTTTTTTTTTTTTTTGTTGGAAAAACCGGCATCGACGTTGAATACAGTTTCTCTGAATACTGAGCGGGCAAATGCCGTTTCCCGTCACGCCACACGATGGCAGCAGGCTGTTGGGCAAAAAAACAAAAAAACAACTTGCCTCCAGCAGACATTGAGGGAATCCTCTTAAGCTTTTTTGTTTTCACCCCCCAGAGCAAAGTCTGCAGAATGAATTTGATTCAAAAAAAAAAGAAAAAAAAAAGAACAAGCTAGATAAGAATGGTCCGATACTGACAAGTGTTTTATTAGTAACACAGACCTGGAGACAGAGCCAATGAGAAGCCGGTGTGAGCCTTGACAACAAGACATTGTTCACAAGGCATTTGGAGTCCAATAGTTGAACCCATACAGTCAGCGGAGCGGGTGAAAACCGAAAGGCTGCAAATTTGAATCAAATACAAAACCAACTGCAACAAAAAAAAAATATATATATATATAGAAGGGGAGAAAAAAAAAAATGAAGTGCAATTCCTATTCGCTGAAATCAAGATGGCGTCAGATGGCAAAGGAGAAGGAGAAGGGGGGCAAAAAGTTGTGGTTTGAAGAAGTCATATCGTCACAGACCATAATTGAGAAACAATCGGATATGGAAAGGCGGCACTGCAGTCCACGTACTGTTACAAGCAGATTCTTTTCTTTCTCTCACGTTTCAGTCCAGTTTTTCCACGTGGGGCTTTGTGGAAAGAGCGATGTTTATGGCTGAAAAACTAAAACAAAAGATCTCAGGCTGCTCGGCTATTTGTCCAGAAAAATGCCTGTGGAGGGTATGTGGCAAGCAAAAGTCCATCCTTGTTGGGGGGAAATAAACCTCGGGAGTCGATTACCTTTTGGGCGCGTGAGGTTGATCTAAAAATGGGGCGGCTTTCCATCCCCCCCCGCTCAGTCGCACTGAGAGGCCAATCAATCGTCTGCTTAAGTGCAACGTCTAAGGATGATGGAGAAGGAGACATGATGTAGAATCGTCTTTCGTTGCGTTGCTGATCTCCCCCGTCCAGATTTTCAAAAAAAAGTTTTAAAAAGGACTGACATACTCCGACTCTCGTACACGAGCTCACCTCCGTATGCACACAGTCAGCATCAGGAGCAATAAGGCAGAGAGGCTCCGTTTTGTTTTGAAAAAAAAACAAAAAAAACATACAAATAAAGAATCGAGAAAAAAAGAAGCAAGCTGCCCCTCCCACCCCCCTCAGTAGTTTGTGGGCTCCTTGGTGACCACGTACTTTTCATCCCGTGTCAGGCGGTCGCCCCCCCAGCCCTCGTCTCCCCAGGACGCGTCTGAGAGGCTCAGAGAGGGCTGGTGGGTCGCCTGGGCGGGAACGGAGGGCAGGATGGAAGCCGGCACAGGGGGACGAGGCTGGTCAACAAGCCCCCCCCCCCCCCCCGCTCGATTTAGCCAATCACCAGAGTCGATGCTGGTGGAGGTTTCGGCAGAGGACGGAGCGAACATCAGCAGTGAACCTGGAGGGGAGAGAGAGAGAGAGAGACCGTTAAACCCAATGACATCGAACGCTTCACGGGCGGAGCCATTAAAAAAGGGACGGCTCATCATTTGCGAAACACAATCACAATTTGCTTTCTTTTTCTGCGAGTACATTGCCATGTTGGAGTAAGCAAACAAATGTGTGGAAACAACACTGGGATTTTCAGCAGGAAAGCCAATAAACAAGCATCTACCCCAGATCACTGAATTATTCCTGAGGACATCTCAGAGCGATGTACGAAGTGTACTTTAGTCAAAAAGGTTAACGGTGGAAATTGTAGGGTTTTGTAGTTTAAAGTCATTAATCAGACCATTTAAATGAGAATTTCAAGGGAGTATTAAAAAACATGTCAACAGCTTCACTGAACTATAGTCTCCTTCATCATAACATCAATAAGCTGTCCACTGCAATCCACTAAAATAATGGCACCACTTAGCTCACTGTTTGAACTACACAAAGGTCCTTTTGAATTCAGAGGATACACATTTGTACACAAGAGTCTAAGTGGTTGCGTTGTCCATTTGCTCTCATGCCAACTTCATTATGAATCTTACCTTAGTGCATCCAGCATAGGCAGCAAGTTAAGAAGTGCTGTATCACTAGGGTCGCTGAACCAGGACTTGATTGGTATTGCATTGTCTGGACAGCAATAAAAGAGTGAGGTCAGTGAAATGGGACTGTTTGGGACTTCATGCTGCTCTGTTGAAGAGGAACTGCAGATCGAATGTGCGGTCGCCACATTACAATACAAGCCTTGTTCTGAATAAGAACTGCTCAGCTGCTACGTCGATAACCCGAAGCGCCTGCGTACGGCGTTGGGAGAATTATGTGCAACGAATTCCAGCTATTAAATGAACTAAAATACAAAATAGGTGTATGCTAAAGCCTCGAGACTTACCTGGATGACTACGATAAGCACCAGGCGAGTTGTCCAGGATGACAATACTGGATAGGTCATCGTGTACTACGGAAAGGTCTTTAATATAACTACCTAGATCCAATGTACAATGCTGCGGAAATACAAAAAAAAAACAACGGCACATAGGACACCGTCAGGAAATGAGAAGACTTCATGAGGCAGAATCATTCCATTAAGAATTCATTATAGAGCAGCACCTGTCTGTAGTATCTGCGTTTCAGGATGTTCCTATTGTTGTCCAGCTTATCGGCCACTGCGGAGCCGTAGATCTCCATACTGGCTGTGAAAACCACCAGCTCGTACCACTGGCTCACCTGTGTACACACAGAGCACCCAATGCATTGGTTTTAAAAGTGCTTCGTACATCACGTGGGATGTTAATCCTAAACATTATCAGGTGACCTGAGACATGAGGTTTCAAAAGCACATATAAAACTGACCACGGGCGGACACTCACCACTTCTAAAAAGAAGTCGACGTGCGGCCTTTTATGTACGAAGAACCTGACTGGATGCTTGTCGATGACTACCTGCATGTGGAGGAGGGGGGAGGGGGGGAGAGGGGTTTAGGCTCCATTGCATTGGCGCTCCAACATGTGCACGCGTGGCCGAGCGCTCGTACTTTGAGGATGAAGTCTGGCGGCGTGCCAGGCCTCACTGTGGGTCGGAGGACGCCGTCGTGGTGAGAGTGAATCAGCGTCTCGTCCAGGTCCAGGACCAGAATCTTCCTCTTTACTGCATCTGGGAGTTCATCACACAATAGAGACACCATAGCTCAGACACTTAACACAGCTATATAATATATATATATATATATATATATATGTATTTTTTTTTTAAATACAAGGCTTGTCAAGGGGTTCACTTAGAATTCTGGGAGAGAAAAACCTTTGGGGACTACTTGATCTCTGCAGATGGGTTTCACTGGACTCCATTTGAGCAACTTCACGCTTTATTTTATTCATGCATCCAGGTAACCTGTGAAAGCCTGTAGATCGACCGTGACAACAGAATCCCTCCAAACAAGGCAGTGATCTTTGGGAGGGAGTGAGTGAGTGAGTGTGGACACCATCTCCTTGAAACCTTTCTTGCTGACGTTAGGTGCTCGAAAGCAATGAGACACAGCGTTTCCAACAAATCACCTAGACTCTGGCGGCCAACCACAATCCATTTAACGCCGCCGTAGTTTCCCAGTGGACCGAAAAGATTTGTACACTTCTCAATAAGTGGACTGGCTGAGCCTCCCCGTGCACATTTCCTCCGGTAGCAGCAGAAGCGGCGCCCATTTACAGCTCCTTCGCTTGAAACCGGACCTGCGTCGCCAGCTGAGGTCGCCGTAGCGACGGTGGAAAGTGAAAGTGAACGGCAATCCTTCCTCCAACTCCGGAGGGCGCTTCTGAATGAGGTCTCAGCCGGCAGAAGGGGGGAGTTCATTCAAAGCGCGCACACAGGAGTCTTATTTTCAGTGCCGGCTTCAACATTTGTATTTCCTCTCCACTACAAGACACACTTTGTCACCGCCGTCAGAGAAGGAAGCCAAATTTATTTCCTGTTTTTTTGCTCGGCTTGGTGAGCGCGTTTGGGTGGATCACGGCGTTAAGCTGCTACCGTTGAACTCGGCGTTTCCCTTCTGGGACAACAGCTGTTTACATTGCACGCCTGGAGCCAAACTAGACGGACGAGTCTTTTCATTTTAGCACTCTGGTTACAGGTCATGAGAAACATGGTTTAGACTGTGCAGCAGTGGCTCTGCATCCTTGGTATTTTTGAACGAGTCCAGGTGTGGGTCACCTTAGCGGACGCTCCCATTGGCCCAGAGCAGCTCGACCTACGGCTACTAGCAATAAGTGTGCAAATCTTTCGGCACACACACACACACACACACACACACACACACACACACACACACACACACACACACACACACACACACACACACACACACACACACACACACACACACACACACACACACGACTGTCCGGAGTCTCCTACGAAGTTGATCTGTCTAGAAATACTGGTGATGTTCATGTGTTCATACGTTCTCGTAATGTTGCAGGTAACTTTCGTTCTCCGCCCAAACCCTCCTTCCTCAACAGACTGGTTCGACTTCTACATAAAGGACCACGTTGTGATTGTGCGTCTCTCTCTTGTGTTGCTCCCATAAAAGAAAATCAAAACCGCGTCTGGGTGGAAGCAGCATTGCTTGCTGGGCTGGCCGAGCCGTCCCATAAGCACAATGTGGTCGTGTACTCACTGAGTCGGTTTCTGGAGATGGGCGACAGCGGCAAAGTGTCGTATCGCACCGTCTGATACTGGATTATCTGTAAAAGCACCGGACAGATCAGTCAGTTAAACATTTACAGATCACTGTTAGAAGAGGACAGCATATACAATAAGCCAGCATTAATTTAATTACAGGTGAAAGCTGGTTCATAACAAGTGCACGGAAGGGTCGAGCTTATTTTGCTGTACATCAGAGCAGAGGTAAGAGAACAGAGGTGGGGGGGGCGACACCATGTTGAAATACTAAAATAAACTCAGCTGTGTCCCCCCCAATGTTCCTCCTCTGTGACTCCCTTACGCTGGTCAGGACGACTGCCCAGAGGACCCTCTCATGCCCTGGGGCAATGCACTTTTCCTTCAAGGGGGCTATATTTAGCCCCCCACCCCCCCCCCCCCCTCCCCAGCTGTCAGTGGGTGTCAGTGGAGCATGGGGGGAGAAATGCAGGACTTGCAGGGTGACTTTGACGGAGCCTCAGTACCTACGCCTTGGACAGGGCCTCCCTCCGAGTCCGCTGCCTGGCAGACTGAGCTCAGGGGGAAGTCTTGTGCTGCCGAGCGCCGCGGGGGAGGAGGGGGCGACCTCACCCTCCGCTCAGCTCGCCGCACCTCCCAGAGCGTCCGTCTGGACCCCAGGGCCGCAAGCCCACACTCAATCCTTTGACCCGAGACCAACATTTTGAATTACCGTATTTCCTTGATTAATGACTATGGACCCGAGCACAAGTCGACATTCTAAAATGCTCGTTTTGTCCGATAGTCCGAAAAGCAAAGATATGAAGTTAACGATAAGAAGCTGAAACCAGAACAGTTGGTGCAGCCCTCCCCCTTAAAAAGGTACACGTGTGATTAGGGTCCTATTGATTATCAGAGTTGTCCAAGCACCAACTCTGCACACGGTTCACCTCAAGCAGGAGATAAGCATCTGTGGACACGGGGAGACGATTACCAGGGCCTAATATTCATAAGCCAATGGAGCTTTTATTGATCCAAGTGTGTGGATCAGGTCACGGAGTGGATTGTGGTAACCTCGAACAGAAACCCCCTGAAGTCCTACCTCACTCACAGAAAACGCATTTAACGAGGATATAATGTGATTCTTAAAAAAGGAGTCGCCCCAGTTACAACAAATGGGAACTCAATAAATCAATCCCTTGTTTACGTCGTCACATCCTCACCTCCAATCACCCACGAAATCACCTGGAATCCACAGAACCCCTCACATCACCATGCATGGTAAATCAATGCCACTGCGTGGTGACATTGTTCCAGGCCATCGCATATTGTAAACAACGGTGCTACGTTGTGAGCGAGAAGGGTGGTGGTGGTGGTGGGGGGGGGGGGGGGGGGGGGGGGTGGAGAACAGTACACCGTCTGTGCCAACCTAATCCCGCTCACTTCAGCCACAACATGGGACTGAACCACTCACGCTCTCGGGGGCCCGTCGACGACCAGCAAAGCGTTGCTGCCTCACAATGAACTGCGGACAAACGTCCAACAGCAAGACGATTACAGGGCGCGGAGGACATTCCCTCCGAGCTTTGTGGGCTTGACGCTGAGCCGGAGTCGAAGTCCGCTCACATTTCACTCAACAACACCTACGTGTGCGTCTGAGTATCGGGGAGGCAGCTTAGGACGCCTTGAATGGCCACGCTCATGGTGGGCCGGTTGGCGAGCGATGGAAGGCGACCTGCGGGCTCATCGGGCTGCTCCTCAAAATTTGGCATTTGCGTGTGGGAGGTTTCCACTAATCGAACGAGCCATCCGGCAACACTTTCACCTCCAACACGGACACCAGGGCACGATCTTTGTTTAACACCAGTGTGTTTGGTCAGACACTTAAATGATTACTCGCCCTATTGGGAAAAACAACTGTTTATCAGAAATAGGTTCTTGCAGTTGCACATTTTGGTGCACTTAATGTACTTGTGCAGGTTTACACAATTTAGATCCTCTCAGCTGTTCCTCGCCATCTCCCTGCTGAATGAGATCCCAATACATCCAACACTGGTGTTATCGAGTGGGAGGCTCGTGCTACTCAGTCAGAGGGATTCGTTCACACTTTCGGGAATATACAGATTTGTTTTTTTAAATAAATCAGGATGGATAAACATTATGGCACAATATTACAGCACATGTGAGACACGCAAGTAGTCAAGCTCTCTGAGAGCCAACTGAGACTCCTTAGATGTGATCTGAAAAAGAATGATTAGGCACATGAGAAGCATTGCAACTTATAGATGTTGCCAACTTGTGTGTCCCCTCTCTCACTCACACACACACACACACACACACACACACAAATATCTTTCAAACCCCTTCTCACCGTTCGTAGGTGCTTCCTGAGGATGTACATGATGAAGCCCCATATTCTCGACGTTACGCCGAGGAAAGTGCGGATGCCAAGTAAACATTGCCGGGTCTTCAGCATGTTGACGAGCACGCAAAGACCCCACGGTAGCCCAAACTTAAATTCTCAGCTGACAGCGAGCTCCTACCCTTAGTTGTTGGATCAACTACCGGGGCAACTTGCTTGCTAGTGGCAGGCAGAACCAGTCTTTAGCCACAACCGCCAAACTAGCGATTCAAATTAACAAGAGGCCAAGCAAACGTGTGAGTACCTCGCTCTGCACACTTGTGGCACGATTAGCATTAAATAGAAAGCACCCGCCGTGTAACTGTGAAAGACGAACGAGGACGCGGTCGAGAAGGGGAAAGCCGCTGCGCGACGGCTGCCGCCGCTGTATGGACCTTTAGCACGCAGCTCGTTGACAAGCTAGCTGGGGAGCTAGCTGTGTGCCGGCTAACGTTAGCTTGTAGCCACCAAGCTACCGCTAGCTCGACAGGGTGACCACCTTGAAACTAGGATAGAAATATCCCCCAAAAAAGATGTGGGCTCGCTTGTTGACCGAGCACCTGCTCAACGCGACTTCCCTCCGCCCGGCGCCTGAAGAGAGTCGGCTTTACAAAAGTTCCAGAAAGTCTAACCGGCCCGGTTAAAATCAGTTTGTAGTCCAGTAGAAATCCGGAATGAAACTGCGAGCCGCCATCGCCGCCTATCCGTCACTTCCGGGAGGAATCCTGTGGTTGCGCGCTGCACGTCCACGTGGAAAGAAAATAAACAGACGTGGACCTGCAATCGTGTGAAAAATAACCTTCTTTTAATGTCAGTTTTGTCATTTTCAGCTACCCTTTATGTGTTTTTGGTGCAGTTTAATGTGGACACGATTTCCTGGTAGCGGGTTTACAAAGTTGTGGACGTTATCTTAATGCCAACCAATCGTCCATAAACCTACTTATGTCACCGCGAAGTCGTAAAGCAATCCAACATGATAAAGAACCTGTGCATTTTGTAAGCGCACTATCTAGTACGGTTGCACGAGGTCCTACACACTGCCAATAAATGCAGAGGGCATAAAGTTCACTTAACACCGAATGAATGACTTTTAGGAAACTGGTAAACAATCCCATCTGACGCGGCTTTGCAAATCGCATTAATGATTTTCACATAACTGAAAAAGCTTTCACCAAATTATAATTTGACACAAACAAACATGGCACATTTACTGAGATATCTATTGCTCATTATGCAATCAAAATTGTCATCACTTACGATAATAAGACAATATAATCATATCATATATTACTTTCATTCATGGGTCATTATGTTGAGATTTGTTTAGGCTCTGTAAAGGGAAAAAGCATCCTGTAATTATAAAAGAGCATAACGTCACAGTCCAAAGACATGCTCTGGGGATCAGGTTAATTGGGGACTTTAAATTGCCCGTAGATGTGTGAATGTGAGTGTGAATGGTTGTATGTCTCTGTGTAGCCCTGCGATTGGCTGGCGACCAGTCCAGGTTGTACCCTGTCTATCGCCTGAAGTTGGCTGGGATGGACTCCAGCCACCCCCGCGACCCTGTGTGCAGGATAAGCGGTTTGACAATGGATGGATGGATAACGTCAGTAACAAAAGTCAGAAACAAGTGTAACAGAATTTTATTTCTATTGTATCATTTCAAAAAAAATGTGACCCAGCATATTTATTTTGGGAAATAATGCAACTAATCACTGTGTAAAGATAATGTTGCTATAGCTTGGATCTGAGATTCCACAACCAAATGTACAGCACTACATTTTATGAAGAAATCAGTGTGTTATTAACTTATGAATTACAAAAACTAGCTTTATCCAACCACATTTTTCCAAGGCAAGGTACTCAATAATATAACAAACACGTTTGGATAAAACTCATTTAATATACATAATAAAGCTTTCTTACAGAGATATTTTACATTATTTAATACCTTCCAGATGGCATCAAATATTTTTTATCTTCCCCACTGAAAACGACTCAGTGTCTTGATCAGCGAGGATGACAGGCAACGTGGATCCTCTGTTTCTTCAGCGGGTTTGGTTCCAGAAGCCTACACGTCAAGATCATCATCAGGGTCCTCCTGGTCGTAGTCATCGTTGGCATCAGGCTCATACAGAATTCGTCCTGAGCCTGGGCTTGAGTGGAGCAGAGCCGTTTTCCTGTAAGAGAAAAAGAGGACAGCGTTTACCAAATTGAACAGACGCATGGAACACAGTCAGCGGCAAAAAGAGAGTAAAAGAGAGTTGAAAAATCGGAGAGTTGTGTAAAAGTTAGTTACTTCTCTTTGCTGAAGACAAAAGGTAGCGCAAGTTTCTCTTTGGCCTCACGCTCTTTATTTGACAGTCGAAGATTGAAGGTCAAGTGTGCCGTAGGGTCCATCTATAGAAACAGGTAAAAGGACACTTTCACCTGTTGGTCCATTCATGGTGTAACGGTGTTAATGAGCATGTCATATATTGTACCTCCTGTTCCTCAGGGTCAGCCTGTTTGTGTCCAACTTGACTATGCTTGCTCTGTATTACTACTGTTAGATCATTGTTTATGGTGAAAATATCCTCCTAAAAGGACAAGGAACAAAGTTATCAACCATTTTCAACCACGACGGAAGACGAGACAGTCATCCTGAAGGAAACATTGCTTACGTCTTGCACAACCTTCCCCGATTTCGAGCGCTTTGTTATCTTTGCCACCGCGTCGCCGCCCTTCATCCCGGGTGCTACTGTGATGACTGAAGAGGCCAAGTGGCACACACTTCCCACAGTACCCCTCTGATGCATATCCCCATGAAGCAGAGCGACAATAGCTCTCACAGCTCCCCCTAATGAAAACACAGTAGAAACAAAAACAAGGAAAACAGTGAAAAAACAACATAGTCCCAAAGTTACACTTTGTTCTAATACAAGGCCGCTATAAATCTAGTATTCCACAAAAGTATGGAGAGCTTCCTTTGACGAATATTTTATACTCCTCGATTTCTATTCAAGGAAAACTTTGAAATGACGTGCACAGCCTGGATGTCATACATTCATTCATTCAGTCCCACAACAAAAACACGTGCATTAAGATCGTCGATGTGATGAATAGTCACCTTTTCGAAGTTGATGAAGGGTCGCGCAGACAGCAGGAGGACTGACGTGTCTCAAAATCCATGACAGAGAGTCAATCACTAAGGTAGCTGGTTTGGGGTGGGATGTTTGCTTGAGCAGACGCGCAAGTTCCTCCATACAGAACTGGTGGACTGTAAAAGTCGGTTTATCAGTCCAGCCGAGGGGGTCTGAATAAGCATTGTGAAAGTGTAGCCTGAAGTGACAAAAACGTGTTTAGCGTTACACAGTTGTAGAATTCATTTTCAATGAATTAAAATGAAGAAAAGCAACAATTGCTCATACTGCAAAGAACCTTGCATTTTGCTTGATAAATGACTTTTTACATTACAGATCATTTAGCAGACGCTTTTATCTGGCTTTTTCACATTTTGCCGGTGGGGCAATAAGTGGTAAGGTGTCACGCCACGACAACTCCCCACTTTAATGATTAACCCATATCTAAGCAGATGAACTAAAACCATTTTAGCACAAATTGTTCTTACCTTTGAACAGGTGATCCTTTCAGCTCTTCCTCACTGACCTCAAAGCCAAGGACATGGACATCTTCCTCCCTTTATTCATATCATAGGTCACGGTAGTTTTTATTAAACTAAATGTATTTAGGAAATACACGAGTGTAATAAACATTTAGACTTAATAGTAAATACACAACCAACCAATAACCATACATGTCTTTAAATAACTCTTACCTGTTCAGTGCAGCATTGATGAAGCTCTTCAGGAGGTGTCTACCAGAACAACTAGCAGAATCTAACGATGCAAGTATAAATCACATGGCTTTACTCTATGCTATTGCTCCAGTTCAGTCATTGTTCGCCATTTAGATTAAATTATACGACAAAACATTTACCTCGAATGATGATAAACCCTCCAGCATCAGAGCCTTGTAATAGTTCAGTCAACATTGTGCTAACGTTGCATTAACCGCAGACTATCAAAGCGTTAAGGTAAACTGTAAAGGTCCAGCTAGCTTCAGCTAACGTTAGTTAGCATGCCTCTGATTGACCACCTACTTAAACATCGGTACCATGGGAAAATAAAACTAAACGCTAAGTAATTTAACTCAAGAAGAAAGAAATTGCTCAAAGTTCAGAATCCCCGTAGCGTATCCTCCACGGGTAATAAAGCTGTGTCTGTCGAAACCGAGTCCAACTTGGTTCGCTAAGTAACATTGCTGTTTCAAAAAACCTCATATCCCAGAGCGCCCCTCAGAGCACTGTTGACCATGCATGGGAAATGTAGTCCATCAACACTCATGGTGCTGTCACTGACCTCATGGCAAACTACGTTACCCAGCATTCCCCGCGTGCTACACTGCGCTGGCAGCCTCAAGAGGTTTCTGCCGCGCACGGAGAAGACTGTGCGGAGTAAAGTCAAAACTCCAGTCGTTTTGTGTGGCTACAACGAAGATACGAGAAAAAACTTCATCGGAGAAGTTCGCATTATGGACCTACATTGATTCAAATCCAAGGATTTCCTTTTTTACGATTCTTCTCCACTTTGATACGGAAGGTTATATAAATGTAGGGACGAAGAAAAGAGCGAGCTCGTTAAGCGACAGAGGAATTAGTATTTTGTCCGGCTAATAACGTTAGTATAGCGACAGTTCACAGGCGGTTTGCTTGTGGTGCGTTAACGTTTACTGGTGTAACGGATCCCCGGCGAGGGAACCCCTCAACTTCGACCCGCAGTGTAGTATTTTTGTTTTGTTGAGGAAGAGTCTCTTCGGGCTTCCGCGCCCTTGGTTTGCCGCTGCGAAAGTTCCCCGGCGGTAAGGTGCAGCCACGCCGGGGGAGGCACAGCGCGACGGCCGCTATTCCCCGGCTAGCTCGCCTGCTGCTTCTGTTCCCTCGGATCGGGGCCTGGTCGGTGAGGCGACAATGCTTGACATAATGTCCGAGCACCAAGGTACGTTTCACCACCATCAGCTGCGAGCTATTTAACGAACCGCTCCCGTGGGATGTGTGTCTTTTTACAGTTGAAATCGGTTGTATTCTGCGGCCGTTAAGATGGCTATCCTAACGTAAGTTGTGTCTGCCGTTGATGTTACGTTTGGTTGCGTATGCTGTATTAATAACATACCAACTTATGCTCTGTCGACGAAATGCCCCGAAAGTTGTGATAAAGTGAATAGTGTCTTTTTTGTCCACGATCGATGTTGTTGACCTGACGCTAATGTAAACGTATGCATTGCATAGTTACGTTAGCTCGCTAGTTAGTTAACGCGCCGATCTGTCTTAGCTTAACGTTAATGGCGAATAGCTGGATAGACAACAATACCCAACCCCTCACACTAAACACCCGTGACCTCAGTCGGTTTGTAGGTAAATGTTACCACCTGTCATTCACGAAAAACATTGTTTTTTTCCGCATTTGTTGAAACCGATTAAACGTTGCTCACTGCTAACGCCGAGCTAACATTGCTAATAAGCCTCCCACTTCCATTTCAAAAAAAGACAGCGCGATTAGCTAGCTGATCGAGTGGCCGGTCGTTAGCATAAGTTAGGTCTAATCGAAACGTCCAATTAGCAATATCGAGTTCAAATGCACCTCCCTGCACATGTATGCGCATATTAAGAAACCAACTAGTCGCTACCCTGATTGTATTTATCTCTGCAAAGGGCATAGCGTGCCTTTAGCTTCTCCCCCGAGTGTCAGCTAGCGTTAGCAGGTAGCATCCAGACAATACAACAGGACTAGTTTCCAAAGCTTTGTAGCCAACAAACTTGAGTTTTGTTAGCGACCCTTTGGCCAAAGCGGCCTTTTGTCTTTTTTGCGTGGACATCGAATCGACGAAAAAGTATTCGCGCTTCATGCCGAAATGCCCCAGACTTTGTGTGAAGTTCAGATGGTGATCAAGTGACACCGGTTGCGGTTGTTTGCAGACACGGTCAACCAGCGTTGACGATCCGATGATGGCTTGCTGATTATCTGCTGTAACGGTCACCAGTTAAATCACCTCTCACGTTCAATGCGACGTTAGTTAACAAACACTGCTCCTTGGATGTGCGTAACACGTTTGTCATCACTAATAACCCCTATTAAGTTATTGATCTTTTTGTGAGCTAATGCTAGCGTTAGCCCACATGTGTCTCATAAGTGCTTGGTAATTCTGTGCATGAGCGTTTTTTCTTTTTGCAAAAAGGTGCAACAAGCAAGACTGGTTCACTTGTGACCAACATAGTTGTTTTTTCTCTCTCTGACCTAGATTCACTGTTATCGTGCAAAACGGAACCATTGGTGAGTGCCTTGCACTGTACATACCACTCGTACCTTACCTTTTCCATGTATGCGTGTGTGCTTCCCATCGCTAACTAAGACACCTGCTTTCTGCAGCCCCCAGAGCGGAAAAAGAGGACCGTTGAGGACTTCAACAAGTTCTGCAGCTTTGTCCTGGCGTATGCAGGTTACATCCCCAGTCCTAAAGAGGTGAGCCGCTGTGGATGTTTAGAAGTCACTCCTATTCCCTGCGCTTTCAAGATCAGCTCAAATCCTTTTTCTTTTTGACTTGCAGGAAAGTTCCTGGTCCCCAACGTCATCCAGCTCCGCACACAGTTCAGGGTTGTCAGCGGATGGAGGAGGAGGAGGAGGCGGCGGCGGCGGCGGAGGAGGCAGCAGCTCCACCGGCAACACCTGGGCCGACGGAAGCTCCGACATCCACACCATCCACACGTTTGTTCGCAAAGCTCGGGCGAACAAGGGCAAAAGTATCCGCCGCATACACTCTGATAGCACTCTGCTGGACAAGATGCGCCTTAAAGACTCCCTGTACGAGAGCCAGGCGAGCGCCAAGGCCGAGCGCAAGAAGGACAAAAAGCTGAAAAGGCTGTCGCTGGGTTCCGGCGTGACGGCGGCGGACAGCGGCAGCAGTGAAGGCGAGAAAAGGGCCCGCATCAAGCGCAGCAAAAACTCCAAACTGCCGAAGCCCAAGAAGCTGAAAAGCGCCACGGCTCAAAGCGAGACAGACTCTGAAGCGCAGCACACACACTCAGAGGTACGACCCGCGGGGGAGGAGCCGACGGAACACGGGGAAGGAGCCCCGAGCCTCGGGAAGCTGCAGCCCGACGAGTCCATCAGGGAGGCCGAGATGAGCTCCAGCGAGGGTGAGACCTGGATCGCCGACGAAGACATTATGGTGGAATCAGGTACAACGCGTGCTTCTGGTCCTTTTTTAGAAATAACAAATGTGTTTAAGGTCATCTTTGTCCCACATCTATTGATTCAATGTTTAATTGTCCCCGTTCTCAATATGCTGGTTGGCTTTTTGGGGGGTTTTCTTTTCTTCTTTCTGTTTCTGCCAGCTGTCACACCTCATAACTCTTTTTCTCTTCATCAACACAGGGGACGATTCATGGGACTTGATCACCTGTTACTGTGGGAAGCCATTTGCGGGGCGGCCAATGATCGAGTGCAACCAGTGCGGCATTTGGGTGCATTTGTCGTGTGCAAAGATCAAGAAGTCCAACGTTCCAGACATCTTTTACTGCCACAAGTGCAGGGACTTGAGGCGGTCTGGACACAAAAAAGACCCGTAGACCGGAAGAGGCTGTGAGGGACGAGGAACAATCCCCCCTCCGCCTTCTCTCCCTTTGCCTCCTCCCCCTTTTTGCTATCCTCTTGACACTTGTTTTCTTTGATGCCTACAGCCAAACCAGCCTAAATTATCACGTGGATGGCAACTTTATTGTCAGTTTGTAGGATTTCTTTTGACAATCACAACCATTCTTATTTATCCCTCACGGTTTCCTTTTTTTCGTTTCTTCCTTCTTTTTTCTTTGGCTACTGTGAAGAACTGGACAGACGGCAACAATAACAACGGAGACTCATTTGTGTTTTTTTACTAATTGATTGTTTCATTAATTGGCTTCATTGTTGTATACTGTGCCGGTCGTGTGCACATAAACTGTCACATTTAATCTCATCCCCTCTAGAGGTGCATTTTGAGTTGTAAAGTATTTCTTGAGAATGTTGACAAATCAGTGAAAAACGGCCCCGTGGGAACCGCGATGGCGGAAGTACAGTTTTCTGTTTGATAGCCATTTCCTTTCAACTTTCAATCAATGCAAGTTTTAAACATTGGCAAAATTGGTCGCGTAAGAGGCGGAGAACGTCACCCCTCTTTATTTGTTCAAGTCTGTCACGATGTCGGATGATGAGCTCATTTTATTTTTGATCGTATTCTGGCGGTTTACTTTTTTGAGTTTGCATTTTTGTTTTGGTCGTCAGTGATGGTCACTGAACTTTAAAACGTAGAGATTTCACTCTCCTAGTAAAAAAAAAAGTGGTCTTTAAATTCATAGAATCTGTCAACTCTTATTCATTTATTGTTTTGCAACTGCAAATGTACCTGAATTTGCTACGTTTCAAATTGCACACGGACAAGTCTCGCAGCAGTGCACTTTTTAAATATGAACCCAAATACCTTCCCACTGCATATTGGGGGGTGTTTGGGACGTGATGGGCTACGGCTGGTTTAAATCTGTACTTGGCACGTAGCTGTGTACATTCATGACTGAGCGCTTAATGTTTCTTCCTGTCTGGCTTGTTAATCAATGATAGCCATTTACCATGAACAACATTCACATCGGAATGCTACATTTTGATGTTTTTCTTTTCAAGTCTTTCTTTTTTTTCTTCTTTTTTTCTCCCCGTGTTTTAAAAACTCACCCGATACGAGGGCGTAGGGTCGCTTGGTGGCGAAGGGGCTGGGCGGCGCTTTACGAGATCAGCGGCCCGCGTTATGAATGGTTGTAAAATATTTGGTTTTTTTTGTTTTCATGTAAGCTGTTTATTTCTTAGCTTTCTGAGGAGCGGGATTAGGGATGCGCCCCGCGTCAGAGAATGGACATAAGATTGTCTCACATCGAGAACAAAGTTGTAGTGTACAGAAAATATGTTGACGCCGCGTAGGTGGCGGCGTTCGTTTATGTTGTTTGGTTTTACCATGTGCTTTTTTTTTCTTTTGTTGGTGGGAGAGTCTTGTTCTCCAGTAGCAGTTGCACTCTCTCTACAACTTCAATTCTGTGTACATATCCTGTTCTTTGACAACTGTACATATGTGAAAGTGAAGAGAGAAAATACCCAAGCAAAATCTATATTTTCTGCAGTCTGATATTGTTTTCTTTAATTGTAGCTTGAAAAATAAAAGTCTTTGGGAACATAACAATGGTATTTGAAATCATTTTGTATTGAAAGAACACAGATATTTTAAAACGGTGGTTTTGCCGCATTTATTTGCACACAGCAGTGTTTGTCATGTTTGCATCTTCTACCACTAGAGGGAGCAGGTCAACAGGCTTGTCACTTGCTACAGCATCAATTACGGAATTAATATGGAACATAAAATACAAAGTTCACATATGTTTTGCTACTGAGTAAACATGTTGAGCTCCAGCATTATTCTCTGGGTTCTTCTGAGTAAATGTCAGGTTTATCCTGGAACAAAAACATACAAATGATCAGTGTCTTAACAACTTATCCACGCTATAAATCATTGAAATGTCTAAAGTCGCATATAACAAAGGCAAGTCATGCAAATAACTTACAAATATCAGTGATCCAAGAGTCACAGAGGGGAAACATACACTGTCCACAGTCTATTGAAATGATAAAATTGAACTAGTGATATACATGGATGTACGGTTTTCTCTTGGAACTCACTTTTCGGTTTCGGAGAGTGGAGATGTGGAAGCTGCTGATGGAGTCCAGAGGAGCAACCTTCCTCCTGTAGACACAGCGGTCCAAATCAATTCATTTGACCAGAAAGTTCTACGTTTCATAATAAGCATTCAGTCTGTACCGCACATTCTAAAAAACATGTTAAACTTTACACTTGTATTATTTAAAATAACAAAAATCCACAAAAGACCAATGCAATCAATCCGGGAAGCAGAATTTAGAAATCTCTACACATGAATCACTACACATCAGATGAAAAAGTTCTGATCATCATCAATGACTTATGACACAAGCTTCATTTTATACAGCTTTTTGTATGTGTGAGTACAAAAGTGCTTCAAACTAATTCACACCCATTTAAACAATAGGTCCCTTTCTCCTCACCTCTTTTCATTGGCTCTGTGGTGGAACTGGTTCGTCCTTTGGGGAGAAACATGCTCCGGTGCGGCGAGAAAAGTCTCAGAATGAGGGGAACGCTTGTCCGTCTCCCCAGCGTCACCCACAGACAGGTCTCCCTGCTCATCGTGCGGTTGGGGGAACATCTCCTGGTCCAGCCAGTCCACCTCCTGCCGACAACAATCATATTATCATCATATTAATCGTATACTTGCAGGTATTTGGGGTCGTCAAAAATGTACAACGTGAAAGTTTACTTTTTTGACTCTGAGTCCGCCTGGCAGTGCAGCAGAGGACGTCTCCTCTGGCAACATGTAAAGAGCCAGGAAAGGCAGCACACATGTGGAGCAAAGCATCTGCACGGGGAAACACAACCAGAGTCACAAGCGATGAACACGCCAGCAGTTCAATTTAAAAAGGAGCAAGGAGCTCACCTTAAATCTTCTGTTTCCTCAGCGGAGTCCGGTCCTCAAAGCTGGTTGTGGGTGCAGGTCGGTGTCTTATGAGCTCTTGACCAGCGCGGAGGGTATTTGTAGCCGTGCATCCATGGGTGGGTTTATATTATGGGACTGGCATCAGTGGCTGTTTAGGCTAAACGTGCGTCCAGTGTTTGTGTGTTTGTGTGTGTGTGTGTGTGTGTGTGTGTGTGTGTGTGTGTATGTGTGTGTGACTATGTGTGGCTTCAGACGTGCCAATTACATCTCCCGCCTTCCCGCCTGGCATTGTCATCATTAGTGCCAAAACCTCTAAGGTCTCACTTAAGAGATTTTAGGCGCTGACAAGATGCCTCGACACACGTACGTTCATATACGTATGCAACTCCCTTCTCCGTTTTCCCCTCAGCCGGTTTGAGGGGAGATGGGAGTGAGATAAGGTCGTTGTTGAGAATGTAAGTGTCTTAGGGCGATACATCAGCCTCATATCGGCATTTAAACCGGAGGTGTTTGACCACATGAAGATATTGGTATCCTCTCCTAAGAGTGATAGTGCCATAAGAATTAGCAGAACAAAATGTTACACCCCTGCATTGATTCCTTGTGTTTGGGTTTGAGAGAGAAGCCCAGAGACAGCGAGATCAGAGATAGTGGGCCTATCGGGACCCCGGTGTGTGTGCGGTAATCTGGAAAACTTGATCACTCCGCCTCGCCTGACTTCCCCCGGCCGATCGCCACCCAATCCAGACCACACACATCTCTCTCCACCCGCCCGCCCGCAGCCTCCGTCGCCACAAAGCAAAACAGAGAGCAGACAGTGAAGCAGGGGCGGATGAGAGATTGCCAGGCCGTGGGGCAGGGAGGGTTGGCAGGGTGAGGGGGGGGTCCGCTCCGAGCTATGCTCATTCGCACACGTTTTCACTTTTCCTCCTTTCCCGCCCTGTCCTAATTATTTCTATTCTGGGACACCGAGGCCCGCCAAACATAGAGCAAGTGCTGATAGATCAGGCGTGTACAAGCATACCAGGGCAAGGCAGGCATCATGTCAGCAGGGGCCGAGGCCAGATAGGCTGCACTGATTACTCCCATTATCAGGGACAGGCCTCATTAGTAGCCTTTGGCTGGGTGTGTGACTGTGTGTGTTGTATTATCACAATACAGAAACACATGTCATCCTGAAGTTATAAACTGAAGGGTTAGCCTTTGAAATGGGGACATCAGGAACCGGTTTAGCAAGAGTTGAGTTAGTTGGCTGGAAGGACCAGTTTGTTTACTCCAATTCAGGTTAAAACTGTACTAATATATAGTGTGCCATGTTTAACATTTGAATTTGGGCATCAAATATATATCAATAGCATCATTTAATAAACTCTTGGCATTAGTTTGTTAGTTGAGAGGATTGAAACCACTCTACATTGTCTCTAGCGCGGATATGAAACAATCTTGGCTCAGCATATTGGAAATCATCTCCACAAAGGCAACAAAATCTCCCAGCATATCTTGCACTTATTCATCAAAGAACCAAGCGTACAAAGGACAAGTAGTGGTTTTATGGAGCATTATATGTGAGGAGAAGTGACTTCCATTTGATAAACGAAGATAACCGGACGGAAGCTGCATATTAAGTGTACAAATATAAGAGAGCTATTGATTTAGATGTCTCTCAGCAAGAAATGGAATAAGCATCACAAACTGTATATATATATAAAGTAAACTTTCACGTATTACAAATATATATATATATATATATATATTTTTTAGTACATACACATGTTGAGAAACGCTTAAGGTCCTCAAGAATGGTTTAGGAACACAAAAGTGTGGTCCAGCCCCTATCCCTGTGTGTGTCTATGGAAATGTTGTGCGCGTGTGTGTTTGTGTGTTGAATCTCATACCCCGCCCAGGTCCAGTGCCCTATAAGTATCAGGCATCGCAGCGAGTGCCAAATATAGACTGGACAAAGACTGCCCCTCCACAAAAGTGAGAACCTTTCCTCAGCTAGAGTTAATTAGTTAATTATCTCTTTGAAACCGGAATTTGCCTAAATATATTTAGTCAGGTGTCAAATAGAAAAGTATACTACAATGCACAGAATACATTCTAAACGTATAACACAAAATAGGCAAATGTTAAATCTATTTAAAACATGACAATTGGAAGCCCAATATTCAGTGTTCTTTGGGCCTTCTTTGTGTCTCCAACAACCTCTGAGAAAAGATGTCTAGCTAACGCTAGGTATTAAGCTAGTTGGCTGCTAGCGTACAATTTTCACTTTCTTCCTTTTATTTACCTAAGTTAGGTTGTAAGTTATAAATTGTGTTTCAAGGCTATTTTTCTGTAGTTGTGTGTTAAATTTAAAATGAAATGCAGCAGGCTAAATGTTCTGAAAAGCTGCGGTAAGGTAATGCTAAGTTAGCATAAGTAATAAACCACCTGAAAATGTTTATCTAACTATGTCTGAAATTACCAGTTAACGTCCAGTAACCAGTTTAAAATGTAACGTACTGATTTGATTCAGTGTTGGTATATTTAATTTAATTTTATTCACATTATATCGTTTCAACAATAAGTATAATAGTTTATTCCGTTGTTTGAAATGTGGAGAGGAAACATGGCCGCTTGTCATTCTGCCTTTTGTCTTCGCTAAATTTATTTTACTTCTCTTTAGCTAATTTTGATTCAGTGCAGTCTCTTTTTGGATTGGCCATTATGTCTAAAATACATTTAGTTAGTTAGTTAGTAATGCTAGTCAATGCCGGTAGAAACGTTAACTGATTTAAGGCGGCGTAGCGACCGCGCGGACATGTCGTCAGCGAGGTGTTGGCGCGCTCTGCTGGTTGTTGCCATGACTACAACCCGAGGGCCCGTCTCTCCATTAAAGCTAAAACATTTACATTAGCCTTACACGTTTTCCACGTGTCCCGGGAACAACCAGAAACCCTGTGAAACATCGAAAACAACACATTTACAGTTCCCTGTGTGCAGAACGCGGAAGCGCTTCGTAAAGTCCGCCAGTGAGTCTGCGGGGGGAGGAAGACATAAAGTGCCTTTATGGGAGGGACGAGCGCAACAACAAGACAGCTACGATTAACAGGTTGGCGTTAGTTAAGCCACTTCCTTTCCTCAGTAAGCGGACCATCCATCCTCCTCCACCCTTCAATTAACTTGTTCACTTCGTGGGACCCGGAGGAGGAATCTTCCGCCGGAGAGGTGAGACTCCGGCGTCAAACGTCACCGTGTTTTATCAAGTTTTTTAGCGGAACGATGGCGCGCTGAGAGGCTCTGGTCTGATCGATAAAGCTTCAGTCGGAGGAAAGGGCCGAGGCGCTCGTAGTCGTGCGGTTGAGAAGGTGTTTTATTTAGACCCGCGCTTCACTGGTTCCTTAAGGAGTTCAGCGTCGAGTCCACTCGGGGGTTTGAATCTCGTTCTTTCTAAACGGTAGAGACACGGGGATCCGTTTGTAGCAGTTAAATGACCTCTGCTAAAGCATTTCTCCCCCCACCGTTATTTCGGATGCATGTTGTTTCTCAAGCAGGGAGAACAAGGGGGGGTTGGAGGTGCTCCAATCTAATAATCTGCTCCTGCACCAGCATCCGTCTCTCTGCCAGTAAGATTTCATTAGCTGCCATTTTTAATCCTTGCAAAAAAAAACACTTCAAGTGCAAAAGCATCTGGACGTTCCATCCTTTACCAAGTTTAAGGACACAGCGAATGAATATGTATCTTCGGGTGGATATCTGCAATTCTTAGTGATGGTTTGAGGTTGTTTTTGACTGAGCTAAATGGAGGTATCCAGGATACAATGAGCTGAGCATGTGAATGGAAGCACAACAACAACAACAACACGCATGATTTACAGTAAAAATATGAGTTAATCAATGTGTTTGTGTGACTGATCTGAGATTCAGTGTAGGGTTATTTTTTGTGTTTGTACAAACCCCTCCCTTTTTCCTCATGAAACCCTCTCTGGCCCCCTTCCTTGCTGTAGTTTCCTTTAGAGATCTCGGGAGTGGACCTGCTTTTACTGCCGTCTCCTGAACCTTTTCGCCCAGCTCCTCGCCATGTCTGCTCCTGGTAAGCGGCCTCATGCGTTCAAAGGAAGAACAATGACTACGTCTCCTTTTTCAGATTTCCATCTTTCACTTGATTTATGAATCAGACAATGAAAAGAATCGCGAGTGAGTGTTTCTTCCGATTTATTCTGTCACACAAGTTAAAATGCTTCGTCACGTCAAAACTTTCCTGCATTCGGTGAACTTATTTCCCCACCGTGACTCTTAAAGTTTCTATTGGACATTCCGGTTCCTGTGAATCATAGTGAAGTGAATAGTCAGCTTGCTCAGCCTGCCCATTCCTCTCAGTAGGACAACTTGCACGTTGTGACATTTGAAAGAAATCCACAGAATGTTGACATTGGACTGGAGGTTGAAGCCCTCTGGGTTTTTCCTGTTGGTCCTGCTCCACTCCCGATGGAAACGGGATGGGGGGGCGGTGGCTGCTCCGTCTCTGGAACGCTCTGCTTTTAATTTGCTTATGTTTTCTGCAAGCGGAAAAAAAGGAATGTGAAAAGAGGCGGAGCAGCGAGCCTGAAAGTTCACAGGGCACATTACTCGTGTCTGCAATTTGCCTTCAGAAGCTTCGTAGAAAGTCTTGCTGACTTTAATCTGTTTGGGGTTTCACATGCCCCACGACCGTAAGCAAGAAAGATCCCTCTGTGAAACTCCACACCGGCCTAAAACCAGTTTGGTCGGTTACACCTTCAGAAGGCTCGTTCCTTTTAGCCAAAGTTCATATCTCCAACGCATTCAGTTAACATTAATATGTGACGGAAGATTCTCACAAGAGACTTTCTTTTTTCCTGAAAAATGACAAGATAAAAATAACACTCAATGCATGAGCTGAACCTAAAATGACTTGATTACAATGTCCAGGAGAGGAATATGACTGAGCACAAAAGTCAAGTTCCACTTTATTACATCCTCATGCGCTTCATCGGCGTGTCCACTTCCTTTTAGGTTTACATTTAAGCTCTTTTCCTTTTCAGACTTTTGCTCAAACATCCGACCAGAGATTTAGTTTTTTACGAATCAATAAGCATTCAGACTGCCACTAAAACCGTAGTGAACGCCGTAAACTGGCTGTAAAATAACTTCCTGATTAGTCTAGTGTGCTCTGGTCTGATAAGAGTCCAAAGTTGTTGAATTGATGCCCAAATGAAACCCGTTATCAAGCAATTGTACTGTTTTTGAACAAAAAAAGCTCTTTAAACGGCCTGTTTGACTAAAAACCAGACCAGACCACCGGGGCTGTTTACTGTGTCGCGTGGCCGAGTACCGGCTACGTATTGGCTCCTTTTGGAAGTGCTTCAAATCGCTTGGCTATTAGTAGCTTACTGGCCCCCGCTGGAGGGGGGGTTGAAAACAGGATGGTCCACTTTCTCACAGGCTTGTGACCACAGGGCAGCTGCAATCAGCCATTAACAGATCACGACATCTTCCACCCTGCCGCTGTGGTGCAATGACCTCATGTTTCTCATCATTATTATTATTTTCATTATCCAATTGGAAGGTTAGAACTTGACCTTTTAACGCAATACCCGTTTCTTTGTTAGATTGGGTTCCGCTTCTTTTTTTTTTAAATATCAGTTTTTCCTGCTGAAGCGTTCACAATGAACAGTTGTCACAATTCAAATTCAGTCAAATAAAGGGGCGGCGCTGTACACTGCCATATTTAATCACTGTTCCTGCCCCCCACACGCCAGTTTACCCAGGCTTTCACAGCAACGCACCCTACCCGATGCCTCAGCCCGGCGGCCACCCCGGAGCCCCTTACCCGGGTCCTACGGGCGGATACGGAGACCCCGGCCAAGCCCCTCCGGTCGGCTTCAACATGGGCTACGAACAGGGCCAAGCTCCTGTCATGTATCAGCCGGGCCCGGTCGCGGCACCGGAGTACGGCGCCCCTCACGGCGCCCCTCACGGAGCCCCCCACGGAGGGATCTCTCCGGCCCCGGTTGGGTCTCCAGCTGTGGTGCCTGTCGGGGTCCCACCGGGCCTCGAGTACCTCACACAGGTAGGACGGAGCGATCGCTTTGGTGACGCTGCCGAACCCGTTTTGGGATATGCTCATTTTTTATTTTTTTTATCTTGAACTGAGACGAATGATTCAAACGCCACTCCTTCACCTCTGGAATGAGGTCCCTCGCTGTTTTCCCAGCGAGCGGGTTTGCTGATAATGAGGCCGCGACTCATAGAAATGAGTGATAAGGAGCTTGAGGACACGTGGCACCCTAATGGGCTACTGTGATTAGGTGGGTACTGGTCCAGAGGGATCACTCACCAACCATCCCACATGCTCAAGGGAAATAAAAACGTCACACAAAGCCATAAAATGTAAAGTTTAGATTCTACAATGCAACGATTGGTGGTTTCTTGATAATACGCAGATTATGTTGCTTCGCATTGCAAACAAACTTCTCCCTCCACAGTCCCATCGTTGCCTCTTGTTTTAAGAGGAATGCATCAGACGTGAGGTTGTATATCTTTTAGCAGTGATCCTCTTGTGTTTTCAGATTGACCAGATTCTGATCCATCAAAAAGTGGAACTCCTAGAGGGTAAGGCCTGCTGCATTCGGTCACATCCACACTGTTTAAACGCCAAATAACCTGCCGCAGTGAGCTTTAAACCTCTCCGCTATAAATCACAAACTCCTCTCTACCCGGCCAGCATTCATCGGGTTTGAGACCAACAACCAGTACGAGATCAAGAACAGTCTGGGGCAAAAGATCTACAAGGCCAAAGAGAAGAACGACTGCTGCACCAGGAACTGCTGCGGCTCGCTGCGCAGCTTCGACATGAAGATCAAGGACAACATGGACCGGGAGGTCATCCGTCTCATACGGCCTTTCCGCTGCGTCTCCTGCTGGTGTCCCTGCTGCCTGCAAGAGGTGTGTGTGTGTGTGTGTGTGTGGGGGGGTTAATAGTCTCATATTGTGACCAATAGTTCAGTTGGACCTAAATTGATTACTCACTCTGCTTACGAGTGATAAGCACTGTGATAGGGCGTTTTCCATTATTAGTCTTGTTAATATTTAACCGTATTAATAAGCGGAGGAGTTTGTCATGGTGAATAATGAACTCTTACTTGTTAAAGGAGTTGATTTAATATTTAAATTTTCTGGACCACACCCTTTAGTCTTTGGTCTTACTTTTGGTCAAGATTTTGAGATATCTGAACCCTCCCGCCTTCTGCTAAACAAACAGTCCTTGTTCAAACTGCTGTTGCAATGTTGTTGTTGTTGTCGGGAAGGATATCTGGAAAACTGGCAAACTATTTGAATATCCCAATATCCTGGTTGGTATGGAAAGAAATGCAAAAAAACAAAGTTTGCATGTTTCCACTCGCGCCAAGCATTAAAGCAGCTAATGGCAGCGATGTAGCATATTCGCTGCTATGAGCACAAACACCTGCTGCCTCACCGCTCATGTTCAGCGGCTTCTGTCTTTCCCCCCTTCTCCTCGTGTGGCGCTTCGACGTCTTTGTGCGAGCGGTCTGCTCGGTCCGGAGTTTCTGAGGACTATAAAAGGCTCTTTTGTCCGTCCACACTATCTCCCAGACCCTCCCTCCTCGTGTCACTCCTCCCGTCTCTGAGACGGCTCCTTTTCCCCGTTTGCAATCTGCCTCCAGTAGGTTTCCCTCTTGGCCCGACGCCACGCTGTTACTGGCTCACACACTGCGCTTCTGTCCGCTGGCCGGACAGGAGCCATGTGAGGCTTGTTACCTTTTTGTTACCACAATGGCGCCCGTCAGAGTTTCAATTATCCTCCCCGCTGTCCCGTGATGTTTGTATTGAAAGCTGTCACTGTCATCGGCATGAGGGCAGATTTTAAGCTCTCTGCGAAAACCTTCCAGTCTTGTGTGTGTGTGTGTGTATATCATTCTGCGTGTGACCCACAGATGGAGGTCCAGTCACCGCCGGGCACCACCATAGGCTACGTCAAACAGGACTGGCACCCTTTCCTGCCAAATTTCTCCATCCAGGGTCCGAACAAGGAGACGCTGCTGAAACTGGAGGGGCCTTGCTTTGCCTGCAACTGCTGCGGGGACGTCAACTTTGAGGTGAGGTCGGAGGATCGTGGTGCCGGAGGGAGGTCGATGCCGCTCGCGTGAGCTAGGCGTTTCCCCTCAGTTGCCGGTCTTTATGCTAAGCTAAGCCGAGCCAAGCTCACCAGCTGCAGCTCCGTGTTTACCCCACAGAGATGCGGGTGGTTACGATCTTCGCGTTTCGCGGAAGAGTTCCGATCCGAGTTTGGCAATTTCTGGTAAACGCGTCAACGCTGATGGACACTGTTGTTCTTGACGCTCTGCAGCTGAAAAGCAAGGACGGTGACAAGCCCATTGGTCGGATCAGCAAGCAGTGGAGCGGCCTTTTGAAGGAAGTCTTCACAGACACCGACAACTTTGGCATCCAGTTCCCGCTGGATTTGGATGTGAAGATAAAAGCTGTTCTCATGGGAGCCTGCTTCCTCATAGTAAGGCCGTGCCCGCCCCCTCTGCACAACGTAAATGCTGCCTCAGTCGGAAGGTGATGAATTAATTTCCTTTTTTGTGGCCACTTTGCAGGATTTCATGTTCTTTGAGAAGGTCGGGGAGGCCAACCAGCGCAGCACAGTGTTTTCCTAAGCGGAAAACAGCAAGAGACAACTACAACATGGGAGCGAGTTCCAGTTATGCATTCTGTCTTCATGTACTTTGTCGTTCCATTTGTTATTCTTCAATTCCTTCCTTCACCTGATTTCCGCCTAAATGGTGCTAATCCATGGATCATTTTACACACGCAGACTAAATGAACTCTTAATTCCAGATGCCTGCCATGGATTGCTTCTTTTTTTAAATCTATCCAATCTCAGTAAATGAGACCGGCTGCCACGTGTTCCTTACACTCATGCAGTCTGTAGTTTGTCTTTTTGATGTGGGTGAACTTTACCTCCATCTTAAATTCCTGAAAAAGAAAGTCAACCGTATTTATATTTATTGCCGAGGATCTTTAGCCACGCTGATTGTCGGCATGGTAACCATTCAACTTTTTGAACATCTGCATGGTGGTATGCTGACATTAGCAATCATCCCAAAGCGCCAAACACCGCCTGGTAGAGTTGTAGGTTGGCCGTATGTGTTTATGCTTATTTAGGATAAATGGTAGTTAGGGGGAGATCATCTTTTGGTCAACAGTTACCAAAGCGCTCGTTCTACCGCTCAACTATCTCTATTTTTCCAGACCGTGTCTTCACATTTTAGTGTACATATCGTCTAACAATACTGTAGTACAGGCTACAGTGCAAATGCTCTCATGCTCCACCTGTGCTTTAGTGGTTACCACGGAAACTGGTGCCCTTTACTAACCTCCATTTGCCGCTGCCTTTTTAACATGTGACACTGCAATAAGACGTGAGAGATCTAGTGTAACCTGCGTAAAGGAGGACTGGAAAGCAGAAGCCGTGGTTGCTCCCCGTCAGTCAGTAGCGGGTATTAGGACACACGTTGACTTTCTGTAAACGGGAAGAGACCCGAATGTGAACTCAAAGTCGGCCTCGAATCGTTGTACTTTAACCTGGATTATAAGAAACATGTCAGGTTTGTGTTTGCGAAATGCTCCGAGTGGCTCGCGGAGGCAGCGCTCTGCTTATTGTATTCAGTAATCTCTCGTGAGACGACATGGGTGTGTCTCCTGTGAGGTTGCTTGCTACTGGTGTTGTTCTATGCAGCTCACAGCTCTCGCCGACGTCAGCAACTCTGTGTCTTTTATATATTGTATATGCGACCATTAACCTCTGTGCAGCTTGACCTCAGGCGGAAAGTGCGGCCAAATGTTGTACAGCACGTTCATTTGTTCATTGTGTCAGTATGAGGATAATCCACTGTTTTTTTCCTTTTATTTTTTTAATCAATTATATCTGCTCCGTGTTCTGTGTCTATCAATTAAAAAATACCCTGTACTTCATGAATAAATAGATGTATACGAATTCAGCTTTGCGGTGGCGTTTCTACTTTTCGGGAAGGTCTTCAGAAACAGTCTAAATGTGGAACATCTGTTCTCACTTGGAAGAAATGCTGTGTGTTTCAGAGGGAAATCAACAACATCAGCCAAAGTCCAGTTCGACTAAACCTCCGCTCTTTAGTTACTGGGCAACTTCCTCACCACAACATGTACTTTATTGGTGTCATTACGGGCTTCCTTTATCTACGTAGAGGCGTCATCTATGCCCTACCTCCGATGTAACAAAAGGAGGGAAAAACCTTTCACGTGAGCCATTTCAAATGAAACTGCTCCATCGTCTGGCAAAGAGTGGGAAACACAGACTTGTTGGAGCATGTCTGTACACGACTACCTCAGTGATCCTGGGGAACGTCTGACATGCAGGTTCTTACCAAAGTCTGGTTGTACAGAAGCCACGTTCCTATTAGTGTTCCAGATCAGGGTCATGAAGACCAGATCACCACATTTATTCAATAAACAATCATTTCTCATACAATATGTACAAATGCATTAAAAAAAAATGACAAGATGAACAAAATGTGCTCAACAGCATCTCTGTAAAAAAAGAGTTTTTCAAAATGTCTTTTCATTCATAGAGCTTATCTTTTCCACTCAAAGGAACTCCCATCTGTTCCCATAGTTACGCCAGAATGGCCCCTGCTCAAGTCAACGCTTATGAATGGAAAAGATGCAAAAAAAAAGAAATCTGCTAGAAATCCCTTCAGACTCGTCTTTCCAAACTAACAGAGAGCCTGTCGCCCGGGCCGGCCCTCTCCTCCTGCGCCCATCGGAGCAGGTGGCTGCTGGCCAGCTGCAGGTTCCACTGGTATCTGGAGAGGATCCTCACGCAGTCTTCTCTGGAGCAGAGGCTCAGCAAGTACAGCTGCTCCAACTGAAAGGGGGGGAGGAATCAAGCACTAATACGGAATCTACCAAAGGATGAAATAAACTTTTAACAAACGTGACATTATTGACATTTAATCGCCCGACCTTGAGTTGTTGTTCGGCTCGCACGGGGTTCCAGTCGCTGTGTTGGAGCGCGGCGTGAACCTCTTCAATGGTCACCCCGTGAACCGCCTCCATGATCTGGGAACAGCGGAGCAACAGCGCTCAAATCAGATGAGCCAAGAAACGTTTTTACACACGAGCTGAAACGGTCGGCCTCGCTACCTGCGCGGTGAGCGACTCCCTGGTGTTCTGCGCGTGGGCCTTTTCCCGCTCCCTGACCCGCTCCCTGTTGTCCGCGTGCTCGTCCAGCTGAGGGGTCGAGCGCGCCATGTGTGCCATTCTAGCCAGGTTGGAGCCCCCGTTGCCCTGGTGAGGTGGGTACCGCGATGGAGGCGGAGGCTGCTGCGGAGGCTGCTGCGGCGGCGGCGACGTCAGCGCGGGCCACGGGCTGCCCGGCTGGGCCGCCGGCCTCCTCGGGGGTTTCAGGTTCAAGCGTTTCAGGTTGGGCAGCGGCGGCCGGGGAGGCGGGTTGATACTGGCCTCGCTGAACCGCCGGGGGTCATTCTGCATCGCCGCGTTGCGAACCGCCATCAGCTCGGGGGGCAGGAGTCTGCCCTGCTGGTCCACTCGGAAAGCCCCGACCGTCTGCGCCCTGGGCCGCTGAGCCCCCAGAACGGACTCCAGGCTCTGAGACAGACCTGGAGACACCGGGAGGCCTTTTTTTAATGCAGTCCAAACCCAAAACGTCACCGTTTTTTCACCCGTGTGGGTTTTAACGTAACGGGTCGCGTGCAGTGATGACACGGGACATGCCGATGTTTGAAGTTACCTACCCTCCATCTTCTTCAGATTGGAGCCCTCCCTGCCCGTCTTCCAGCTGCTGCACGGATCAGAACAGCAAACACATTAGTCCGGCAGGCTCCGCTCTATAAAACTGTGTTTCCCCGACAGCGGGTGAAAGTCCAGTGCTGCTTCGGCCATAAAACGCAAGAACCGGAGATGGAAGTTTGTACGAACAGCTTAAAAAGCCATTGAAGTGACACAGACCCTAAAACCTATCATCATTCATCATTGAGTCATTTTACTGCTGCCCCAGTTTTGCCTATTCTTATCCCTGCAGACCGGCCAAACTAGAATCTCACACGGCACAGTAGTTCTCCAAAGCGAAGGTCAATGTGACATTTTCAGGTGATTCATAAGCATCCAATATTGGAAATCTTCTCCCCAGATTAACATATTCTGCATAGATACGTGTCACTGACTCGTCCAGGTTATCCGGCGCCCCCCAGCAGCGCTCGGGCTTGATGTCCCCGTGGCCCGCGTGGTGCAGGCTGCCGTTCAGCGGGGTCGAGATGTAAGGGACGGGGCCCGAGCCGCCGCCGCCGCTGCCACCGCTGCCGCTGCCACCGCCACCGCTGGGAGTGGCCGCCGGGGCGGCGAGGCTGGCGGGAAACCAGCCGACCGCCAGCGTCTTCTGGTTCTGGCCTCGCCACTCGCTCAGCTCCAGTCTGCACGGAGAGAGAGAGTAAAGGTCAGCCGGTAAAAATTCTATTCTATTCTTACACGCGTGTGTTAGTAAATTTGGTAAGCAGGTTTCAAAGCTCGACTCATCTGAATGGCCTGTTCACAGGGAAAGGAAGAAAGTAGCTATAAAAAGTTTAAATTCAATTCAATTCTTGTTGCGTTAAATGTCCGAAGAAATTAACACGACAGCTGACGGACTCGTTCGAGGTCTGCGCGAGATGGTGGAATGCGGTTTTCGAGCAGCCAATTTAAAGCCGTTTTCATCTTAACAAGGGCTCATTGTTCCAGGTCAAAGTATTCTCCCTCCTTTCCCTCACCCACCCGTGTTCTATGACGGTCACGGGGTCGTTGGCCGCCAGTGCGAGTTTTCTGGATTCAGAGAAATCTCTCGTCGCGCGCCCCTCCTTTGGTTTAGCCTCCAAGCGTTTTGGGGGGGGGGGGGGGGGGGGGACACGGCAAAGATTTACCAAAATATCCTGCATTTCACGCGACATTATTGACACCAATAGATCCGCCCCTGATTTCCTCACACCTCGGCCACCATCTTGATGAGCTGGAGGAAGCTGGGTCGGTCCGTGGGATTGCAGGCCCAGCACTTCCGCATGACGGCGTACAGCTCTTTGGGGCAATCGGGCGGTTTCTCCAGGCGCTCGCCCTCCCTCTCCACGCGCCACAGAATCTGCACCCGAGAAAGTCAACGTCACGGACGCAGACGCTGAGTCAGCGAGCGCGTCGCATACACAAAAAAAACCCCACAAGAAATAAAAAAGCTAACTGCATTTGGGCGTGGAGGCGCATTCCGAGCGCCCGGCATGAATGCAGGCATTGAATGCGCGACGTGGATGTTGACGCGCGGCTGGCGTGTGCGTACCTGTCTGCCCGAAAGGCCGAACCAGGGTTCTTCACAGTAGGTGAACATTTCCCACATGGTGACACCAAACATCCACACGTCCGAAGAGTGCGAGAAGGTCCCGACGCGAAGGCTCTCCGGAGCGCACCTGCAAGAAAAAGACCCAACTAGTGAGAATCCTGAATATTATTTCCTCCCGCGGCCAACGGTGCCGTCGGCCCTCACCACGCGAACGGGATCCTCCTGTGTGCCGACATCACGTAGTGATCCGTCTCTTTGTTCAGGCCTCGCATCAGGCCGAAGTCCCCGATCTTCACCATCTCCCTGGATGCCAGCAGCACGTTCCTCGCGGCCAAGTCCCTGTGGATGAACCTCCGCGTCTCCAGGTAGTCCATGCCCGCCGCGATCTGGGACGCGAAGAACCACAGGCGCATCAGCGGGTAGTCGTACTGGCGCGAGCGCAGGATGTCGTACAGCGAGCCCGAGAGCGCCAGCTCGGTCACCTGGAGGAGCGGGAAAAATAGGTTGGGCTGTTTGTTTTTTTTGTCAATCGAGCTCCTGAACAACAACAACAACCAACAACATGTCGGGTCCACGTTTGAACACCCGAGCGTCGCACCATCTTGAGGGGCTGCGTGAGCACCACGCCGTAGAGTCGGATGATGTTGGGGTGGTCCAGCGACTGCATGGTGGTGACCTCTTGCAGGAAGTCGGTCAGTGTGTCCGTCTGCCGGGACATGCTGCTCCTCAGGGACTTCACTGCTACAGGCAACTGAGGGCGATGACAAGAGGAAGGCTCAATCCTGCCCCTACACCCAAAGAGACCACATATCCTAGAAAGGTGGTGGCTAATAGGGGAAAGTTGGCTGTATCTCCTTTTAAGTTCTCCGCCTTCTCCCGAGGGAAAGCTGTGGCCAGTATAATTGAGCATCATTCACGCAAACAGTGTTCTGTAGCAACGTTCCCTCACCACTCTGCCGGTGGGCGTGTGCCACTCGGCCCTCTTCACCACCCCGAAGGAGCCGGAGCCCAGCTTCTCTCCCATGATCAGCTCGCTGTCCTGGATCAGACACGGGAGGGTCCGGCTGACTCCCTCCTGAGCCTGAGCCTGAGCCGGGCCGCGCTGCTCCCCTCCGTCTGGACCTCGACCGCCGCCCGCCTTTCAGTTCATAAATATGATAATACGACTGGTGAGATTCCCTCCTGAAAACAATAGAGCTGAACTTTACAGCAACTTTGATGCACTACGCGTGTGAAAACCTTGGGAAGCCATTGCCGGGTTCGGGAACTCGTCTTGTAGCGTTTCAGGGCTTCCCATAATCTTCTTTGTGCTGGCAGAATAAAACAAGAAAATAATTGAATTATATCCAACATGATGAATCTGTCGAATATAAAACAGCTTTTAGATATAAAGTAGATAGCATTGTTTTATATCAATGTATTAATTAACTTTTCCCGTTATTAACAAAATTCTTGACATGGTTTGTGCATCAAATAAGAGTGTCAGAGCAGCTGTAACCTCATAAAAGTGCTGATGTTTATATTTACATTAATTGACAACAGACGTCACTTTGAGCTCTGGAAAACTGATGGATGATTTTCATTTGTCACTTTATAGACTCTACAAATAACAATAACATTTGTTTAAAATATCGAGAGATGAATTGATAAAGTAAATAACTATTTGTTGCTGTACTGCTTCATATCAAAGTAAACAATGCTTTTCAATGCAATTCAAACTGCAGTCTCTGGTCTTGAACCAAAGATCAGACACTGAGCTGAGATTGATCCGCGACCGGCGGGGCTACGATCAAATAAGGGGATCTGGCTCACCGGGTTTGCTGATCCCGACTTGCTCCAGGTCGGACTCCTTGACGTAGTTGAAGTGCTCGATGCGGGTGATGTTGAGGCCATCTCGGACGCGCGTGTAGAACTTCTCCAGCTGGACCTCAACCAGGAGATGGTACAGCCACTGAGTTTCCTGGTCCATCAGCATCACCCGGCCCACCTGCCTGGAGGGTTGAAAGGTCGCGCGGCAGTCGTCAGACCTTTTGTGCATTTAGAGCACTTCTGAATTCCTTCTATTAAATCTCGTTAAAGCAGAAATGTAGCACTGAATGGTGTTTTCCTGTCTGGGAACCCTAAATTAGAAACCAGTGCTTTATCTGGGTCACCTTCATCTCATTAAACAGCCCTTTTAATGGTAACTGGGCCTTGTTAGGTTACCATGGAGACCTAACACAAAGCCCTTGCTGTGGAGTGTTAAACAAAATAGTTTGTTGCAGTGCCGTCAGAGGGACTCTCATGCAACTGATCAGATTAACCTGATTACTGGATCTTTTCAGAACTAAGAGAGCATGAACGTGGTGTCATTTGTAGGCGGGAAATCACGCAAGGAAAAGGAACATTTGATGAGACGAGAAGAAAAACAGACGGACAGATGAAAGATCCTTGTACGCATCAACAAGTGGATTCAGTGTCAGCCAATAACAGGGAACAACTACCGTCAAAAACAGAAGTAGAAACATTAGCTTGTGCACCTACCAGTCGGACAGGATCCTGTTCAACAAATACTAACGTAACTGCGGGAGGTTTGCTGCGTGTCGACAGCAGCGTCACTGCTCCTCAATGGCCAAATGGAGCTTCGCTTCCCTCCTTTAAACCCCGTCTCTTTTAATTTGTGCCACTTGAAAAGAACGATGACGTTGACAATTAATGCAATTGCAGTGAACAGAGTCACAGGCGCAGTAATCGGGGATGATTACGTTTGCTTAACTTCCTCATTGCTTGATACGTTTAAAGTTAAAAGACTTTCTTCCAGTTCCAGGGTTAACTCTTGCTGTCATGGGTTGTACAGCCATAAAATCACCTGCATATCAGCACGGCGGGTATGAGTCAGGGAAGACCTCCCACATTCCCCTGTCGGCTACCCTGGAAACAAATAACTCCATCTACGCCACCGCACAACCTGCAGAGCAACATTGCCAGCAATCACTTGAGCCCGATGCCTCGATTATCCGACAAGTACACAAGGGCGCTAGCCCGGGCATGCGTTCAATTTTCAGGGACGACACCCAATTATTTTGCACGCAGCGTGATTGAGCAGGAGGGCCGATTGTCAACAGGTCCCACTCACATTCCAAAGGGAGAAGGTGCACATTGGTCAACAGGGAGGCCTCTGTGGTCGTTCTCTGTATGTACACAACGATCAATATTTAACCTGCCCAGATGCTGGAAAATCCTCTCGGCCTAAAGGAATCCGTTGACCGTGCAGCTGTTCAGTTCATAGCTTCCTGCGGCTGAACACTGGCTGGATTTATTTTAAATTTTAGTACAGTAGCTGCATCTTCAAAATGGCCAATAATAAAGTTCAACCCTCAATAGCCAAGCTTCTAAACAAAAGGAAAAAAGTCAGCGCTTTGAGTTTAGGTCACACGATTATTCCGGTCTGTCATCAAATAATTGAAGACCATGACTTTAATAAGTGACACCTGGATGCTGTGTGTCCGAATGGGTTATTGTTTGTTAAATTATTCATGTTGTAGCTGGAGGATGTGATTGATGGGTGTAGATGTATCCCTCATCATGCAACATATTATCATTTAAATTGCCACGTTTATGTAGGAAGTGAGTAAATATGTAGTAGAGTGGAATAAAGAAGTAACCTCACGGAGACGTTTTCGAAACCGGATACGCTCATCGACGTTCTGAATTTAATAATTTTTTTAACAAAACGCATTTCCCCCCCCCTTAAATATATACACATGCATCATCTTAAAACTTACCGTTAGTCAAAAATAACTCAAAAGTGTTCTGCTCATCGACGGCTACTTTTCGTAATGGAACCCGCCCCGAAACAAGTGCTCCATGATGGCACCGAAACCTCCGGCGAAGCAGACGCAGCTTTTCTCTCTCTCTCTCTCTCTCTCTCCCTCCACAAGCTCTTCTTCTTCCTAAACCAGCCTCAGATGAATCCACCAACCCGACATAGATCGGCTCGTTGTGTTCTTCTTTTTGTTTAAGTCAAACGTTCACGTGTCTGTGTGAAGGCTCCGAGTTACCTGCGTGCGTTCCGCTTCTTTCTCCGCCTCCTTGGCAGCGAATTCCCCCCCTGAACACACCTTCTTCTTCCTGGCTTCTCTCGCCCGAGCCTTCGGGCACTCAATGGGACTTTACGTGACAGTAAACCTGCGCAGGTAATAAGGTGAACGGCATAAATGTAGGTCACCGATATCATGACCACGTGACGATGTCAAACACACTAATAGAGTTATCTGTAGTGTTTATATCGGATGCTTCCTTTTCCTCCTTTGTCTTTGTTAAAAAACTAGTTTCTAACATTTTCTATGATCTTTGCAATGTTGAGTAAATATTGTTTTATCCTGAACATCGGCGGATAAACCCCTCACTAAAATACAACACAATTCAACCCGCTTACAATGGCAGCTTCTAAAAGGGCTGTAAAGTTACATCAAGAAAAGTGAACTTTGACCTCCATGAGGGTTTATTGCAGGTGCACTTTAATGGACGGCCTTCGCCGTAGGAGAAGAAGCCCAATAAAATCTAAATTTAAATGAAAACAAGTTTTTTCTGATGCCTTCACAGCGTTACTTGTTGTGTTGTTGTTTTCATTAATTGATCAGAAGTCATTAACTTCTCATCATGACTAACTGAGTTTGGGAAATGTCCAGTTAGTCATGCTGAAGCTCACATCATTTCCGTAAACAAGCTAAACGTAATTCATCACCTCTATTATCCGTGGCTCGTTTTGTTGTGGGGAACAGAAACGTGAGCCGTGAGTCAAATAAAGAAACCACAATGTGTATCTTCTCGTCCAGCTGCTGTTGCCGAGCCAGTTTGACAGGATTTCTCAGCCTGGCTGTTCATTTGAATAAAAACCAGGCAGCTTTCTGTGGACGTCCTGCCTGCACTTTGCCCCTTTGTGGCACAGTACCCCCCCCCGCCCCCTCGTCGCTCCTCCCCGCCCGCCTTCCCGGACAAACACACAAAAGTTTCAAAGCAGCTTCACAGCTCTTTCATGCGCTTCCAGCTGAACTAGATGGAGACACAGATTACAGTTTGCTTGGAGCAGATTGAGAGTGATCTATTGCAGGAATACATTTTTTTTTTTCTCCAAAGAGTTGTTTATATCCCCAATAATAGCAAAGACAAACAATGAATGGGGGGAATAAGAGCCATAACCAACCAAACAGGTATTTAGACAAAAACCTGTTATTTACAGAATGTTCAGAGTCTTCAACCTGTGTGTGTGTGTATGTGTGTGTGTGTGTGTGGGCCAGACGTATTCACTCCTTCTTCCGTCTTAAATCTCTGAGGCTGAAGTTCCCCGGCGTCGAATTACAGTGTGGGAATCTCTCCATGTCTTGTTTTCTGGGGTCTGAGAGAAAGGCTCGGCGGGAGGGGACGTGAAGTGAAACACAATATGTACGAAGTTTCTTGCTCATAGGTTTAAATGTGATCCAGATACACAATGAAACAAAGCTTTCAAAGAAAGGAGATACATGACGTATGACTGGTGGACAGTTCAGAGAGAACTATTATCAGGCAAGTTGATTTATCTGTTTGCATTATGTGATAAAAAAAGGAATGTGACAGGTGATAACGTGACACATCTAGTGTGTTTGGTCTTTACATAAAAGCGTTCACTGATGTGGATTTAAAGGAGAGGCCCCTAAGACTTGTCTTAAGTGTGTCAGTGAGACAAATGCTGCGCAGCCATGAAACTTTATTCTAAATTCCAGTGGAGATCCAACAGTTTCAAAAGACGCAAGATGTCGGACAGAATTTTCATCGATAATGCAGATATCAGAAAATGTTTAAGGGATTATGCAGGTATTAAAAACAAAGAGACAGAAAAAGAATTACAGGTAAAATTTTGATTATCCTGAACAGAAGTACAATAATAAATAAACCTGAACATGCAGGCAATTAATGTAGTGCATATGCAAAACTGATTGCACACTACATTAAGCATAAGATTTTATACATTCTGTGCATTATTTACAACATGTATTAATCATGCATTATTAAATGTGAAATAGTTTTCTTCAAGCTTTCTTTCCCTAAAAAGTAATCATATCCTTAATAGCAACAGCAAGGTCATCCTGTTGAAAATTAGTTTGTTAGTTGGTTGAAAAAAAAAATACAACCGTCAGTGGTCATCAAAATCTTTTCTCTTTCCTCGAAGGATCCCCGATTGGCAGCAGATTCAATGCAGGCAAAGAAAAGCAGCGCCCCCTGCTGCATAGAAAACAACATGTGGCGCCTGTGCAACGTCATCATATGGCGACAGCATTTTTGTTGTTCTTTTTTATTTTCATCGGAAATAAGGCCCCCATATTTGTTATTATATTTGAGGCTGTGAGTTTCTACATAAAGGAAACTAATTTTACTAGCAAGCTTTATCTTAAAATGTTCCTTTTTCTATTTTTCTATCATCCTCAGAATAAAAACAAAACCGGAAGTCAACCCTTCATTTGTAAACACATGGCTCGTTGTCGTGTCTGACGCCCAATTATGCCAAAACTCTTTGAGATAACGTTTCCGGGAGAATGTAAGACTCTCCCCGAAGGCTTTTGGTCGGCTGTAGACGTGTGGATAAAGAAACCTCACGTCGTAAACAAACGTCTTTGCGGAACTACGGAGACTGAGAGCACCGATGTGGGCGAAGAGGCTTTGCTCTTCCTGCTGGATGATCCTGAACTCCTCCACGAGGCGCTTTCCTTCATCACCAACGAGGTCCCACCGGCTCAGGGGCACGAAGGAGAAAGCCCCTGGTCTTCTACTGTCAGGACCGTCATTCCCAAAGTAAACAGTTACGGGACAAACCTGCACAAAGAGGTCGTACTCAAAGGTAAACCTGCAGATGAGTGAAATGCTGCATCCAGCTCTGCTCTCTCACGAGAAGCTCTCTTGAAAAAAAGAAATCTCTTTGTCCCCTTTTTAAGACTTTGGCAGACAACTCGTGAGCTTTCTTCCATTTGAAGAGGATTCAGAAGGACGCGTGTCTCTGAAGAGGGGCAACGTCTACCAGTTCCAGCTCCTCCACCAGGACGGTGAGGGATGGTGAGTGAGCTGAATGAGCACGACCCGTCAAACTATGGCGGCCCGCAGGGGGAAAATGACTACCGTTTCTTAGTTATTTCCAGGCTAGAATTTGTGAATTAAAATGACAACTGGACGACTCGGCCTTCCTCCCCAGGGCCCTGGAGCTGCACGCTTTGGCTCCGGACGAGTGGTTCTCGGATGGCGTCGTCTACCCGAAGCTGCCCTGGCTGTCCGCCGACCTGCTGCCCAAACTGGTGCGCTGGGCCACCGAGTGCAAGACCAGCGAGTTCAAGAGCACCTTGTCCCTGCTGCCGGTGGAGAAGTACAGCGTTATGTACCAGCAGCTGAAGGAGAAGTACAAGGCCATGGTGAAGGTAAAGTCTGCTCGGCGTAAAGGCCGTGGTTTTATACATCTACAATGCTGTTGACATCTAATTATTGTTCATTTGTGTCATGCTCTCTAGATTTGGCCAGAGGTTACAGATCCTGAGAAATTTGTCTATGAGGATGTTGCCATTGCTACATATCTCCTTGTGAGTTAAAAAAAATGTATATCTTCTATCCATTATAATAGCAAGGCTCTCAGTGAGGCTGCGTCTCTGTCGCTGTAATGCAGGTGCTGTGGGCCGAGGAGCGAGCGGAGAAAGGTCTGACCAGCAGACAGTCCTTTGTGGACTTGGGATGTGGAAACGGGCTCCTGGTTCACATACTGGCCGGCGAAGGGGTAAGCTGGGGCGTAAATGTTGGCTGTGTGCGCTAGAAAGTCATGAGGTGTGAAGTTGCTTACGAGTTGGAAGTTTGCTTTAAGGGCTTCTTTATGTGTGCTGTAAACTAAAACTGAACCGAGGACAGTCAGAAGCCGCCTCTTAGTATCACATTAAATACAAAAAAACAGTCTCTTCATAGTTTAAGAGGCACATAATTAGCTTTTCAACATGAAAAAATGATGAAGCGATAATTAAAATTGCTGCAGATACATTTTCTTTCAGCTATTTAATCAATCGAATCCTTTTTGAAGCGGATGTTGAGGCTGACTGCCGATGCTTATCAGGTAGATCCTTATAAACTAATTACAAAAACAGCCATCCCAAAGAAGAAATCTTCCCAGTCAGCTTAATCCTCGACATGATGGAGGCCACTGTGAGGGGATCAACAAACCATTGACCAAACCAGGTGAGCCGCTGACCTGCGTGCCTTCTCGCGTTGCAGCATCCCGGCAGGGGCATCGACGTTCGGAGGAGGAAGATCTGGGACATGTACGGCCCCCAGACTCTGCTGGAGGTGAGCGCGAGCGGGGCGGACACGTTGCTACCATATTCAGGTTTTTTTTAATTGGTGTTATTATCTTTTCACATGAAGCTGAGAATCCACGTAGGTGTCTAATCGGCCGCCGTCACCCCCTCACTGCAGCTGCTGCTTTGTGCTGTTGATCCGCGGAGGGAAGGCGCGTTCCACTTTTTAACGGAGGGAACTTTGGAGACAACTTTTTGAACAATTAATGCACAAAATGTAAATTAGGTTGCTGGTAGAAAAACAAAAAAACATCTCAGGTCAAGGTCAATGATATAAATGTTTGTTAAATAAATTGCTTTTATAATCAGATCTAAATGCACGTTTACGTCACTTAATTGTTAACCTTTTAACAGCACGAGTACTACAATAGAGAACACGTTGGAATACGTTGCATGTTTTTATTGATAGTCATGCAACTATTAAAATTAGTTTACTGACAGAATCCCTTACCGTCCATTTATCACTTTTAATACCTTTTTAGGTTTAGGACAAAAGAAGCATTGGCTCGTCACCCCCCCTGGACTCCGCCCTTCACTCCACAACAAGCTGCTGACTGCTTCTATTTCAGGTCATCTATTATTGAGGCATTTTTGGGGAGCAGATGTGGCAGACCGATCTTCCTCGGCCCCCCCGAGGGGGGCGGCGCACCCTTAAATCTCCATTTTTCGGCGGCTCTCTTTGAACCCTCAGTGGCGCTAACCTGCTTCATTTGTCACCTCGCTGAATATGAAACGTTTTCATGTAAATTCTCCACTGGCTTCGCCGGCATCGTGTTATTTTGATCATTTGAAAGCCACCGCTTTGATCACGAAAGGCTCAGAGACGAGATCCCTTTTCATACATTTCCCCCCCCCGACAGCTGTGCCGAGATATATCGAAAGGTTGAGCAAAAGAAAGTGCTTTTTGGGACAATCCCCATTAATGGGCTCGCAATCAAATCACAGCCGCATGCATCTTCCTCCCAGCTCTGAAGAGCTCTTGTGTGTGTGTTTGTTTGTTTTTTTGGGGGTCTTTGCTATTTCAGGAAAAGGCAATTACTCCCAGCGAGCGCTTCTTATTCCCGGGCGCGGACTGGCTGATTGGGAACCACTCGGACGAGCTCACACCGTGGATTCCTGTTATAGCTGCCAGGCGAGTCATCAACAGACACAATCTCACTCTGCCGCTCGAGTGCCAGCTGATCTTTCTAATTTAGAATCGCATTACGGGCAGGAGGGAGGACGTGTGAATGTGGGTGCGCGCGTTAGGCCTTCTCCCTCTCGTAGGTCCACCACCTGGTGGCGATGTTGATCCTGAGCCTCCTGCTATTCGCTTAACGTGCTGACAGATGATAATCTCTGCTAATGGATTCTTGTTTCCCGTCTTTAGTAAGGATTCAGTGTTGTAAAGGGGTCTCTGCTCTCACTGCAGGTCCTCTTACTCCTGCCGGTACTTCGTCCTCCCCTGCTGCTTCTTCGACTTCTACGCAAAGTACCAGCGACGCCAGTGCAAGAAGTCTCAGTACAAAGAATACATCGACTTCATCACGGAGGTGAGCCGAGTCAGTGGCTTCAACACCGAGGAGGACTGCCTGAGGATACCGTCCACCAAGCGGGTCAGAGCTCACTGCTTTCCATCCCCAGACGCTTGTCGTGTGTGTTTTTTGTTTCGGACACAAGGCAAAAAAAATAAAATAAAAAACTCCCACGATGCAACTTGATGAGGGCACAGGAACCCAGCTGATAACGCGTAGTGCTCCTCTAACACTTTTACCACTGCGGTGGTCTGCGTGGACAACAAGGTACATAGACTCTTTTAAAAGGTTATTTCTTGGACCTCGTAGCTGATTCCTTTGACTTCCGTTCCAAAAGAAAACCTCATTAGAATGGTCAGCAAAAGGATGATAAAATGCATCGCTGTTCTTCGCCGTGCATCTCTGACTTTTCTCCACCTGAGCCTCACTTAGTGCAGACGGACAGACATAAATCCAGTCTTTATTGTTCCCTAAGGGACGCGTCTCTCACAGCTGGCAGCTATTAATGGCTCCACAACACACGGACACTTGTTTTTTCCATTGAAACGAACGCACACTTTTGTTGATCATTTTGAGGTGTAACTTTTGGACCCCCCCCCCCCCGCAGGTGTGTCTGGTGGGGAAATCGAGAAACTACCAGCCGTCGGACGACGCCCAGGCGGAGAGCCGAAGGGCTCGTTACATTCAGAGCCACCGGGCTGCCCCCCCGAGTGACGGCGGCGGTCGCCCCGGAGACAAAGACGCTGACGGGGACCCCGGCGGCGGCTGGGGAGCGGGCTTCCAGCCCAGAGAGCGGGTCGAAGCGGTTCGAAACTGCGCCGCCCTCCCGCGGGACTTGGTCGACGGCGTGGTCCTGCAGGTGGGCAACGCTCTCCTGGGAATGGCGGAGGACGACCCCGGGGCGACCCCCACCGGCTGGGATGAAGGAGGTAAACCCCCCCCCCCCTCAAGCCACAAAACACCTGAGTCAAAAAGAAATCCAGGTTCAGAAGTTGAGTAAAAAAGGGTAAAGGGTCTGTAACATGACGTCTTTTCGTGAACAGAATTACAACAAAAGGCTCACACTGACAAAAACGTGTTGGATTTAACTTTCTTGCACATTTTTGTGTGTTCAAAGAAAATATTATTATTAATCATGAATTAAATGACTCTTTGTTTTGCTAGATATCAATTGGACTATTTATGTGTGATTTAAAGTTAGCTGAAATTTGCCCCAAATTTGAGATTGTACCTTCAGATATATGCTAAGCTACCTACGTTGGCTTTAGCGGGAGTTTAGTCCGAGTCTTTATTTAGCGTTGTTCTAGTTTTTTTGCAACCATTATTATAACACAATTACCAGTATATCGTAACGCATACGTTTTAAATACAGCTAGGAAAAAATGTAAACTTGGCTGAAGTTCAATCTCATCTGTAGCTGTGGCTAGCAGTCGCTAGCAGTCGCTAGCTCACCATGACCTTCTTCTTAGTACGGTTTGGGAGGAAACGGCTGTAAGGCCGGTTAGCCTAGCGTAGCGAATAAGCGTTTTCCTAACAAACCTCTTGTATTTCTTGTAGTTGCCTTCGCAGGGCAGCATGAATCACTCCTCACATTTCACCGCCGCCCCCAGTCACCCTATCCGAACCCCACCCCCCCCCCTGCCGCCCCCCATCTCTCCTCGACACCAGCCCCCCTCCCTCTCTGCATCAGTCACCGGTGCCTGCGTGACACACACAGCGCCGCCTCTTTGAACTTCGTATCTCACCCTCTGCCAGCCACTTCCTGCTGCTGCGCGGCGCATCAGAGTGCCACATACGCACGCTGCCTCACAGCACACGCATGTACACACCCCGCCCACGTGTCACGTTCGCCAACGCCTCTGCATCCCCGGCTGCTGCACACACACACACACACACACACACACACGACATATAAATGACACGAGGAGATGAGGACTACTAACATTAACGGATGTCACTGCTGAAATTCCAAGGTAGAGCGAATGAAGGGAGCCCGTGACCCTGCGTGGAGATGACTTGATGAATAATGCACCAGCGTCTATAATTTATGCATGAAGATGCATTTGTATTGAGGTATTCCCACCAGTTATCTGCTGTTGGAACAAAGGGTGAATCCAGTGCTCAGCCAACCTAAATGGGGAAAAAGGGCTTTGAGGTTTCTGTATCCATCTTAAAATATATGAGGTTGTTTATTTTTGTATTTCTCCGGAGTGAAAAATGGATCCTTTAACACCAGCAGTGATTGACAGGCTATTTTTTGTGTGTGTGTGTGTGTTGGGAAATGAGGTCGCCTTTGATTCGGAATCAAACCGTGGAACCAAACTTATTTTCTTTTCACTTTTCCTAACCGGTGCGATTGGTCTGATTCTCCTCTCGCTGGCTTTTCAGAAAAGCAAAGGATGATCCGAGTGGAGTTATTAATTCATGCGTGCCGCTCTGCTGACTGGACTCGGGTAGTTATGTAATCGCGCTGAGAACGAAAGTCGCTACGTAGCTCGCATTAAACGCCGCATCACTGCACCTGGAAGTGTTTTTTCTAAAGTCAGGTTGAATAAGTCTACGTGAATCCAAAAGAACGCTCTTTGTAATGTTCCTTTTGTGCAACCATTGTATCTGCCCTGAGTGCTAATAGCCTGCATGGAAGAGGGAGTGGGTGTGTTCCACAGTATGCTATTAACAACGCGCTTTTTGCCAGACTCATCATTATTATCATCATCATCATCATCATCTTCCTCCACAGCTGAACTGAACTCCCCTCGCACATAATATTATACCTCGTTCCTGATATTAGAGCCACAGCAGTTAGTCAATTGATCGGTTTGTCTGTCAACACGGGGTTTGTCAGCAACTTAATCATTACAGTATAAATTAATGCTAAATACGAGCAATTTGGAGGTGTGAATTTAGCGTTTAGGGTCATTCCAATTGGCCCGTTTTCAGTATTTAGTGACCAAACTGTTTGGCTGGAATGATCCAGGAGTTATTGGCACATCGTTCCGTCATGGAAATAGAATTTATTTTTTGTCGGGAATCAAAAATAAATGTTATGTTCCTGTTCTCTCATTTATTCAGAGGCAGCTGATTTGTGATTATGGTTATTATGAGCGTTGTAATTATGAGTGGGAGGGTATTTATCGGCTTTTCTCAGGATTTTACTTCACAAGAATAACTGCTTGATTATAGACAACAAGAAGATTACTCTGTGTGGCAGAAAGAGCCTCCTTCCCCTCTCTTTTCCCCCCCCCAAACTTTTTAATTTATGTTGACCCCTTTAGATAATTCTGACTTTAAAAATAAAAAAATACTCAACAATTTTTCAGCATTTTCAGGTTTTACTGAGAATAAAAATAAATTCAGCAACCTTATATTGCATCGGTGCTCATGGCAATGATCCTTTTCAAATGTTTTGTTTTTTTCCCCCGCACTCTGCAATCTTGGAGCCAATTTGTCTGCACTCGGCCTGATTCTGAATTGCCTTAAGCAGCAAAAACAATCCTCAACAACAAGCAATCAATCACTCGCCATCGCGGTGCTCTGCACGCGGGATGCTCGGCCCTAAAAGTAAAAAGTCCCGACTGCGCGTCAAACCGAGCCATTAATAACCCCCTCCGTTGGTCTCAGTCCAAGTAGAGTCGCCTCTGTCAATACTGCCCCCCCTGTCCCATTAATCCCCATTAAGATCGTGGGCAGTAAAGGGCAGCTCTAAATGCTGTATTGATATTGTATTAAGGACCCGGAGGTCCCTGGCGTCTGCCCGGTTTCACGCTGTGCAGCACAGGACGGTCTTTGGCTGCGTGAGCGTCTGGGAATGTGGGGAAGTGTTTGATGCATATATTTTTGGGGTTTTAACTCGCCAATTTTACCAGCTGGGTTTGGGAGGACGGTGTGTTTTGGAATGAAAAGTTCCGAGTTGAAGTTGTAGAGTTGCTGCCTCGTTATGAATAAACAAATTGAAAAGATTTAATATGAATGTTTTTATATTCGCTTTAAGATAGCAACTGAACTGGAGATACATTTCCCACTGGATTTCTCCTGTTCAATGCATTGTGATGTCTGCAGAGTCACATACCAATATTGTTGTGAAAAGGCACGAAGGAGCATTGGAAGTCCTGCAGTGTGTCCTGCTCCGATATGTCAGAGAAATGGTAGGGAGGGGGCGGCACTGTCGTTTGTACGAACCAAAGGTCAGTCCTGATTGAATTATTTTCTGGGGGTAAAAGGTCAACTGAAGAAATACAGAAAATGTCCTGCAGCGGAGCCCAAAGCGCGGCGCTGCTCAGCAATCTGCCGCCTCGTCGCTAAAAACCCACAGCGGAGGACTTTCCGTCTCCCACTTTCCACCTTTCTCGGCTTTTTTAGCCTCCGCGGCCCGGCGGTGACTCGCGCTCGCTCACAGCTCGCAGCTTTATTCCTGCGCAGGCCTCGAGCGGTGTGTGTTAAACGTATTGATGAATGTGGCATCGAAAGACTTGCTTCCTGGTCTCGTGTGACTCTCTTGTTCTTTGCTCTTTTCATCCCTTTCTCCCCCTGAAGGCAGCCTCTCAGTGAGCGAGGCCGCTGGGCTGTTGGTGCAGGAAACCCTGCAGCGGCTGAAGAAGGAGTGTGGAGGCCTCCAGACGCTGCTCAAGAACAACCACCAGGTCTTCAGAGGTAGCCGCACTCACCTGCTCATTGTGCGTTCTCGTACCAAAGGGGACGTCCGGAGGGACAACGTTGTCGTGTCTTCTCTTTCAGTAGAAGGAGGGAGGGTGTACATACGAGACTGGCGGGACAGGAAGTCCTCCGGGGCGGACGCCAGGAGGAGGCCCGTCGTACCCGGGGCGCTGAAGACCCGCCCCTGCTGGTTCTATGACCACCACCCTCAGCGCTGCCCCCTGCAGGCCGAACACTGCGCCTTCGCCCACGGGCCGGACGACCTCCGACCCTCCACCCGACCGCTGAAGAAGATGAGAAAGGACGCCTGTTGATCGGCTTTTTTATTTATTTTTTTATTTATCTGATGAAGTTGAGCGTCTACTGATCTAATGTACTGATTAACAGTATTAATTCTTAGGTCTGCAGCCACAGAGAGTAAGGAGGTACGAGCAGTGTGATCGTTATCGGGGCCACGTTGCATCATGTTGTGTGTTTACGGAACGGATCACGTACTAGATCCTTTTTATTTCTTTCATGGACCTTTTTCTTCTTTTTTCCTGTCAAAAAACAGCCCCATGTGCTTCACTGGGACACTTAGTCCACCTGAGACAGGTGCTCTGAGGTTCGCAGACAGGGCGGCGGATGAAGGCCGGGGGCGGCGTTTGAACGCGGTAAATGTTATCGGTATGAATAATTTGTTGGCAGGAGACTGGGGGGGGGGGGGGGGGGGTGAGCTGCTGTGTCTCTCTAACACAGTTTGCCATCAGCCTTTGGCTCAAATGTCAAAAACCAGCAAGGACCCCCCCCTCCCCCATCCCCTCTCCCCATCAGAGACTGCAGCGAGGCAACAACAATCGCGCCGCCGATGCAACGCGGCGTAAAAGGCCGATGATTTATTGGCTAAGATACGGATGCGAGGTGGCGACCCGGAGCCACGTTGTTCGCGTGGTTTTATTTTTATTTGCATCGTGCACCTGTCTCGCAGGTATTTCAACGTGCCGTTTCCTGACGTTACACGATGGGACATTTCGCCCTTTGTAGCCACTAACGCGCAAACGCAGCGCTGAAGCTTGAAGGGTCGGTTCACCCAAATGACGAGAAACAGCGTGTCAAGCCTGGTTTCCTGTGAAGGAGCATTCTGCCAGTAGAAGGAGCCCTGCAGGGAATGTCTGCAACAGAAATAGCAATGCTCCTTTTAATGTGAGTCATCATTTTGACTTTTCAACATGTTCACGTTGTTTTCCTCCTTTGACTAAGACAATTCTGCATATTTTGACCTTGTTTAATCTCATCATTTTGTCTAATAAACAAAAAACGAACAAAGTATTTCGACTACATTCTCTTAATTTTAACTTCACCGTGACCCAATTGTCTTAAATACGGACCAATGAAATGCTCTCAATCGTAATGCAAGTTTGTATATTGGTGTCTTGTATACTTCACGTGAACCTTTTTGAACCTTGCTGCAGGGGAGCGTGACGTCTTCTGGTAGCTGAGTTGCTCACCTGACGCCCCCCCCACACACACACACTCTCCTGCCATGACCTTTCTGACCCCGGCCTCTTCCGACCACCGTTAATAAGCCATCGTTATGAGCGTGTTTAAGTCCGCCTCGCTCACTGCCCTGGAGATCCTTCCCTCTGTCCTCAGCCGCCCTCACATAAACACTTCACTGGAGGTCTGTTGCTCACCCAGCCGAGGAATACACCATGGTGCCAAAAACGACTGCTACAAACAAGAAAACACTTCTCACCACACGACGCACGCAGCTGACTTTGTAACGAGAGCCTGGGTTTGGTAAACTAGGCAGATCAAGAGATGTCAACAAATGACGCATTTGATAAAACACGTATTTGAAAGCGGTTACACATGAAGCAAAGCCACTTTAGTGCTGGTACAATGATGGTTATGTAACCATGACGCGCCCATAAAATTGTCACAATTTAACCACATTTTTATCCAAACATCTTTTGACCGATCAAATGACTTTGCAGTACCTCAGTAGCTGCGTTTTAAGAGTAGATGTTTGTAGTTACAACTGCAGAGGAGATAATACATTGTCTGTGATACATAAATCCGAATTAGGAAATGTTATTTGGTAAAAACTACTGTTTCCTTCGCTCAGTCGGTCTTCATCGTATAGAAATAAGTGATATCGTATACAAAAACAAGTGTATCCCAACGTTGAATTAAGAAAACGTTCTAAATTTACTTCCAAATCCTCTCCTACAGACACAGATTCCACGGTGCACAAGAAAGTCATTGCAACAAATCCGTAACCCCACAAATATGCCACATCTAAAAGTTTAAAATTTCTCCTTCTGAGACAGCGAGGCCTCCTTTGTCGCTCAGTGAATGAGCTTCTGAGTCCATTGAAATCACAGCGTAACGGACGGCCTTCAAAATACACAATCGCGTACGTGAGGGCGTTTTGGTTCACGAGGTGCCGAAGATAGAAGAACAAAGCATGGGAGCATTGAACGGCTCCACGCGTGCAGCACTGTGCTGAGGATCCGGTGGTTTATTCTGCAAATGAACCTTCGCAACTTGGTGATTTTTCCTGCAAATATCCAATGGGGGAAAAAAAACAACATAGACAATATCTGTTCAGGGGAGACGGCGAAGGCAAAGGGACCCCACGGAGGGACGAAACGACTCCCCCGCGCTGCAGATCTAGGTCAGGGAGAAGCCGACAACTTTCGCTGCGTGTGCCTCATGCTTTATTCATGGTGGCACCGAGGGGCCCGGTGATGAACATAAGTCTCTCTCAGCAGAGCGAGCCGAGCATCACTGCGACGCTGACAGCTGCCACTGCCGTGACTCACTCCCTCTGAATGTTGCCGCCTCTCAGAGTCTTCTCGTTTTGTCTGTGTGTGTGTTTTCTGGAGAAAAGTGTCAGTATGCAGTGTGTGTGTGTGTGTGTTGTTGTTTTTTTTGCTGTCGTTGACGACTTAATGTGGAAAAGGTGTCCTCAAGTCTAATCTACTTCAATCTCCAACATTTTTGCAAAACATTTATCTGCCTGATATCTTTAGACTCTGTGACACATTCTGACCTTATATTTTTAGATCTTATATTTTTCATGACATACTTACACCATCACATTTTTTAAAAATAATTGTTGACACATACACCCCCTTTCACGACGTCCTCATCGCCTCCTCAGCGCCGGGTGGGGAAGAGAAAAGGGCGGAGGGAGGCCGTCAAGCCTTCACACCTGATGCTCCCCCAGCGAGTTGTCGCATGAACTGAGAGCAGCGGGACGAGTGAGATAAAGGGGCTCTGGTGGGAGGAGGGGAGAACACTTACTTCAAAAAAGGTTGACAGTTGCCGAGCGAAGGCGGTTCCTCTTCTCGACGTAGTTGGAAATATGCAAAACACACAATGGGCCGTCCACCCAATTCACTCCTGTTTATAGCGTCCTGCCAGTGTAACGGTGTCTGAGTGATGCGTCACACTGTGCGCTCATGATCTCCATATATTTAACCTGAGCAGACACATATCGAGCTAAACGGAATCCCAGTTAACGCAAAATCATTCCTTTTGTTTTTTTGGCCTGTTGAAATTGCCACATGGGGGCCAATCGACTTAATAAATCATTTATGAGATGTTAATTCAATTCTGTGTTCGGCACAAAAGAACCGAGCCTCGCCGCGTGAATTCCTTCTCTCCCAGTCTTCTGCTAATCATAGTAAAATACACATTTCCTTCATCCTTGCACCACTTGAATGGTAAAGGCACCGTACTTGTGTAGCGCCATTGTGGTCCTCCTACTCTAAGCACTTTGACACTTCATGTCACCATTAACCCATTCACACACTGATGACCGGAGCCACGGCGCACAGGGACAACCAACCTTCACACCGTCCACACGCTGTAGTCATAGCTACAGGAACCATGCTGCCAGCAGGGCCTGGAATCAAACCTCCAATCCTCCCCATCAGAGGTCCTTTCTGCTTGTAGTTGTTTGGCAGTCGCTCATTCTTTGGTTCCCCCGACTCTGTAATGCAGGCCCTGATTTCAGTAGAACTCTTGACTTCTGTTTTTTGTCATGATTGAGAGTGATTGGGATCTTCCTGTAATGCTTGAGTGGAAGAGCACCTCTCACAGGAAAAACCGCAGAGCTGTTACTTCTGGCGTTGTTGGCTTTGTTTTGTTATTGTTTTTTTTATTTTTTTTATTGGGGAGTAACCTTTTGTTCATAATTCCACAGTACGATTCTCCACGTAAACATAAACCGAAGGATTGGAGAAACTGTTCACAGACATTTTCTACTTCCTCCAAGTCAAACAAAGACTTTGTGGGTCAGATATCAACAACACAAACATTATTATCATAAACCCAGGACGGATTTTATGTTAATGTCTCCACGGAAACCACAACTTCATAGTCAGAGGATCATAGATGATGTTTTACTGACTCGCTGCGGCTTTACTTCTCTTTGTTCTGTGTAAAAAACTTGTCTGAACCTTTGATTCTATTATTATACACCGAGTAATAAATAAATCAGCACAGTTAGAGAGTTTTTCCAAATGAAAAATGAAATGACACAATAGCTAATCTCTTCTCCAAGTGCATAAAATTCTTAAAAGTTGTGCTATAAAGAGGCTATATAACCTTTAAATAATTGCATCAGCAGGTTTTGGGGATGCACACAAGCACACTTGTGTTCCATGACGAGTTATTACATAATCTGCTCCGTCTTCTATTTGACGTCACTCCGTCAGCTGAGGAACGTCAAAGTCCCCCGAGTCAAACAACTCGCCTTCCCACATTTGTCAAACTGAAAAAAATTTCCGGCTAACGTGAGAGCAGCTTTCGCCTCAGCGATGTGAAACCGTGGGTTACCATAGAGGCAGAAACCTGGAGAGGGTGTTGTTACCATGGGCGACAGGGCCGAGGTGACCCAGATGGCACAAAAGCAGCTGAGCCCGAGGGCCGACGTGCATTGACAGGCGCACCGAGCAGCGAAAGCCAGAACCGCCTCACCCAAGAGTCCTTTCCTTAAAGCATGTTGGCGGAGTGAGAGCGTCTCCTCTGAGCACGCGAGGAGACGGCTGTGGTCGCACAGGGGAGGACAAAAACGTGTCTACAGGGGAGGACAAAACCGCGTCAAATCACGGGCACGACTGACGGCGTGCTGTTTGTGGCGCACTGGAGCGTGCGATTCCCCCGAAGGTCCCGTTCGTGTTCACAGATCAATAATAAGCCAACAGTCGGAAACTTTAAACTAGGGATTCCCAAAGTGGGGGAGCGGGCCCCCCAGGGGGGCCGCAGGCGGCCTCTAGTGGGTTGCGCAAGAAGGAAACATGTAATGGTGGTCTAAAGTAGTAATAATTCATATTAAATGTATTTTTACACAAAATACAGTCGTGAATTATAAAACTACCCTTTGAAAGATTAACATTTAAAAACATAAATACACTTCAGCTCCTCCTTTTACGTACACACTGGCTAACGTGAGCCTAGTTTGTGCAGCTAACGTCAGCTAACAGGTCAGGACGTCTGAAGGAGAGGGACAGAGAGAGACGATAGAAACGGAGTTAATACTCACGTATCGCTAACGTTACCTCTCTCTCTCTCTCCCTCTCTCTCTCTGCGCTGCGTGTGAAATCCTCCCGTTTCCTTCAGATCTGTTTCTGAGACTGTGCGCGTGTCCTCGTCCTTCTTATTGCTCCTTTTGAAATGACGTAACTGGAGTTTATTGAAACTTTGTTGCGGTGTTTGCTTGCTTTGTCCTGGTTATTGTTAATAATTAATATGTTGCTGTTGGCCCTTTGTTCTGTGTTCACACTGCAACATTTAACAGCGGACTAAATATTGTAAACAAAGATCACGGTGAGCAAACTGTGCTGTTCTTTAATACAGCTATAAATGGACTTTTTATTTTTACGTGTGGTGGATTGGGGGGGTGCATGAACCAGGTTGGGATGTAGAAGGGGGTGCGTGGCCTAAAGCTAGCGTTAATTAGCGCAAAGAGCAATAGCTCATGCTGTCAGCTTAGCATAGCCTAAAGCAGGGGTGCCCACCAGGCTAACGGGAAACGTTTGCCTATGAGGCTAAAATGCTAATGCTAGTTAGCGATCAATGCTGACTAACGGACGCATTTCATTTCGTTCAATTGAAATTGAGTAGAAAAGTAGCCTTCGAGGCGGGAAAGCGTGGGAAAGAATGGGAAGGGAGGGAACGGAGGGAAACAGCTAGCTCGGCTCGGCCCAACGCGCCAAAATAAGTCCATAGCTACGCTTAAAGCTCAATCCTTTATTCTGTACATTCAGAGTAGCTTCCTGTGATTAAATATGGCCCTGCCACAGCCCTAATGAGAA